CAATAGTAGATAAATTATTCCTTTTTCAAATTGACAGCTGGGCATGGTGCATGCCTGTAATCCTAGCACTCAGAAGGCTGAGACAGGAGGATCATTGTGAATTTGAGGTTGGCCTGCCTTACATAATGAGACCCCATCTCAAAAGAAAGAAAAAAAAATTTTAAAATACATTGGCAGAGTCAGCCTTTCCCATTAATCAAGGATATAGCTTAGTGGTGAAGTTGGTGGAATCTGCAGGATATGGTTCTTGAAGTTTCGCATGCTTGTCTTGAGGCCTATTGAAAGAGACAGGTAGGCCTCAGGCCCTTAAGATGGCATCCCATGTAGAAGAGGGATACCAAATTTGAGTCCCCAAAGTGTTCCTTGTGAGACTCAAGTATGCACTAGACAGGTATCTTTGTCTGAAGTTAGGATGACATCAGCATCTTTCATAAAAGCATAGACGAAAGCCCCACTGAGGGCTTTTTGTCTCCATACTGGGACCCACTAACTCCTTAGGGAGAGGGGTATTGGGCCACTTGATGGCTCTACCTAGCCCTTTCAAAGTCCCGTGAGGTCAGTATGGATTCCCTCCCTGTCAGGCCTCCTTAATGGCACTGAGCCACTTGATGGCTTTTAGTAGGGTGGAGCCACTTGAGAAAAGTATCTTCTATGTTTACCCTATAGTAAAATCTTGAGTACTTTGTTTAAGGCAGTTGAGATGAACTAAAACTTTTAAAAAATTCTAAGAATGACTCACAGTCACTTGAGTTAAGCTTTACTGGCTACATTTTTGTTTTGCGCAGGCCATCAGCCATATGCTTTCTAAATTACTTGTATTTTGTTAGACAAGGAAGGGAAACAAACATGATGGAATACTACCTGACTGATCCAAAATGGGCGCCCAGTCATGTGACAAGATAAGATGGCGGCTAGTCATGTAATGGCAATACATGGGGACTCTGGCAAAGATAGCACTCTGGGAAGGAAATGACTACCTAGGAAACAAGCACAGAAGAGATTTTGAGAACAAAAATGGAGTAAAGTGTGGTAGGTGGCTGCTCAGGCAGGCTACCAAGTTACCAACGGCTACTTTTGTCCCCAAAGAGTGAGAAAGCAGAGTAAAGCATCACGGAGATCAGAAACATGGGGGTTAAAAAGCATACTGAACTCTAGGTCACACCCATGGCATCTAAATAATCTGTTCTGCAACTGGGTTAATAATAGACTCTCTGGCTGTTCTTTATTTGCTTGTATCCACAATGAGTGACCAAAAATGGGAAAGAGAGGACAAGCAGAGATAAAGTTTAAGCAGGCCTGTAGGCCTCCTGCGGTGGGCAGACAAGCACAGAGACCTCACATTCTCCTTTCCCACTACACATGGTGGGAAATGGTTCCTGGGGGCTGGGGATTTAGCTCAGCGGTATAAGTACCTGCCTTGCAAGCAGGCGGTTGTGAGTTCCATCCCTGGTACCCATAAAAAGGAAAAAAAAAAAAGAGCAAAAAAAGAAATAGTTCCAGCGCCATGAGAAGAGTCTCCTGAGTCCTTCAGCCTAGGCGAGAGACACGAGGCGGGGAAAGAACGGAACAAAATAAAAACAAAAACAAAAACCAACCAAACAACCAAACAAAAACCCTTTATGGCATTTTAGAGAAAAACAAGGAAAAAAAAAATGTGCCCTTGGGCCTTATCTGGCTGGATAAGCCAAATATGTTGCCAGGTTTTAGGGTACTGCTATTTCCTTCTGGAGGTGGTTTCTGGGTTCTTTCTGTTCCTAAAGAATTGGTCGAGACAAGGACAAACAATAGCGAAGTTTTATTAAAGGTAGGAAAAGAAAGGGGTGAATTTGGGCCAAGTAAAAGAAGGAAAAGCAGTGCACCCTGCAGCGAGAGGCCGGCCCCATGCTAGAGAGAACACCGCGGCTGCCCGGGTATTGTTTTTAAATCCAGTCTTTCAGTTTGTGTCAGTTTTTATTTGAACTTAATACAAGTAGATATTTGTAAGAAAAATATTAAAAAATTCTTCTTATGTCTGTGGAAAAATGCAACAAAATTTTGTAACCAAGCAGGGAGTAGCAATAGTTGATACATTGTGTATCATGATCTTAAAAGAATAGCCAAAATGTTACTTAGAGTAGAAGTCTTAGACCCAAGAGACACTGACAAGAGCAAATGAACAAATGTGGACAAAGACAAGCTAACAGCACAAGTGAAACAAAGTAACATATATCTAAGACTATGGACTAGGTAATGTGGGAAAATACTTGAATTTCTGCTTCCTTCTCTGTCTCTGTCTCTCTTTATTTTGTATTGTTGGTGCTCTCAACTGGTTTTCTGTATGTGCCAGTATCTGGATTGCCTGGGGAAAGGCTCATAAACAATACTGTGGCTCATTCCCAAAGAACTGGGCACTGGGCCAGGGAAGCCACAAACCTACGCACAGAAAACAAAGAAAGAAACACAAACATGAGAACACAAGGCCGCCAAGTGCCTCCCCAGATCCCCACTCCCCCAAAGCCAATCCAGTCTGTGTCTTTTAATTGGAGAATTAGCACTGTTTTCATTCAGCATTATTATGGCAAGGTGCTAATTCTTGTCATTTTGTTGTTCTCCTGATGTTTGATTTTTTCCCTAGTTCTCAACAGGTATTCTGTTTTTCCTCTTCTGTGAGTAGGATTCCTCGAAGCATCTTCTGCAGTTCTGGCTCAGTGGTCATGAATTTTACTTTTTGCTTATCTTGGAAGATCTTTGTTTCACCTTCAGGCTTGAAGGATAGCATAACCTGGGTGGCAGTTACTTTCTTTCATGCATCATTGCGTGCGTGCCCTGGTGAGCCTCAGGTTTCTGCAGGGAAGGATGAAGTTACTCTGATGGCTTTGTCTCTGAGTGAGCTGGCCTTTTCCTCTCGCTGCGGCCTTGAGTACTCTTCGTCCTCCTGTTCTCTTGCTGTTTTGGTTATAATATGTGGGGAGGTTCTTTTCTTGTTGTACCTGGTTGGGATTGTAAATGCCTTCGGTGTTGTTCTCAACTTTTGGGAACTTTCCTGTGATTTCATTAAATAGAGTTCCTTATGCCATTAGTCAAAACCTTGATTCCCCCTGCTATACCAAAATTTTATAAGTTTGGTGTTTTCTAACTGTGTCCCAGAGTTCTAGGATATTTTGTGTATAATTTCTGTTTTTTTTTTTTTTTTTTTTTTTCCCTTTCTTAGTATCTGCGTGTAATAGTTCCTCAACTTTATCTTCAAGCTCTGAAATTCTGTCTTCTGCTTGGTCCTGTGTATTGGTGAGACTTTCCCCTGAGTTTTTGCTTTGTCTTACTGTGCTTTTCATCTTTCAATATTCCTGTTTGGTTCTCCATCTCTTCGTTGAATTGCTCCTTAATATTCCGCATTGTGTTCCTTATTTCATACAGCTGTTTATCTGTCTCTTATTTGAAGTTATTTATCATGTTAGATATCAGTTCTTTTGAATTCTTTGTCTGCCATTTCATACACTGTCATATATATTTTTGCTTTTCATTACTAATGAATTATGGAAATTTGAAGAAGTCTTGTTGTCATGATTTTTCATTTCTTGTGTTTCTATGATGTATGATTGTAAATGTTAAAATTTAACAAATGTATTTAGTAAAAGGCACATTGTTGTTAATCCACCTCAAAGCACTTCCCTTCCTTTGGATATATTTATCCCAGTGTGCTTATCACTTTCTGATGCAGTTCTGGAAGTCCTCTTTCATGAGTGTCTTTCGTTGCACCGTAGTGGCTGTGTCAGTGTCCTGTATTGATTCAAAGTGTTTCGTGGTCATTTTGACTTTGGGGAAGAGCCAGAAGCCCTGCGCTGCCAGATCCAGTGCGTTGGGTGGATGAGGATGCTCTAGAATGTACTGATGCGCCCTCTTTCTGTTGGATGGCACTTGGCAGCAGCTTCACCATAGTTTAATCATAAAAACGCTCTCAGAAGACTTCTAGAGTTTCTTCAGAAAGTGGCAAGAGCAATGGAATGAGAGTATTTGTTGTGATGGAGAGTGTTTTAGAGGGCAATGTGCCATTTAGTGTAATAATTTTTTTAATTGAGACAGAGTCTCACTATGAAGTTCAGACTGCCCTTGAACTCATTGTGTAGCCCAGGCTGGCCTCTAATTTGTGATGATCCTCCTGCTTCAGCCTTCTGAGTACAGGGATCACAGATGTGCCCCACCACACATGGCTTAATGTAACAAATTTTTTAAAAAATTTAAACACACCATAGTTTTAAAATCACTCTCTAATACTAAGATTTGTGTGCCTGTCGGGATGAGTATCTCTTTTACTTTTCTCTGAGGGTCTTACTGTCTGACCTTGATGCCCGCACCCTCGTGTTTGTGGGGTCAGGCCCTCTGCCTGGGAAGCGGGTTAGCATTCCAGGTGGCTTCTTTCTGTTCTCTGCACGCTCTGTGATTTATAGTTTTCCTATCAGTTCTTTCCTGGTGCCGGGAAGTGTTTTCTTTCTCATGGGTAAGTAGTTATTTCCAGGTGTCTTGGCTCTGGTCTGGGAGAAGCCATAATTTGCTCCTGGGTTCATTGCTGCCATCCTGATTTTCTCACAGAAAGCATGTTTTAAAAAGATGATAGTTTAGAGATAATTTTCTTTAACAATACTTATTGATTTCCTTCCCTACTAGTTAGAACAACTTCCTTTTAAGGTTTATTACTATCCTCTCAACTTATTTTCTTTTTGTCAGCATTGTATTCTAGCCTTTATTTTATTAGTGTTCATGATATGAAGAATAATCTACAAAAGACTATGTTGGTCAGAATCTGATTATATTACTACAAAAATTTAAAAATATGGATTTTTTTTGACTTTTATTGGGCATCCAGTTCAAAATGTGTTGTAAAGTAACATTGGTTGGAATACATATTTTCCTCATTCAGGGTGAATAATTAGCATTTTACAGTTTTCTGATGCTCTTATAAAGGTTAATGTGTTACCGTATGATCTGAATGTTTTGCTCTGATTCCTGTGTAATTTGTTTTGTAGCATCTCAGTGCCAGAGGCTCTATGTATGAAGAACTTCTGGCCAGAACTGAAGATGCTTTACAAATGGATGTTCAGAATATTTCAGGGCCAGAGTCTCTCCAACATGTCCTCACGGGTGGCCTTCAAGCAAAGATTCAAGAAGCTAATGAGAAAATACAGGTCCCTTTTTGATATTATTTGTAATGAGTTTATTTCTTAAAATGGAGTGGTTGGTGGGTGAGGAAGAGGATAGATGGTCCTGAAGCTTGGAAATGTTTTGTACTTGTAAAGTATTTCTTTGCTTTTGTTTTTTATAATTTAGAGCATATTGAATATTAGAAGCATAATAAATATGCCTTCTACTGGGAAAAATATAAATTGCTACCAGAAGAAAAATTTGTTAGCTTATGAATTTACTAAGAAGTTGGGTCAATTTGGGGCTTTTTTTGTTTTATTTTTTGGCCTTTACAGATCACCATGGTAAAACTGGTCACAGCACTGAAGAACTCAGCAGATGCATGCCCAGACTCAGACAGCAAGCAGAGGATGGAAGAGACCCAGCAGGAGTTTGAGTTGTCTGTGAGGAAAGCGGAACAGTTACTTGCACAAAGAGAGAGCCAGAGTGAGCTCATCTCCAAATACAAGGTAGGCATCCTTCAGGTTCCCTGCCCAGCAGATTGTTCCAAATCAAGATATTTCCTTTTCTGTAAGTATATACACAATTACTATAACTGGCAAAAATTTTTCCCTTGAAGCTATTATAAGTAAGTACTTAAACAAAACATTTTAATTCCAATTTTATCATGGAGCATCCATGTACTCAGTGATAGAGAATAAAAGCACAGCTGACTTCAACATTGAAGAAGAATTTAATATTTCTAGTTCTTGTATTTGTAAAATTGACACATTAATTCTAGCACTGTCCTGTTGCCAGATTTGGTGTGAAGATTTACTTGAAAATGAGGTTTGCAAAGGCATTTTGCACAGCTGGAATCCTCTGAATGTGTAAAAATATTGTTACTATTAAATGTTTTGATAAGGTATTCGTGAGTATAGACTTATCTGTAAGTTAAAAACTCAGATGTTGTTTTGTCTAGAGATAGGTTCCCAGTTGATTTTTTCCCAGCTTTCACAGAAAAGAGCTATTGTAAGAGCACTGGTTTTTTTTTTTTTTTTTTTTTTTTTTTTTATCACAATGGGAGGTGCCTCAGAGGATTGGAGGCAAAGGGAAGATAGGATCTCTGTCCTAGAACGCTGGGGAGGTGAGGGAATACATGGTGTTTGTTCATTCACCTGTTCAGTGTGGAGCATAATTTTTACTCATTTACATGAGCTGGGCATTTAGGCAAGGTAAGATGCAGTAGGCCAGTGCTCCTGGTTCCACAGCTCCCACTCTTGGTAGGAAAAGGGGCTCCCACAGGAGCCTCATTCTCACCATCACCTTCCTCCAGGTCTCTTCTGGGCCTCAGCCCTAGTTTGGCTTTCTGGGCTCCTTTTGCAGCCATTTGGATATTGCCTTCCCTGAGACCCTGAAAGCCACTGCCTGCTTGGCTAACACTCTGCATTTTGCCAGCCACCATCTTTTCCCCTGCTTTTGCTCCAGGTTTCTGAGAGGGAAGAATTGACTGTAAGAGTCAATAGTTTTTTCAATAATCATTAGACTGGATTTCAGGAGGGGATATTTCGTCCGCCTACCAAAGGGAGGTGAATATTGAGAGGTTCCGAGGCCCCTTTTGTCCAGAGAGAAGAGCTGACAGTGTCAGGTCTTGGATCATGTTTCTCTTCCTGACCATCTATCTGCCTTTTGGGATTCGAGGCCAGAGATTCTTCTTTTTTGCCTCTGGCTTTGGGTAAAGTGAACATGCTTTTCCAGCAGAAGTGAGAACCATGCTCTGCCTGGCGTTTCCCTGTGACTCCATAGTGGCACACACAGTGAGAACCCCTGGGATCTATCACGGCTGGGGTCTTTTCCAGGTCATAAATCTACCACTTAGCGGAGAAGCCTTGGAGAAGGGTGCTGGCACCCAGCACTGTGCACCTCTGCAGTGGGCTGTGCATGTATGAGTTCTCACCCTGCGTGATTGCCTTCTACTCCAGAATTTCCCCATCTTCTCTCTCCTATAGATTTCCTGTTCTTTCCACAGGTCTCAAACTATTTTTTGTTCTGGTCTAGCCAGAGTTTTGCTCACACAGAGTCTGCCAGGTAAGAAGCAGACACATTCCTAGCAGGCCTGTCCACATCCCTATCCCCACTGCTCCTTCCCTGGGGCGGGGCAGCCCATGTGGTTGGCCTTGGGCAAAACTTTGAATTGATAATAAGGTAATGTGGACTCCTTGCAGCGTAACAATGATTATGCCTGATATTAAATATTTGCCATGTAAATCCCACCTTGAACTTTGTCTTACTGCAGTGCTAGTCTCTAATACATACTGATGTACTCTTTGTATTGTTGCTTATAAAGTACACTGTGTCTGCCTGGTACATAAAAAGCGAAGACAGTGTTAGATAGTCACCAATGTGTCTTCCTTTGGACCATCAGTCTTTTAGTTACTTATCAGAAAGCAGCAGAAATTATTGTGAAAATCATGAAGATATCAAGTTGATAATTATATTTGAATAATAAAGAGTTCATAATTCTTTTCAAAAGAATTAAAACGACACTAAAGGAGTATCAGCCTTAATGTATAAAAGTATGTCTCCTGTGCATCCCACAGTAGTCCTTGGTGTCCCTGCCGGGTCTGCCTCCTGTCCCAGATCTACCAGAGCAGTTTGGAGGATTTGACAGTACAAAGAAGTTTCCATGTTCTTGTTTGCTTTTTTTTTTTTTTTCCTCTAGGAAGCACTAAAAATTCATAATGCAAATAGTCTGGTCAAGTATTTGAAAGCCATTGAAGAACTGAAGCCCAGTGTCTCCGAGGCTGCAAAGCTGTCTCTGGAAGAGAAGAGTAGAGTTGCCCGCGCCAAGTGGGAGGTAGGACATGCACGGGCTCCTGGCTCTGACCCTGGACGTGTTTGGCGTCCGAGTGGATCCTAGGCTTCCCTGTGTGCTCCATGTCACAGGCAGGGTGATGACAGTGGGGCTGGTTGCAGGGCGGCTTTGGGTGGCTTGTTTTTCCCTTCGGTCAGTAACAGCACTGTTAAGACTGGACAGCAACTGGAAGGGGAGGAAGAGCCCTAAGGGCTCCTTTTCCTCCCTCCGTTGGGTACATTTTCTGGTAGGAGCACTCCCGGGGCTCAGAGCCCCAGCTTCTGGCATGCATCTTTTCTTTCCTGGCTCCACAGAAGCACCCACCTCAGGTGTGGGAGCAGCTTTCCTGGTGCTCATCTCTGGGTGCCTCTTTGCCCTCTGACTTCTCTGAGCTTTATCCCTGGTATAATAATTCCCTGCATTTGGCCAGGCATGGTGGTACATGCCTGTGATCCCAGCAAGAGGGTGAGGCAGGAGAATCACTGTGAGTTCAAAGAGAGCCTGAACTATACAATGAGAGCCTGTCTCAAAAATAATAATAATAACAATTCTTCCCTGCATTTAAACATTCTCAGAATGAAATATTTAGAATGTTTTTTGCTGTCCTGGTCAGATGATGACTGAGACAACATTTTGACACATGTACACATACAGAATTTCACAGTGAAGTAGGTATGGCCTTTGGTGGCAGACAAACCTGGATTCAGAAGCTGTGAATCTGAATGAGTAACTTAACTTTCAGGAATTTTAGTAATAAAATGTGACTAATACAACGCACTCGGAAGGATTTATAGAAAGAATCTGTTACAGAGATTATTTTTAGTAAGTGGTAATTAACATCGTAGACAGGTATAGACACACGTGTACGTATCGCTGTAGTCAGTCCTGGATATCTGTGGATTAACCAACTGCAGATCAAAAGTGTTTGATCCAAAAACCTCATCTGTACTGGATGTGTATGGTCTTTTCGTGATTCCATAATTAATGTAGTGTAACAACTATTTACATAGTGTTTACACTGTGTTAGGTACTCAGAGATGGTATAAAGTGTAAGGAAGATGTTTGCAGACCATGTGGCAAATGCCATTTTGTCTAAGGACTTGAGTAGCCTCACGTTTGTATTTATGAGTACGGAAGGGGTAAAGGGGGTTCCTGGACAACTGCACATGTGTGGATGTAATTGAGCTGAATAACTACTGTTACAGATTCTCCTAATATGTGTCTCAAAATAAAAGTTTAAATGTTATTTAAGATTAAATTAAAATTTAAAATTTAATTTTTCTCTTTTTTTCTAAGATTTTACATTTTAAAGCAATTTTAGATTTAAAGAATTACTGGGAATGTGGTTCAGAGTTCCAGTTCACCCCAAGCCCAGGTCCTGCTAGCATTAACACCTTATATTAGTATGTTACTTTGGGCCAATGTGCCAATGTGGATTTTCTTTTTTTTCCTGGTGGTACTGGGGATTGAACTGTGTATGCTAGGTTACGTGCACTACCATCGAGTTACATCCACAGCCCTTTTTATGTTTTTGAGACAGACTCTTGCCAAGTCACTTGGGCTGGCCTTGAACTTGTGATCCTCTTTTTTCAGCCTCCCAAATAATGATTCCAAATAATGTATCGTGTCCTGCATTAATATATTCTTACTAACGTAAGTTTGTACTTTATTCAGATTCCCAAGCTTTTGCTCTGTTTGCTCCAGGCCTCCATCCAGGCTACACATTATTTTTATGTCTCCTTAGCATCAGATAGGTGTTTTCTCCAAATCTGTAGCTTCAAAACTACATTTTTTTAGTTAGAAACTAAAAGAGAAAAATGTTAATGGGCCTGGGATATTTTAAAGCATTCTCTCCAAAGATACTTGGATGAATCAAAATATCATTTAAGCTCTAGTTCTTTTTGTTACTACAAGTATTTGTGTCGTTTCTACAAAAGGTTTTCGGTGTATTCTGTTTCCATGACTAGTATGTTCTTTTTTCCTGCAGTCACTTCATCATGAAATTTCTTTGTATATTCAACAACTAAAAATAGACATTGAAAAAGGAAAACTTAACGATACTATTGCAAAACTTGAAAAGCAAATAAATAAAGAAAAGAAACTTATTCGTAGAGGAAAGAGCAAGGGTCTCATTAAGGAACATGAGGTAAAACAGATTATTTGCACTGAAATTTTGTCTCCGTGTTATGGTTTATCTTAAATCAGTGTGTGTCCTTAGCCTTGGATTAAGTCCTCCCTTTATTCCTGAGCCTGTGTGTCTCTGAGGATTGTCTTTGAGGTGACCCAAGCTCTCGCTGTCCCTGTGCTTCTTACTTTAGCAAGGAGGAGATTCTGCGGAGATAACTGTTTCATGGTCCCTCTTAGTACATTTCCACGCCCCCATCCTTGGACTCTGGTCACCATGGTGTCGCCTGTTGCTGAAGTCCCTGCAGATGCTTTTGTTGGTCATGGTGTTCTCAGCAGTGCAGTTTTCGTGAAAATGAGCAAATCAGGATAGAAAGCAACTTGGGGCAGATGTAATCATCTCTTTTGACCTCCATCCTCTTTGGTTGCTTTTATATATTGGATAGGGCCGACCCCTCTTTTCGTTTCTTTTTAAATGTCTACTACTGTGGCTCTCTCACAGGCTTTTTCACACGTCTTGGGAAGAGAGTCCTTTTTAGTGTTCTTTACAGATTTTATGGTTTTTTCTGTTATCTCAGTGCATCCTCCTCCCTCCCTAAAGCATTTGTTATTTGAGTGCCTGATGATAGCCATTTTTTCTGGAGTCAGATGGAATCTCAGTGTTGTTTTAATTTGCATGTTGCTTAAGGCCAGTAATGCTGAACATTTTTTCATGTACTTTTGGGCCGTCTGTACCTCTGAGAAGTGTCTGTTTGCTTTGGCTGGCCATATTTTCATTAGGTTAGCATTAGCCTTTTGAACTACAAATCTTACATTACTCGCTCCCTGTGATGCCCAGAACAACTCTGAACTCTTGAACAGGTCGCCAGTCCCTGCAGCGCTTGGCCCAGGACACTCCTAGTGTCTCTCCTGGCTTCCCCTCAGACTTGTAGAACCTGTCCTTGTTCCTTCCGCATCTAGCACAGTCCCCTCTTACGACACAGGCTTTGTTTGATTCTTTAAGGCAGGTAGCCAGCTTGGCACACACAGTGCATACTAATTGTTTGCACGTCTGTATTATTGAAATGGGAATTCCTTGAGGGCTGATTCCTCTTTTTCCACCAGTCCTTTTGATCACACCAAGACCACAGTAGTGGACTCTGAAAGACTGTGTTGCTAGAGTCACACTCACGTATGAGTTTCTGATCAGGTGTATGGAAGAATCGTGCGCTATCATCTGAATCCCTGCTGTCTTCCGTTAGGCTTGCTTTGGTACTGATGGCATCGTGGGCCAGCTTGATCACCACACTGGCATCCTGAGGGAGCTGAGTGAAGAGCTGGATTCGCAGGAGAGGCAACAGGAAGTGAAGAGAGCGCTCAGAGACTATGAACAGAAGATAGAAAGACTTCTGAAGAGCGCTGCTGAGGTTCTCACAATGCTGAAGGCCCCCGCGGGAGGTTCATCGAAAGTCCAGTGAGTACTTGATGAGAATAGCTGTGCTTGGGGGAATGCTAGTGATACCTTCTGCACAATCAAATGGCATTAAACTGTATTCTTTCTCTTTTAGGTTCCCTTGTTCTCACTCTGTTTTAACATGCAATCTTGATTTCTTCCCAGGGGAACCATGACCGCAACTGAGAATGGCGGAAAGGATTCCCATAGCAAGGGGCTGATTGCAAAATCAGATAATCAGCCATCAGCTGCAAAGGCATCAGAGGTAGATAATGTATTGTAGAAATACACTCAATGTAAAAGGCCAAGTGTACAATAATCCACTTCTAATTGTTTAAGCATTGGTTTTAATTATCTGGTTGTTATGTTAACTAAGAAATCACACTTAACCAAATGCAAGGAAGATGGGTTTTTGAGGAATTAGAATGCACTGAACCAAAGCTATAGCAATCTAACTTAATCTTGTTCTGAGGATACAGATGTTTCATGCAGAGACCACACTGGACCTTCACGAAGACAGGTTTTTCCTGTGACTATTGCTGTTGAGGGTGGAAGAGGCTGAGCTTGTACTGCACAAATGCCTCTATTTCTTTGAGATAAACTAGTTTATTTATCTTTTGTCTTTTCACTGTCATGTGTTTTACTTCCTTTGAGAAGTGATTTGTTTAAATTCTTGAAGTTAAGTTGTCACTTAGTGTATATCATAGCTCAGAAACCAGACAGCACATGCAGGAGATGAACAAGGCACATGTGCTCCTGCATGGTGGTGTCTGTGTGCATCTGACTGTGGTCAGGAGGTCTCACACAGCAAGAGCATTTAGCAGCCGGCAGTGTTCCTCTACCTGTTAGAAGGTGACACCCACTCTAGTCAGTCTCCTGTGTCCCATGGGAAGGATTCTTTCTGAGCTGAGAAATTACAAAGAAATGATATCATCTGTTGGTTTGGGGTAGAAAGTATCAACAATATATCGATATAAGTTTCATGTAGCTCTTCTAGACAAGTGTGTTTACAATCATGTTTATTATCTTGCATATTTGCTTAGGCAATGGAACCCATTAAGAATTTCAACCAAGCCTTGGAGTTAAAGCCCCAGGGAGAAGAAAATGTGGAAAAGAATGGAAAGGATGATAATGCATCTGTAAATAAGCTACAAGAGAGGTAACCTCTTTTTAAATAGCTGGAAAATTCAGCAAAAATCCTTCCTTGTTAAGAACATGTTATGCTCCATAAAAAGTTTTATCCTGTAGTTATACTTTTTGGTGTTTGGTCTAGTAACTAAAAACAGAAGTTTCCTGGGATTTCCTCAAGTACATTGAACAGTAATTTAAAGGTATTTTTGCCTTATTTTTAAAACTAGTATTTGCATTTAATTTTTTCCCCTAGGTATGATACACAAAAAGAAATTCTTGAACTCCATCTGCAGAACAACAAATTCAGGATTACTTCTGATTTTTCTGATGAAAAGGAATGGAGGAGTGCTTGTCTGCAGGATAAGCTGAAAGATCTGCAGGTAGCTACTAGAAATGTTGTTTCTCTTTTATTAGAAAAGAATGCCATGACTATTAGTATGGACGTGACTTTCTGTTGAGGTGATGTATGCAGGATGTATTCCAAGAATTCTCTTTGTTGAATTGCATTTCTGTCCCAGAAAGTGATTTGTTTGTAAGTATCAAGCTTAGGCAAGACTTTGGTTATGGATTCTGATATATTCCTGATGCTTTAATCAGCTACTCCAGATATTGTGGCTTATAGAATTTTTGTTGTGTTTGGGACTTTAGATGAACTGATCAGAAATAGCATGTTTGATAACAGTTTCAATCTGTTCCTGTGTTGCTCCAAAATTAATAAACTAGTGACTTCAAATGTTTGTCTCAGTCATTCATCATCTCAGCCAAATTCTCACAGTGTCTAGCATTGCCATAACTGTATTGGCTGTGGACAGCCTGATCCTTAGCAGCGCAGGTGGGCAGTGGATGGAATGATGAATGAACTCAGAAGGACTTCAGAGAAAGTATTGCATTTGATTCTGGTGCTTCAGAAACAGTGGTCTTAATATTAGTGGTGGGCACACACATCATAAGCTTTACAAATAAATACCATAATTATTTTGAAGATTATCGCTGCATTGTAGTGCAACAGTCTCATCATACGAGCTTTTGCATGCACTAGTAACCTTCACAGGGAACCCACCCATCAGCTGGTCAGGGCCAGCGTGTGTCGTGCAGTGTGTCCCCCATTTCCCAGTTTCCTTCACTTATGCCAGCTTTGAGTCACACTGTCCTCTGTTTTCCCCTGAATAAGCCAGTTTTATGTGTGTAAAAATCACTGATGTTCAGGTGATGGATTTAGCACATTTCATCACCACTAAGCAACTGTCTGGAGACCTTTCCCCAGTGATTGACTATGGAGTTGATTAAGAAAATTGTGTTAGGTTTTGAAGAGAGTGAAGAGCAAATAATTCTGATGATCCCTCAATAGTGTTCTTATATAGGACCTTAAAATAAGATGCTAGAATAGTATAGAATTATAGAGATTTTGTTATAAGCCATGAATCAATATTATTTACTTCTTATGGATATAGAAAGTTTTGTTTCTTTGCAATTTTCTTTTAGTTTAGAAGGTAGAAGATTTATAAGTTAGAGGAAATAGAATATATGTACCTAGTGGATATGTATTTTTCTGCATTGTGCTCTGAGTACAGTCTCAATGGGGAAGGGAGTTTTTAGTACTATTGAAGGCCGTATTGTCAGTTCCTTTCCTTCAATGAATAGGTCTTTTAAGTGCACAGTTAATATGATTCTTTCCTGTGGGATAGTTCATTTGTAGATGATTGGGAAATATTTTAAAATACATTTTCATGTGAAACATTCTGTTTCCTGGCACAGTAGTATATGTCTCATTTTGTAAGAATAAAGTAGTTGTGCTTATTAATTTACTGGTTGATATGTTAATTTATGTGTTTCATCTAGCTCTTAAAAAAGGAAACTGATGCTTACTGGAAAGAGTTTGAAATTGCCTCATTGACATTAGAAAGCCTCGTGAGTGACACGGAGAAACCTATTATAGTTAAGGCAAGAGATACATTAAAGGGAAAAGAAAACGACTTTCAAATGCCTCTTAAAACCAGGTATAATTCTGAGATCTACTTACTACCTATGAATTTAATGCATCTACTCAATTTTTAGAAATCATTTTAAACAGAGTAATTACTCTGCTAAGCATGTTCTTTCACTTAATTGTCGTGCCCACAGAGAGGCTGACATTATTGCATTAGCAGCTCTCTGTTGCTGTAAAAGCGACCCAGGCTGCACCATCCTTGTAAGGGAGAAGGTTTATTGTAGCTCACAGTTTCTGGGGTTTCAGTCCAAGTTCCCTGGCTCTGTTGCCCTAGGGCGGACATGCCACTGTATATTTTGGTGGGAGTGCATGGTGGAGAAGGTTTCTTTGTTTCCTGGCAGCTGGGAAGTGAAGCAGAAAGGGTTCCCAGTCCACTGTTCGAGGGCCCGGCCCAGTGACCTAACTTCCACTAGGCCCAGCTCCTAGGGGTTCCCAGCTTCCCAAAACACCAACCTGAGGCCTGAGCCTTTAACATGTGGGCCTTCAAGGATCGGGCCAGATCCGAACTGTAGCAGTCACGATGGACGTTTCACTGAAGAGAAACGTGCTCAGATAGGGTATGGAGCTCCGCCCATCCACATCAGTGGCCAGAGACTGCAGGGAACTTCCAGGGTCATGCTCTGCCACTGTCTCTCCTCAGGCATGGGTGTGACCAAGTCACAGAAGTTGGGGGGAAAGGGCTTCCTCATTTCTGAAATGACGGTGCTGTTGCTAACCCACATAAATAAGATGTGTGTCCCCAACACAAGCCGCTCTTTACATAGGAAGCCACTGAGACACGAAGTCTGTAACTTTCCCACAGCCACACGTTTCACTTTGTTACCTGTAGAGCCTGTTATTTGAACTCCATCTTGTGGTGTAATATTAAAAATGGAAACATAAATGATTCCATAATTGTAATAACATGACTATGAGGTTTCTTGATCATCACATCAAAATTAAATTACATTGAACATTTAAATTTATTTATTTATTTATTTATTTTTGGTACCGGGGATTGAACTCACGGCTTCGTGCTTGCAAGGCAGGCACTTAGGCCTGCTGAGCTAAATCCCCAGCCACAATATTTAAATTTTCAAAGAGAAGAGAATGCTTAGTATATTTAACAACAGTTTTCCATTGTGTTGTTTCCATTTAATTACTTTAATTATAATTCTTGAATATCAGGGCACATTTTAGAGTGAAAAAATTATTAATAAGGATATTGAAACAGTAACATTGAGTTGGAATTGGCTGTGGCCCATGTGATGCCTAGTTAACCACGGTCTCTTACTAAACAAATGCTTTTGAATGAATAAATCAATGGATGAGTTAATGGGAAAAAGAATACTTGGATATGGCAAAGTCATGTTTTGGCATAGTGGATGTGTGAGTTTGGGTTTTGTATGTTTTGTACATATCTTTATGTGTGTTTTCCTTAGGTGCCTATTTCTTGTTTGTGGTCAAATAATAGTGTTAATGTGGGCTGTTTTTCTGCTTGGCTTCCCTTCATGTGTGTTTGTTTCTCACCCAGATTGGAGTCCCTTGAGCTGGCACTGCAGGTGGCGTTGCCCGTGGAGGAGTCACTGCTGCTGTGTGACTTGGACCTGGCGCTCAGGGAGGTGGCTGTCCAGGAATTTCATCTCATGGATGCCGACAGTGTTTACCAAAACCTGAGGGTAAATAATGCCTCCCGGTGTATAGACAGAGTAATTAGGGAGTTACAGATAGTTAGGCATTTTTAATTTATGTTTCTGAGTGTAGATTTAGTATATAGCCATGACAGAAAAATCTTCAATAATTTATTAATTTGTTATTCATATCTCGTCTCCAATTCCTGGTAACTTTGGAGGGAGGTATCATGGAATAAATAACAGCATTATTTTCTTTGAATTCAAAATGAAGCCATCTTTCTGAATGCCTTCCTCACTGACTGAATTCCTAAATTATCATTTATACTCATTGGCTTAAATTGGTGTAGTTTACATTTGTTTATTCCAGTTGATTCTTTCTTAAATACTTTACTTTTCAGATTGTATAACAGGCCTCACAACTGTTCATCTCTGTTTGCTTTGGAGTAATAAATTTATGTGTTTGTTTTCTTTTGGAGGCTGAACCATCAGGGAGGATGTAAGATAATGATAGCTGGACTCTGATCATCGTAATTAAAATGTTTCATAATGTCCGCTTTGGTTAATCTCAGAAGCATTTTTCTTGTTCAAATCTAGTCTTATGATTGAGATTCATTGTTGGTATGTGGTTTTCTTTTTTCTGCCTCAGTCTTTTCACTTAAATTATTTTCTTTTTTAATAGAATATCCAGGATTCCATTGCAAAACAGATTGCGATATGTCATGATTTAGAAGAGCCAGGCAACTCTGTGTTAAAGGGATTACACCCCACTGACATAGGCGCCACGCAGAACATTGTGCTAAAATGCAGAACTCAGCTTGAGCAAACAAGCCACAGGATGCAGATGGCTAAGGATGTCCTGGCCGCCCTGGAGGACTTCTTGTCTTCTGTAGCAGCCGTAAAGCTCTCCAAGGAACTTTTCACAGACCCATCAGCCCCAGATGCACAGGGGGCACCAGGAACTACTGTAACAAAAAGAGATATGGAAGAAGAAATTCGGCTGATGAGCAACAAGGCCAGACAGCTGGACAAGCGCTTAAAGAAGCTTGGCATCAGCTTTAAAGATGCTGAGCGAGGTGGAGATTCCACTTGTGAAAAACTTGTAGATGCTGTGTCCACAGAGTTACTAGACACACAGGGCCCTGGCACACGGCAGGAACTGGCTGAGGAGAACAAACTATTAGAGGCCTGTAGCTCCAAAAATAATGAGCTCTTTAAAAATATCCAAGATGTGCAGAAGCAGATGAGTGAAATTGGCCTTAAGGATCCCACCGTCCCAGCTGTGAAGCATCGGTAAGAATGGTGACGCTTCCATCCATTCCCACCCAGGGTGACACGTCTCTGGTTCCACCCATCTCTTCTGTGAAACAGATGCTCCTGTGTGTTTCCATTGCTATCCCACCCGTCCCGTTCTTCTCAGTAGACCTTCAAGCAAGCTTTCTTCTTTACTGACTCAGTGCCTTTCCAGGCTGTTAGAGTCGCTTTCTCATGGTAAAGAAGGACATTTGTATAAAGGACGTGAGTTACATCCGAGCCCTTTGCGCTTTGTGTGTGTCTTACAGAGTCCTTTAAGGGTACAAGTCAGGCAAACCCCACACACTGGGCTTGAAAGTGGCCAGTGGCAGAGGGTGACATGTTCCTCCTGAGTTATTTGGTTTCCTTTTTTTCTCCCAGTTGGATTAGGGTAGTGCTGAGCAGGAGGACATGGGGTTGAATTCAAGAGATAAGTTAGGTGCCACTGTGGCAACTGAGCAGAATTGGCATGGACTGGGGCTGGTAGCCCTCTGTGTGTGTCCTGCCTTGTTAATTCCGGCATTCAGCATGTGTCCTCTGGCTTCTGAAAGTGGGAATGTTAGCAAGAGTCACCTCTGTGGAATTTTCTTTTCTCTTCTCTCTAAGTCTCCCCCACTCTGTGTCACTGGCTGCTCAGGCTCCATGGTTTCTTGAGGGTCTTCAGCTGACCAAGCACAGTCTTCTCCAGTTTCCCTCTGCCCTCAGCCCCCATGAGATTGCATTCCTAGAGTGCCCCAATTCATAGTGAGGTGCTGATTATTAGTGTGGTTATTCCTTCAATAGGTTTTAATCATAGGTTTATATATCATAACATCTGAATGAGAAAGTCATGTGTTTATAAATTACTCTAGTAATATAGATATTAATCAACAGATATGTATTTGTGCCAAGCACTGCTGTAGGTCCTGGGGATGCAGCAGTAGCAGAGAAATTCTTATCCCTTGTAGAGCACAGTGTCTCCCAGGAAGAAGAAAGTGTTTAGTTTGTCTGGAGGTGATAACACCTGTGGAGAATTAGTGGGAAAGGAGGAAGAGCTTGTGACTCAGCAGGTCATCCAGGAAGGCTTTACTTAGAAGAGTCAAAGGAGATGCAAGAGCAAGCCATGTGACTACCGGAGGAGGAACCTTCTAGGCAGGGGTGCAGCAGCCAGGGCAGGTGCTGGAGGGGAGGGGGGAGAGGGGTGAAGGGACAGCAACCAGGGCGACAGGTAAGAAGTGGGTCAGAGGGGCATGGGTGAGATGGGGCCTGGCTCACATAGGAATCTCTAGGTTAGGATGACTTTGAGTGACACAAGGAACAGCAGAGGGCTCTGAGCAGAGAAAAGTGATTTGGTTTATGCATGTATCAGTCGGTGTTTACTAGAGGAACAAATATAGCACAAGATACACAGATGTGTAAGAAATTACAAGATTAGGTTAGAGTGGTCAGCTGCAGAGTCGGATGAGGAACCATGCAGAGGGCATCTGCACCCTGGAGCCCAAAGGATTCAGTCCAAGTTCCGGAGCTCACTGCACTGCCCTGTGTGAGTCCGTGTCAGGAGGCTGAGTCTGCGATGGAAAGCTCAAGAGTATGCTGGCAGGATGAAGGGTGCAAAGTGGAAGCTGAAGCCAGCAGATGATGTCCAGGTAGAAAGTGAAGACTGGAGCTCCTCCAAATAACAGAAGCAGATCTGTCTGTCCTTCTTCATTTCCCCTTTTACCATCCAGGTGACAAGTGGCCTGGGGTGGGTCTTCCACACTCTAGGTGATGGAATTGCGGAGCTGACTTAGTTAAGCTTCTGTACTCAAGTTGACACACTCAGGCCACCATCACACACACACAGGTTTTCTCCGGCTGTTGTGCTGAGAATAGACTGTAAGAATCGAGAAGAAACCATCCTTGGAAGAGATAATGGAAGCGTGGGCCAGTGGTGAATTGGCAACAAGTAGCAAGATTCTGGGTGGAGTCCACAAGGTCTCTGACTCTCTGGATGTGGTGTATAAAAGGAAGTTTAGAATCAAGAATGAGTCAGCAGCTGGAGGAGTGGTCCATGTGAACAGATGAGATAGAGTGATGGTATCAGACGTTAGACGGAAGTTGTGCTCAGTTTTGGACATGCTAGGTTGGAAGTACTTCTGTGATATTCAGGCAGTGATCTCAGCAGGACTTGCAGAAATAGGAGGCGTCAAGAGAGAAATCTGGGTAGAGGGATGCATTGAGGAGTGCTCAGCCTTTTAGAATACTATTCAGAGCCCAGGGTTAGTGAGGTTGCGGAGGGAGGAGTTGAGCAAAGAAGAGAGGTCTGAGTTGTGTGTACCAGGGCACTGGGCACGGGCGATGAGGAGGAGCCGGTTTCAGGTACTGAGAAGGACAGACCAGGGTTTCAGGAGGAGACTCAGGAGGAGGTAGTGGTCAGCAGTGGGAAGTGCTGTTGATTGGTAAGGGAAGCCGAAGAGAGAATGGAGCTTGGATTTCCTACTGTGTGGTTGCTGAAGGTGTCCCCTGCCCACTTCAGCCCTAGCCCTTTTTATTATTTATTTTGAGACAGGGTCTCCTGACGTTGCCCAAGATGGCCTTGAATTTGTGATCCTCCTGCCTCAGCCTTCCAGAGTGCTGGGATTATAGGTGTGTGTCACCAGGCCTGACTTAGTTGATGTCGATGTGGACAGCAGTTTTGGTGGCACAGTAGGAAGTGAAAGCCTCAGAGTGGATTCGAGAGAGGATTGGAGGAGAGGAGGTGGAGGCAGGGAGCTGTTAAACAATGAGCCTTAGGTAAATGAACGTAATCCACTGAAATTAATTTATAGATTAAAACCTTTAATTAAGTGAGCATGGAGCACACATTCATAGTCTCCGTGTGGGAGGCTGAGACAGGAGGATCACAAGTCCAGGTCTAACCTGGACAACTCACTGACTTAACAAGACTCTGTTTCAGGGCTGGGGATGTAGATCAGTGATGCAGTGCCTGGTGGGTAAGTTCAAGGTCCTGAGCTCAATTCCTGGTACCAAAAGAGGAAAAAAAGACTCCGTTTCAAAATTGTAAGAAAGGGCTGGGGATGTAGCATAGTGTGAAGGCTGTGGGTTGGATCCAGAGTGCCTCCTTTTTGATGTAGGAGAGCTTTTTGTACATAAGGTGGAAGTGCAAACTTTCCTTTCTTTCCTTGACCACCCCCTTCCTCAGGACTTGTGCACTTTAAGCCATCCATCCCCGTTCTCTTCCCTGAATTGCGTCGTCTTCCTCACACACACACCCTCTCCTCTTCTCTTTTTCCCTCGTGTGTGTAGACACAGCTTTAGAACTGTGAAAGGAAAATGTCTCTTCTCGTGGTTTTGTGTATTTCTTTCAAACACGAAATTGTACGCTGGAAATGCAGGGAGCCTCCTGACTCTGTAGCAGAACATGGAGCTCCGTCAGTAACCTCATGGGACAGGTGAAAGCCAGTGCATACCCCCAGGAATCTGTATGGAATCATGTTGCTTAGCAATTGGCTAATACGCTTTTCTCATCCTAATCCAGGAAAAAATCCTTAATCAAGCTGGAGAAGGATCTAGATGGATATGCAGCAGAGAAAAAACACTTGGAAGAAATGGCCAGTTCTCTTCCACAGTTCAAAGATGGCAGAGAAAAAATTCTGAATGAACAGTGCCAGAATACTGTCCTCTTGTGGGATAGCACAAAAACTGCTGTCACTGAGTGGTAAGGGACAGAAATCCCTCCTGAATCTGACATTGTCTGAACAGTTAAAGTTTGGCAGGATTTGTATTGGAAACACATCCTAGGGACCTAGCAGAGGGGCGCTCAGTGCCTGGGTCTGTACCCTGTGGTCTGCAGCCCAGGGTGGCGCCACCTGTGTGGCCAGGGTGCCCTCGCTCACTGGGAGGAAGCAGCCTGATCTGTGGCTGTGGGCAGTCCTGGGGCTTTGGCCTTGCTGGGGGCTTCTCATAGCTTTGCCACCCCTTGGTGGCCCTCTGTGCAGGATTCTGTCCATGTGTACTTGTTCTCCGCATGGACAGAAATCAGGACGCAGCCTGCCTAGGCATCTGATCTCTACCCTCACCTTCACTGCTCAGGAGGAGCTTCAGGGGGAGAGTCCAGAGCCTCTTCTCCAAAGTCACCACCAAGTGGTGCCCAGCATATGGGCAGCCAGGCTGCTAACTCCACATTCTTTGCACCATTTCACTGTTTTAAAAGGGCCAAACCAACAGCAGAATGGACACTGCTATAAGCAATGCACACCTGCTGATGAATTCGATGGAGGTGCCAGAAATAATGCTCAGAAGTCTCTGTTTTCCAAATGCCTTTTGGTTAATGATGGAATTAGATTAGGAAACTTTTTTTTTCCCCCTCTAGAGAGTTTACATATGTCAACTTTTAAGTATTGACAACCCAGAGATTATGTGTACGATCTATTTTACAGATTGATACATGTATCACTGTTCTTAGGCTACGTTGGTGACAGTATTATAAACCATGTGAAGAGGAAGACATGGCTAATAATTGGCTTTTTAACTAGGTTTTAACTTGTCATTAATTAGGTTTCTAAAGAAAGGGTGGTTTATTATTTTCAGTTGTTCAGCTATTTTACTCTCCCCCCGCCCCCATAGTCTTGAACAGTGTGGAAGAGTTCTGGAGCTCTTGAAGCAGTATCAGAATTTTAAAAGTGTCTTGACAACTTTGATTCAAAAAGAAGAGACGATCATCTCGCAGCAGGCTTCGTACATGGGCAAGGAGAACCTGAGGAAGCGGATGGCCGAGGTGAGTCTGCAGCCCTGGGGAGCCATGACCTCGGCCCCGAGCCTGGCGCTGCCGAGGATCCTAGCAGCAGAAACGAGATTGTTTTGTTTTGGCGACAGAGTGTTGTTGTGCAGTCCAGGCTGGCCTTGAACTCACTATCTTTATGGCCCAGGCTGCCCACCTGCCTTGGCCTCCCTAGTGCTGGGGTTACCGGACAGCACCACCACATTCAGCTAAGTGAAGTCATATTTGAAGTCTGGATGAAGAGCAGTTACCGCTGACTGTATTTTAGTGGATGTCAAAGAATGTGATGAGTAACCCCAGAGTTTGGGAAAGTTCAGCCCCCAACTTGCTAATGGGTGGCTTCTGTTTGGGGGTCGGCACTGGGGCCGTGGTCCCTCCAGACCCTCAAGTTGCCCTCAGCGACTGCTTCTGTGAGGCTGTGACAGCCCTTACACTTCGCCTCCTTCTGCCTAAAAGAACAGATTTCCCTCCAGGTTTCAAAGAATAAGCAGGGCAGAAAAGTCCCCGCTGTTGTTAACAGGCGAGGGAAGCGTTAGGCTCACGCGCTCACTTCTACGAAGGTGAACGAACTTTGTGTTTTGCTCCTGCTCTGTTCACAGCCTCACCAATTACAACTCCATATTTTAAGAAGAGTAACATTTTTGAACACTAGATGTCATGATTTTCTATGTTTTTATGTACTGTAGTCATCAACTACAGTGATGAAAGAATGGAAAGTGTGAAAAAAAAAAAAAGCAAAAACATAAAAAGCACCACACTACACTGCAGGACTATGCATCAGAAATGTGCTTTTCCTGGGTTATGCGTGTCAAGCTGGAGCGCTGCTAGATAGAGCATCCCACGCAGGTGGGAAGTGTGGCCTGCTGGGTATGCTTGGATGCAGAAAGCAGTTTTTAAACTTCCTAGTCACCAGGTGCAACCCGGTAGAAGTGCAAATAGACCCAATTTGTACGAGTAATGTAATCTACCTAGAACTGTTAACCCATTGACTCAAGTGGCAGCCAGAGTGTCAGGAGTAGCCCTTGTCTGGGACCCACTTTCTGGGACCCAGCTGACCCATCTGAAGAGCCCCTTTTTGGCCACTGGTTGGGTAGAGAGTGACTTGTAACTCGTTTCCCATCAGGCTGGATTGAGAGGGTCACGGGGTCACCAGCACACAGCCAGCAGGAGTTGCTCAGATGCGACCTGTTTCTTCCAGCAAAGTAGTTGGGGTTTGCTGATCTTGGGAACTAGGAAGATCCTGTGCTGATGCCATTGGGTTTAAGGAGTTCTGGTTTCCTTGATTCTCAGGGAATCCAGCTTCTTCAGCCTTTTTCAAGCACCTTGCAGAAGTACCTAGGGTCAGTGCCTGGGACTTAATCAGCATGTTATAAGTGTTGACCGCAATGCCTCACCCCATGTATGGCTGATCAGAAGCTCTTCCCAAGTGCTCTTGGCCGCTAGGACCAGAGTCCCGTAACTGTGAGCTGCCCTAAGATGAGTCATGAGTTCAATTAACACAGCTCTCTCCTGTCACTGACCAGCCCCTCTCTGAGTGATTTCCCCTAAGCTCAGCCTACTCTTGCTCCTCTGTCTGTTGTGATAAGAACCTAGCCCTGACCTTGCCTAAGCGTCCCCAAAAGCCAGCCTTTCATCTTCTACCAGTGGATGGGGAGAGAGGACCTGAGAGTCGAAAGTGTTCATATTGCATTTTCCTGTTTGTGACTATTTGTGCTTTCCTGTGTGCCTCAGGCGATTGCTAGATTATTTTAAAAATTTAGCAGCATAAATGGACTTTTTACCGTCTTCTCCTTTTTCCTTGCTCCTGATCCCCTCTCCTGCTTGGCTGAGATTGCAGCTTTTCTGGTTTGTTCAGCCAGGTAGCACCATTCTCCCCTTCCTCATCCCACTCCACAGTGTTCTCTGTCTTGTGGGTTTGTACCGTTTCATTCTCCCCTGACATCACAGTAGCATTTGGGGAGAGAACAGGCAAATGCGTATTCCACCCACCATGTTAAATTTGAAGGCTAGATGATGCGTTTATTTGTTTGTTTTATTTATTTTTTTGTACTGGAAATCGAAAGGTGTTTTTAATGCATTAGTGGGAAGTCAGAAAACAAAAATTGAAAACCCTTGCCACTAAATGTTTGATAATGATAACTGCTGAATATTTGTGTGCAGAAATACATACACAGTTTTAAATTCTAGATTATTCCTTTAACATTATAAACTTTTGTGTATGTGTCTTTTTGAGATAGGGCCTCATATGCAGTTCAAGCTGGCTTTGAGCTCACTTTGTAGCTCAGGCTGTTGAACTCACAACAATCCTCCTGCCTCAGTCTTTCAAGTGCTGGGATTACAGGTGTGCACCACCACACCGAGCTGTAAACATTTTCTACATGAAACATTTTCTTTCCTTTCTATGTGAAAGAAAATAATTTTATATAATCTGTTTGGGAGTCTTAATTTTTAATCCACAGACTTTACCAAAAGGGAGAGATACCTCTAAAAATATTGCTAAATGAAGAAATGAGTGCCATACGCTCGGTAACGGATCATAACACGATTGGTGAGCTCATAGGCACCCTGATTCACCATCACACCAATGGGAGCGCCAGCCTCCAATAGCAAGTGTGCCACGTTTCCTTCCGTCTTCAATTCTACTAATTATAAGATGCAACTGCAACTTCTAACGTAAAACACCTGTATTATGTTGTTAATTGTAAGACTGTGCATGTGACAATCTTGTCTCCCCATAACCATAAACTGTCTGCTCTCAGTAAATCATTTATTCAGTGAATAAAATATGCACTATCAGAATTTTGTTTTAGATTTTACTCAGAAAAACTCATTACATGCCCACATGCAGTTTCTCATACACATCCACACTCACATACGTACACACAGACAGATACAGTGGTAAGACAATAAGTCTCTAGTTCTTGTAAGATAACTACGACATGAACCCTCTAATATTCCAGGTTCTTTATTGTTTTATTCAGTAAGTAGATTGAGATATAAAGCCAATGTTATGATTACAAACTGTAGCATGAATATGGATTTGACTTAAAAATATAGAAACTGGGGCTGGAATATTTGCTCACCTTTCAATTGTCATTGTTTTAAGCAAAAAGTAACAGCTCATCCCATTCTTTGGCCCTGACCAAGGACTACTTGTGACAAAGTCTTCATCTAGAACCTTGGGTTTGGTACTGAGGTCTGAACCCAGGCCTTCCTGCGTGCTAGGTATGGGCTGTGCCACAAAACTGTGCCTCTTCAATGAGGTGAAGACTGGTTTCTTGCTTCAGTGTTAATTTTAACTATGAATAAATCAAAGACTGGGAGATTTTAATATATTATTCCTATGTATAGTGTTTAGTAAGAACAGTTTGCTTACATATGCCTCACATGCAGAAATTACAATAAATAGTAGGGACTTTTAAACAGGAATTATAGTCACATGTTGCATTTTCTTTAAAGCACAACATCCTACTTACTGATAGATGTGGCCCAATTTGTAATTCTTTTCTCAGTTTTTTGTTTTAATTTCAAACAGAAAAAAGTACATTATAGCTGGGGATTTAGCTCAGCAGTGTAAGCACCTACTTGGCAAGCGTGAGGTCGTGAGTTTGATCCCTGGTGCCAAAAAAAAAAAAAAAAAAAAAAAAAACAGATTTTAAAAAAAAGGAAAACAATAAAACAGTTTCAAAACAGGCTGGTAGGAGAGTAACAATAATTAATATATTATATTGCTATGTTCATAGTACAAGATTATAGGCATGAAATACTGTACAAAAAAGTATTAGCATAAAACTTCCTTTTTAACTAAGAGAAACTCGCTGTATAACTACCTTAACTATCTTGTGTATAAATATATTTTTCTTTTCCTTCCTTTCCCCTTTCACCCATCACAGTTTCTTCCCATCTCACTATATCCATTGTACATTTTGGATCTTATGCATTCTTTTAATTTTTTACACTAATCAGACAATATGATGCTGATGCATGTGGGTGTGATTTATTTCACCTATGAGTATGGTCTTGAGTTGCATCCATTTACCTAGGAAAGTCTCAAGTGTACCCCTCTTTATGGCTTAGTACGACTCTACTGTATAAAAACACATCATTGTTATCCATTCCTTGGATGATGGGCACTTGGGTTGTCTCGAAGATTTAGCTATTACAAATTGTGCTGCACTAAATATGGGTGTGCATGACACATGCACACCCATGTGTCATGATATTTTTAATTCTTCTGGGAAAATACCCAGAAATGGAATAGCTGGATTGAATTGGGCCTCTAATCCTAGTTTTTTGAGGAATCTCCATATTGATTTCCACCGTGGTTGCACCTGTCTACACTCCCACCAACAGACCTGAGGATCAGTGGAGCAGACTCTGCAGAGGCAGCTCCCAATGTAGACAACCCCCTTATCTTCCACAAAGGAGCCAAACATGTTCACTGGAAGAAAGATAGCCTCTTTAATACATGGTGCTGGAAAACCTGGCTTTCCTCGTGCCAAAGACTAAAACTAGACCTATGTCCATCACCTTGCACTAAACTAAAATCATGGTGGATCAAAGATCTAAGTATTAAAACAGAAACACTAAATCTACTGGAAGAGAAAATAGGTAGAAATCTTGAAGACATGGATGTAGGCAGAGAGTTCACGAACAAAACCCAGACTGAACGGATAATACTACAAAGAATTAACAAATGGGATCTCACCTTATTAAAAAGCTTCCGTATAACAAGAAATCACCAAAGTGAAAAGACAACCCAGAGAGTTGGAAAAAATTATAGCCAGTTGTCCCTCAGACAAAGGTTATACATCTAGAACATCCAAAGAATTGAAAAGAATCAGGCCCACAAAATTCAAAGACCCACTCCGAAATGGGCATCTGAGATGAAAACACAATTCTCAGGTGAAGAAATACAAATAGCAAATAAATATATGGAAAAATGTTCAACATCATTGATCATTTGAGAAATAAAAACTAAACTCACTCCATAAATAATGGCTATCATCAAGAGAGCAACCAATAACACAACTATTGGTTTTTTTAACTGTCTTTGGATTGCTAGGCATGTTGGTACATGCCTGTAATTCTAGCAATTGAGAGGCTGAGGCAGGAGGATCACTTTGAGTTTGAGCCAGCCTGGGGTGCCTAATGAGTTGAAGGCCAGCCTGAACTATATAGTGAGACTGTCTCAAACAAACAAACACAAACCTGTCTTTGGAAAGGAAATTTTTTTTCTCACACAGCTGCAGTGAATTTGGTGTGGACTTAGGCACTGTCATCAGAAGCAGTCAGTTGCTAAATCTTCTTGATGCTTGTGCCAGCATCTAGATATATGATACCACTGAGAACTTTTGTCCTTCAAAACCATAGAAACCTGGATGTTTATCTAGGACTTGGTGCCAGATTTCCACTCTTTCCAGTGAAAGACAAGTGCAAAAGAAGGCCCAGCAACTGCAATGACAGGGCACTTATGGACGGTGTGGGAAATGTCAGGCTGGGCCTAGTTCTCTTTTCTTCGCCCCACTGGTCATTAAAAAACAAAACCTTGGTTTCTGTCAATGCGGAAAGTAGCCCTCCTCTCCTTTCTTTTCTCTCCAGCTCGGGGTAAGTTGTGCTGGTGTAACTGGAAGTTCTGTGCGTGTAGATCACAGATATTTATGATACAGGACTGCAGAGCCCTGGGCCAAGAAGCCCTGGGTTCGGATGGCAGTTCTGCTAGTACATCAGTCAGAAGAAAGCAACTTACTGTTACTGTTACTTACTGTTTTTCTTTTCTAAAAGATTTTACATAATTTCAATTTAAAAGAATAAGTAAGCATGATTTTGAGATAATTATAGATTCACATGCAGTTGTAAGAAATAGTGAGAAGAGACCCTGAGTCCTTTATAGAGTTTCTAAGTCCTGTAACATTGTGGACACCCAGATCAGTGCAATCGTGCAGGTCACCTCAGCGTCACTTTTACTGTCTTTCTGGAGCCCTGTCCTCTGGGCTCCTGCTCTTCTCCCCCGAAGCCCCTGACAGCCATGTAGGTGTCTGTTGTTTGACACCTAAGTCTTTATGTTGTACATTTATGTCACTAATAGGGCTGTTCATGTTATGCATTTAATATTGGATGGGTTGTGACAGTTTGTTGTCAAGGAATTGGTCCATCTAATCTCAGTTGTCAAATTTATGTCTGTTCATAATTGGTGACGTTCCTTTACCATCTTGCTGATGTCTGTAGAGATACCCCTTTTTATTACTAGTACCACTATTATTTTGTTCTTTTTTGCTTTGTCAGTCTAGCTAGAGGTTTGCCGGTTTTACTGATCTTTTTCAAAGAACTAGCTTTTGCCTTAATGATTTCTCTTTCAGTTTCATTCATATCTGTTTTTATTTCATTACTGTTTTCTTCTGTTGGCTTTGAATTGATAGCATAGTTCATTAATTCAAACTTTTTCTAATTTCTTAGGTAAGCATTGAGTGCTTATCATTTCTCTCTGAGCAATACTCTGTGGACCACAGGTTTTGGTGTTTTACTTTCATTCTGATGGGTGTAGCTTATGGTTTCCCTTGAGGCCTCGACTTTGACGATGTTTGAGTCTCAATTGGCCACCCACCCATATCCATGTGCTCTCCATGCGCACAATCTGTGGATCAAAATGTGAAAAAAATCGTGTCTGTACTGAACTTGGACAGGCTTTTCTTTTTCTTACTGTTTCCTAAATTATATAATAAATCTTTATAACATTTCATTGTTTTAGGCATAAGTAATCTAGAGACGATTCAGAATATAAGGAGATAAGCGTGGATAACTTACAACGCGCGTGCCTTTTACGTAGGCTGCCTGAGCATCTGTGGATCTTGCTGTCCACAGCGGATACGGAGCTCAGTCCCCATGGATTCTGACCAGGAGGAGGTAGTCTGCTTAGTTTTGAAGCAGTTGGAGATTTGTGTTTGGTAAAGCAGCATTTCACCTAAGTTTTAGACCATTATAAAGCGAGGAAACTTGAGTGTCAGATTATCATAAGCCAGTGTTTAGGATTCTAAAAAACTTCATGAGAAAGTGTGACCAAAAAACTTGCTTTAAAGAACATGTAATAAGAAATTATTTTAGTTGTAATGTCATTTTTAAGCTGAATAAACAAAAATAGAATTGTGATTCTTACCAATTTGTCTATGTCAATTTATAAATAACATTTTTCACTATCTTTTTTACAGATTGAAATTGTCAAAGAAGAATTCAATGAACACTTAGAAGTGGTAGATAAAATTAACCAGATCTGTAAAAATCTACAATTTCATCTGAATAAAATGAAAACTTTTGAAGAGCCTCCTTTTGAAAAAGAGGCTAATGTTATTGTGGACAGATGGCTTGATGTACGTGATAATTTGACTATAAATTTTATTTTGTAACAGTTAAATTGATTTTTAAGGAGTGTGTCTTTAGTATTATCTAATTGGAAAATTAAACTGTATCATTGTAAAAGTATCACACAATATGCTGTTTTTAGCTTAGGAATTAAGTTCACCCTAAAGGTAAGCAACACTAACAAATGAATCTGTACTTTTCCAGATATAAAAATATATATTCTTTATAATTAATATATTACTCACTTCTGATGAAGGATATCAAAGTTTAGTTATATACATTTTTATTGAATAGTAATATAATACATTTTTATTGAATAGTAATATAATACATTTTCATTGGATAGTAATGATATTTTTATGAATTACAACTAATCAGAACTTATCTGTATGATATTTTCATCTGAGTTTTTAAAACCTTTTGTCAAATTATGATTTAAGTTTGGTTTTTTTAAGAGAAAAAACTACATGATATATTAAAGTGAATATTTTGAATATTTTGTTGATAAAGCAAATTAGTCATGATAAATTCAAATTTTATTTTAAAGCAAGTGTTTGAACGAAACAATTGTTTCCCTATTTCTCACCACTGTGTGTATTACTTCTGTTTTTAAATTATGGCAGATAAATGAAAAGACAGAAGAATACTATGAAAATCTTGGTCGAGCTCTGGCTTTATGGGACAAACTTTTTAACTTAAAAAATTTCATTGACGAATGGACTGAAGAGACTCTTCAAAAAATGGGCTCACACCTGCTGACGGAAGAGGACAGAGAACGGCTGAAGGTAGGCAGTAGACATCAGAACTTGGTTCTTACACGGCTGGTATTTTAATAATCAGTTTGCTTTCTTGAAACGGGGAAACACAAAAGACATGCATTCTTTTCATTAACCGTTAAAGGCCCCAAACTATATCCATCTCTTTTTGGCACCCAGGAATATGTTAGCGGGTTCTATTAACCTAGGGCTCATAGACACCCAAGTGGAAGGTTCATTGATAAAAATGACCTCAACAGGAAAAGCTTACATGTTTAATTTCATGAATGGTTAATTACAATGTAGCCTTTGGTTCATTTATGGTATGGGCAATGTGCACAGTAGTACAAACATTACATGTAACTTTGCTTTCAAGAAAATCAAAGTATTGTTGGGATATTATTTAGTTGTTATGATTATTATCCCTAACACTACTTTGAAAGTATTGGACTTAGTAGACCCACTGCTAGATTGTGCAATTTAATAAGACCTTAATAGATAAACATGAAGTAATGTATATCACAAATTGCTTTTAACGTGTGATAACTATAATCTATGCTAATTGGCTTCTTCGGAATCCTGTGCAATTTGCTGTATTTTTTATATTTTTAAAATATTATTATGCAGAGTTCTATAAGTTTTGCCAGATTTCCAAAGGGACATGTACTATAAAAAAAGGTTAAGAATGCCTAGGGCCAGATATAGCTCAGAGGCATAAGGGCCTGCCTGGTAAGCACAAGGTCCTCAGTTTGATTCCTGGTACCAAAAAAAAAAAAAAAAATTGCCCAGCAGAAACTTAACAAAACATTCCCAGATAGTTGCCTAGACCTTTGGAATAGGTAAATCTTTTCTTAAAAGACCACCGTAAATATTTTAGCTTCCTGGGACAGACTGTTAGTTAAACCTTGCTGTGTAGCATGAAACTCATAGACAATACAGAAGGCTTCAGAAGTAGCTGGGTTGCAATAGAACTTTGTTTATAAAAGCAGGCCGCCACTCCTGAGGCTGCAGTCCGTTAACGTCTTCCCAAACTCCTGAGCATGGATGACCTTCTTTTCTTTTTGGATGAATGGTCCCTCAAAAAGATAAGGCTCACGACTGCCAACATCTTCACAAAGCTTTTTGGGTTTTTTTTAGAGAAGCTCATTTTAAAACAGTCATCTTGGGCATTTGGAAGGAATGGAAGTTGTTGCTTTTAATCCTAGGAAGAATTCTTTCTAACTGCCTCGTTTCCATTTTATTAGTTTACACCATATAAAACTGTTGCCCGAGTATTTGCAGACACAGTTGAACGGGCTGGTTATATGTGGTTCAGTGTAATATGAAACTATTGTTGTACCTGAAGTCGATGCTTCACGTCTCGTTTTATCCTTACGTCTTGCTATTTGGCGCAAGTTTTGATTCACACCTTTTTTTGTACATTTGGAAAAAGCTTTGAAATGTGTGATGATTTCCAGTTTCTTCCAGATATATTAAAAAGTAAAGCTATGATTTTAGTACAAACGAACCATCTTTAAGAGATTTTAAATTTGTCTTGAACTACAAGTTGTTTAAAAATCAAAAGTTAAAGAGTATAAATGGTTGGGCTGTCAGCCAAATCCTGCCAAATTTGTAAGTGTCATGATTTCTGTACCCATCGCTGCGAGATTTACAGTGCCCTGCTCCTCTCCGCTATCTGAGAACTTGGATGCTCCCTGAGTTCAAGCCTGGGCACACTGGCTGTGAATCTTCCCAGGCTCTGTGAAAAATGCAGATGATTAGGAAAATTCAAGGGCACTGTCAGTTTCTGCAGATCAGCAGTAGTCTATGGCTTCCAGAAAATAAGGTATCAAACAAAAATTTTTCCCTTTGAAAATTATGTTTTAGGAAGAGTTACGAATGCATGAAAAACAAACATCAGAATTTTCTAAAAGAGTGGCCGAAATTCAGTTTCTGCTTCAAAGTAGTGAAAAGCCGCTTGAACTTCAGGTAAGAGAATTTTTTTTTTTTAAATAATTTGAGACAGGGTCTTGCTATGCAGTTCAGGCTAGCTTTAAACTAGCGTGCAGCCCAAACTGGCCTTCAATTCATGGTGATCCTCCTGCCTCAGTCTCCCGAGTGCTGGGATTACAGGAGTGCGCCCCCATGCCCAGCTAGGTAGAGAATTTTTATTTTGAAGTTCCAAGTAAAGATTTTTCTATAGCTTCTCAGGTAGTATTCATACATTCATAGAAATCAAACATGCAAAGTCTTAGATGTAAAGTAAAATTAGGTTCATTATTTATTTGATTGCTATATTAAGTCCAACCAAATTTTTTTGGTGTTGATAATTATATTTGTTCCATATTTAGCATGAATAATATTATATTTTTGCTTTCTTTTTTTCTCCTTTCCCTTCTCATAGGCTTGGAGGGGGCCTGGGGCTGTGCTTCCATGTAAAGCAACAGTGGTTTCCTAAGAGTATCATGGGTGTAGGGAGGGGGATGTGGCTCAGGTGACCTTAGGTTTATCAGCTGCTAGGTGGAGGAGGAGGGAGGTGGTCCAAGCATGCTTCTCTGTGTGTGAGGAGATTTGTCTCAGTTGTATTTGGAACAAAGTATATGGTAGCTGACTATGAGCTGGAAGCCAGACTTTTCAGGTGACATCATGGCCATCTTGTGATCAACTTAGTGATCTTGGACAAGCTACTTAACCTCTTTAAGCCTGTATTTGTACATGAAGTGCCTCCTACTTTTAAAAAAAAAACTGTGTTACTTTTTTTCCGTACACTATAATCTCTTTTTTGTTGTTGTTGTTTTTCTATGTATTTTAGCACTGGGAGACATCATTTCAGTTCGTATGTTAGCTAAAACTTGTTTGGGGAGAAGGATTCCAATTAGCATTTTAGCAAAAAGTCCCAGTGTAACTTGAGTTTGTTCCATATCCTTGGGCGGCAGTCTTCTAACTGTTGTATCAGTGCTGCAGAGAAGAATTTATTTCACGTCAAATCAAAGCAATCCCAGTTTACTTTCTAGCAATGCAGTTGTCTGGAAATCTAGTTGAAGCAGACATAGAGCAGTCTTCATACGTTCTGTTGTTCAGGTCATGGAGTCGTCTGTTTGGAATAAGATGGAACATGTGAAAAAGTGTGTAACCGGAGAAGCCAGCAGCTGCGCACTCGGCGGGAGCCAGGCTGAGCTGAGGGAGGATCTGGACCAAGCCAAGACCCAGATCGGGATGACCGAGTCCCTCTTGAAAGCACTGTCTCCTTCTGACAGCTTGGAGATCTTCACCAAACTCGAGGTGCTGCCCTGCTGCCTGTCCTCTAGGGTTCAGGCTTTGATGCTCTGACCCTTTTGTAGTCAGTAAAGCAGAGAAATGAAAGCTCTGGAGTGTAAACCTCAGAAAACCAGTTGGTGTATATTTCAGATGTTCACCTTTGAGTTGCTTCATGGAGAGTGATTTTTTTTTTAATTTTGAATTGCCCTGTATAACACATTTATTAGGAAAGAGAAAGCAAGTCCAGTTGAAAATCTAGACTTTTACAAAGTGAGAGCTCATCTGCTTTGTGTGAATTGAGCCCATTTTAAGATGTCATGGGACTTGGTGGGGAGTCCTAGGTCAGTGCTAGAGCCTTTGTCTAGCACTCATGAAGTCCTGGGTTCGTTTGCAAGCACTATCTCCCCCACCAGAAAGACCCCAAAAAACTAACGGCAGATGTTTGTTTATGTGTGTAGGAGATACAGCAGCAAATTCTACAGCAGAAGCACAGCATGATAATCCTTGAAAATCAAATAGGTTGTCTCACTCCAGAACTCTCTGAATTGAAAAAGCAATATGAAAGTGTTAGTGATTTATTCAATACCAAAAAGAGTGCTTTGCAAGATCACTTTTCTGCATTATTGAATGGTGAGTGCGATGTTTCTGTTACTTTGTGGCTGGGAGTCTCTGAACACAAAAGCTGACCCATGCCTGACTTACAGATGGCTCACATCGACTGTATATTAAAGGATAACACATAAATCCACTGTGGGAAAGCACATGCTCTTTAATGCCTGGCCCAAGCAATGTCTGCTTATGGCAACCCCAAAATGTTCATTTCATGGAAGTACATCACCATGGTCATGTTTAATCCCTTGAATTCAGTGAGACTTGGGATGTGCAAGTAGCCGCTGTCCTCACAAGTGTCTTTGGGTATCCATATGCGAGGCCTTATTAACTCTTAAAATTGGGTTTCGGGAGGTAGCACTGTATACGTGGCAGCATGAGGAACAAATTCCAGCATCTCTCTTATAACAAGGGTGTGAAGTCTTGTCTGAATACACAGAGGTTTTTGGTTTCTCCCATCCTGCAGATCAGTGCAAGAACTTTAACGACTGGTTTAGCAACATTGAAATGAACCTTAAGGACTGTTTTGAACCATCAGAAACAAAGAAGAGTGTGCAGCACAAGCTACAGAAACTTTCTGTAAGAGATGCGTATGTTAATAGAGAATATCGAAACAAGTATTGGCAGCATAGACCTATATTTAAGCCAAAAGGGTAATCATTTCTCTAACTGACGGTATTACAGAAGGGATCATAGTGCCAGCAACCTGGCTTGTCCCAAAATATCTTGAGACTGTCTTTGCAGGTAAAAGTGAAATGGCTAAAGCAAATTCTTCCATACGTGTTCTGAGGTGCTTTTTGGTGAATTCAGTTACGTTAAAATATATTTGATAAAAAAATAAAGTTTTCATCAATTTGATAAATAGAAATTTCATTAAATTTGGACTTTCTCTTTCTCTTTCTCTCTTTCTCTTTCTATTTTTCCCTCTCTCTCCCTCTCTCTTTCCTTCCTTCCTTCCTTCCTTCCTTGAGACAGGGTCTTGTTATATAGTTTAGGCTGGCCTTGGACTCTCAGCAGGCCTCCTGCCTCAGCCTTCCAAGTGCTAGGATTACAGGCATGCACCAGTACATCCACCTAATATGAACTTTAAAATCCATGTACTTTCTTGAAAAAGATCTCCTGACGTCTTATAAGTGTTTTCCCAGTCATATTTCTTTTAAAAACAGTTCTTAATACGCTGTGGGTCGGGTGTGCCTGAAGCGAAAGGTGAGCATGTGAGAGCGTGTGCGCTGCCTTTGGGACCCTTACTTGCCATCACTTGAGGCTGGGTTCCCTGGTGCTGTCATGCTTTCACGTGTTCCTTTGAGACGGGCTCTCACTTACTGCCCAAGCTGGTCTGGATTCCTGGGCTCAAGTAAACCTCCCACCTCAGCCAAGAGAGTTGAGACCTGGGTGTCCCAGCTTTCTCCTAATGATACTCACATTTTCAGCTTATTGTCATCGGAGTTCATTGTTGAGTGGTGGTATTATTTGTTGACAGACTCACCTTTCTTGTACTTTTAAAAGCCTCCTCCCCCTCTCTCCCACCGCCCTGGCCTCAGCACTTGTTACTCAAACCTGGAAAGACTGAGGGAAAAATACTCTGACGGCAAATTTAAATGAAGGTTGTTTAGTTTTCTATACTAATTTGCTAAAAAGGCGCATGTAGTTAGAAGTTGTGCAGAGCCAGAATAGGAAATCGTAGCTTTCCGCTTCACTCCTAGAGACCTTTTAGGTGGCACTGCATTATTTTGCTTGGTATTCTCAGATATGTTCATGCCAGTGCTGATGTGCACCAGCTCCAGTACTCCAAATTCCCTGCTGTGGAATCAGCCCCGTCCTCAGACCCCTCTGTATGGGGTGCTGCGAACGCCTTCTGAGCGGGTCTGCATACCACTTTGGGAAGCGGAGGGATGGCAGAGCCGGATCCAGACTTTGGAGCAGATCATAATTCACCGCCTGTCTGTCTTAAGGAGTTCCTGAGTCTTGAAGGAAGAGGCGGGAAAATACAGCAGGTAGAAACAGTGCTGCAGCATGTGAAGAAGCACCTGCCCAAAGCTCGCGTGAAGGAACTTAGCAGCTGGCTCGTGAGTCAGGAATTCCAGTTAGAAAAGATGGAGTCCATATGCCAGGCTCGAGCTCGGGAGCTCGACAGCGACCTGCAGCAGCTGCTGAGGTAGGAACTGCTGCTGCTGTCTCCAAAACATTTTCTAGGGAGAGTTTTCTATGATTTCTGCTGTTTTTCCTCTATGCACATTCACCAAGATGTAGCATATATAGCAAGCACTCTACCTCTAAGCTACACCACAAACTCGACTTTATTTATTTGTTTATTTGGTTTTTTGATCCTCACTGTGTGGAGTCCAGACTGTTCTTATGTTCACTGTGTAGCCCAAGCTAGCCTTAAGCTTGCAATGATCCTCCTGCCTCAGCCTCCTGAATGCTGGGATTACAAGTGTGGACCACCAAGCTCAGCCTAAAAGTACTTTTTGAGACAGGGTTTTACTGTGCAGTTCAGATTGGCCTTGAACTCATTTTGTAGCCCAGTCTGCCCTCAAACTTGCATCAGTCCTCCTGCCTCAGCCTCCCAAGTGCTGGGATTACAGGTGTGCACCATCCTGCCTGGCTTCTAACAGTACTTTTAAATTCAGGCTCGATGCTAGGAATATAAAAATGTTCCAGGAAATCTGGCAAAGGTTCAGGAGATAACCCCAAAATATTTTGTTTCCTATTCTTTATGATATATTTGTATTGCTCTAACAAATTATACTGTAAAAGGGACAATTATTATTCAGATTTTTATATGTCAAGGCTTTCTTTAAAAAACACAGATGATGAAAACTTGGTTGATTCCCCTGGGTCATGTCATTCTTCAAGATAAATATGACGTTAATTTTATATTCTAAGCTGTGTACTATCCTTATAGACTGGAGGATGACTGTGGAAACCTGAGCAAGTGGTTGATTAATCAAGAAGAGAAATGGAAAGAAACAGGAGAATCAGGAGAGAAAGCTGAGCTGTTCCGCCAAGCTCTGGCCAGAAAGAGGTATCGTGCCTGGTGGGATAGATATTCCTTAGGAACATGATTTCTTTCATTCGGAATTAGTGGCTCCTATAAACTTTTTTTCAATGCTGTTTGAAATTTACAGGGAACAGTTTGAATCTGTGGCCCAGTTGAGCAGCTTTTTGAAGGAACGTGGCCTCGAGGAAGAAGAAGTCATAATGCAGTCAACACATCTGATGGGGAGATACCAGACCTTCCTGAGACAGCTGGGGAGAACCGAGGAAGAGCCTCAGTTACCGTCCGAGGAGGGCCAGAGCTTTGACGATCTCGCACATGGTGTAATTCATTGGATAAAGGAGATTAAAGAGTCGCTTATGGCTTTGAATTCATCCGAAGGCAAAATGCCACTGGAAGAAAGAATCCAAAAAATAAAGGTATAACTGGAAAATAAATTTCAGGGGTCAGAGTGAACTCTGCTTTTGAAAAGATGTACCACAGAGCTGTGAAGATTTGATTCTTAATGGGAAATAGGATTGCTGTGGAATGGCCAAAGAAATTCAAATCACGTAACTCACAAAAGAGATGGGTTGTGATAGGTCTAAAATTATTTTAATGCACACAAAAGACAGTTTATCTTCTCTTTGGGAGGGCGGCACTCACTTATTGTCCATCTTTACTGCAAGCGGAGAGGTTGAAATAGAGACTGTGGATCAGAGCCGTAGCAGATGGGGATTTGCTGGGGACACAGGTACGGCTAGGGCAGGAATGGAGAAGTACATTCTTTGGAGTGGACTTGAAGGTTCAGTAGCTCCGGGTGGGGTAGGAAAGACCCAGGAGTCTCGTGCCCTCTTCTGTGCAAGTGGAGAATTGTCAAGCATTGCCAGTGAAAAATACTGGGGACAAAAGCACATGTGCCTATTGAAATCTCATCAGTAGGAGCACTAGCCATGGAAGAAGTGATCAAAGATAGTGAGTGAGACTTGATGACTTACTCAAGTTGTCAGGCTCATTTGGGATGTCGTCTTTTCCTAGGGAAAGACGACCTTGAGTTGTTTTTCCAGCATGGGAAGAACTTAATTGCAGAGCAGAGGAGGGAAAGAGAAAAACAGGAACAAGAATTAGTAGTCATGAACGGTAGAGAGACAAGAGCTGACGTGAAGAATGCTGTTTTCCTGTGGGAAGCCATAGTCGGTCTGTGGACACACAAAACTGCCTTGTGTACATTGTTACCCTAACTTCTGATGGAAGTGGATAGGAAGGAGGTTGCCCGGTGTTTCTGGCATGGAGGATCTTGAGTAATGGGGAAAGTCCTTGTCTTTTGACATACACTCTGTAGTTTGAATGGCAGTATAAAGCTTACAAATGAAAAGATACCATATGTGATATCCCTAAGTAATGCCAATGAGATGATGACATCTTTCTTTCTTTCTTTCTCTTTCTTTTCTTTTTTTCTTTCTTTCTTTCTTTCTTTCTTTCTTTCTTTTTTTCCTTCCTTCCTTCCTTCCTTCCTTCCTTCCTTCCTTCCTTCCTTCCTTCCTTCCTTCCTTTCTTCCAGGAAATCATTCTACTCAAACCTGAAGGGGATGCCAGAATACAGGCCATCATGAGGCAGGCGCAGGGTTGCGAGGCCCTGGCAGGGCAGGTCCAGGAGATGGTGGCCGATATCCGTGAGCAGTGGGACAGCACACAGCACTTGGCCAGCACGTACCTGAGGTAAAGTGCGTGCCGGTGCCATGCTTGCTCGGTCTTGTTGTCCAGCGAGGCCCTAGCAAGTGTATTTTGTCTGCTACCTGGGTTTACATAAAATACCGGTTGGAGAGAATTTGGGATATGGGGCGTGCACCAGGGACCCACCTTCTTGGCCACATAACTCTCTCCTATAGAAGGCTCTGCTATGATGCGGGGGCTGGGATGCACCCTTGTGGGCTTCTTAGGGACAAAGTCACTTTGTCTGCCCCTCTGCCATCTACCCTTGCTCTGAACCCAAACCCCTTTCTCCCTGATGACCTCAGCGTCTCCATGGTATCGCTGTAGAACAGTGAGGTTTCCCAGAGTTTCTCCCAAGGAATTCTTAAACGGGTAAACGAGCTCAGTGCAGGCCCAGTCCTACAGACGTGTCTTCTTTAGTGCTACACTTTTATGTTTTGAAATGGGACTCTTAGGTTTTTCTAAGGTGATAATAAGAGCACAACAAATTTAAGTGGTATAAAGCGTAAACCAGTTGCTTAATAATACAGAATTTTACTTTATGAAAAAGTAGAACCTTTTATATTTAAAAATAATAAAACAAAAACTATTGGGACTGCTCTGAAATCTAAATTATTAAACAGTCTTTGGCAAACTATATAACAAAAGGTATTATGTGGTGGTAATACTCAATTTCTATCTGCATTTATGAGCTAAATGTGTTATTAAAACGTTAGTGTCACAAGAATCTCTGGGAAAAATGTGTATTACTAATATTTTAATGCTGTTTATTACAATGTATGCTATATTCTGATATACAAAATACCACTTTGCTGTCATTTCATTTATAAAATATTTGGTTAAATTTAGTCATCAAGAAAAGCTTCTACAAGAAGGAGAAAAGTACTTGCAAAGTAAAGAAGACCTGAGATTAATGCTCACAGAGCTCAGGAAGAAACAGGAAGCTGGCTTTGCCCTGCAGCATGGCCTGCAGGAGAAGAAAGCTCAGTTAAAAATTTATAAGAAATTCCTCCAGAAAGCCCAAGATTTGACGTCCTTGCTAGAGGAGTTAAAGTCTCAAGGAAACTACCTGTTGGAATGCACTAAAAACCCCAGCTTTAGCGAAGAGCCCTGGCTAGAGATAAAACATCTGCACGAAAGCCTCCTTCAGCAACTACAGGTGAAGTGCACAGGCACGATTTTAAACGATTGTCAGTGTTGTTACACAAGATGCGTATGTAGAACCCCTTGTTTGGCAATTGTTCAGTGGATAAACCAAAAGTTGTAAAGATGTATGATCTGTATGTGAAAATGCGGACTCAAAGCTAGAGAGATCAACCTGGTCAGCTTCGCTAGAGGAGTCCGTTGGGAGTTACTTGATGACAGCTCATTTCCTCCTATTAAAGTTCCTTCTTCAGGGTTGGCTGGGTTAAGATTCTTAAGGCATCTGTACGAAGATGACAGTGCCGGTGTTATCTGTCTGTCCATCCACCCACCTGCCCTCTGTAATCACGTGTCATTGATCGTCTACTCAGTGTCCTGCCTTTGAATTTTTCCACATGAGCTGCAGTAAAAGAGCTGAGGTGAAAGTTTGTGATGAGAGGGTAAATTCTTCTATTAGAAATATTCATGACGAGTCTCACACTGATAGCCAGGTGAGAATCTGGCTATCAGGGTAAAAAGTCCTACATGTCAGATACGGAGTGTTGAGCAGGCATGCAGCTGTACTCCTGTGGCTGTGTGTTGTTTAGTTTAATACTTGCTGCCTCTCTGTTTAGATGTAGTCATCTTATTTTCCTACCCCAGTGCAGGATCCTGTGGATGGTTTCACTTTTGAGTTAGGCTTACTGTCTTACTAGCAACACAAGATTTGAGTTCAGTTCCTAGGAAAGGAAACTGGGGTTAGGTTGATCTCATCCAGTCTCATTTCTAAGGATGAATTCTTGATTTTTAAAGCAACAGATAATTAAGGGACCTGGTTTATCATGGATGCTTGTGATTTAATGGTATAATTTGTAGTCATTTCATTTTGAAAACCTCTTGACAAATACATTTTCTTTAGGAAGGAAGTGACGGTAAGAGCATTGGTGGAACAATTGCTTTTAATAAGAGTCATTTTCGGGAGAGATGGAAATTTTGCAGTGAAGTATCTCTGACAGTGTTCTTTAGTTAAGAATTCTGGATAGCTGGGGATATAACTCAGCGGCCCAGCACCTGCCTGGCAAGCTCAAGGTGGAGAGTTCGATCCCTGGTTTTAAAAAAAGGAATTCTGGATAAATTGTGCATGTATTCTTGCTTCAAGATGAAACCTTATCAATTGAGCCCTTATGGATTTTATAGTTATGAATTATAAGAGTATGTGGAAATTCAGGAGAGTATTTGTAAGTTATTGATGGTTTTATTTTCAGGATTCTGTGCAAACGTTGGAGGGTCATGTTCAAGAACACCACTCATACCAGGTTTGCGTCACAGACTTGAATACCACGTTGGACAGTTTTTCGAGGGAATTTGTCAGTTTTTCTGATACACCTGTGAATCAAACAGCCATTGAGGACAAATTGCAGAAACTGCAGGTATTAAACAATATGTAGATATTCCAACTAGATCTTTAAAAAAAATCAGTATTCATTATGACTTGACCAATCATTGTCTTTGGTTAGAAATTCAAGCATTATTCAATGCCTCAGATAATTAAAGCTCCCAAGTGTTCATTAAAAAGTGCAACATTTTTTCATTAGTGGCCAAATGCATCTGTAACTTGAGTTGAGCAGTACTCTGACACAGTGGGTATTTCTTGGAGATAATTCTCCCTGTGATGCGTTGCCACTACCCAATGTGGCTCCCTGAGGTTCTTGGGGTTAAGGACCATGAGAGGATCAGAAAAATAAAGAAAAGACAAGGCTGGGGTCAGGTGGAGCCTTTATCCTCCTGATGGGAGGGAAGGAACTGCTCAACCACTGTAGCCCCTTTATTTATATACTGGGGAAGATGATGTCAATTTCAGCCCCTCTGTCTAGCAACCCACTTTTGGCAGGCCTGGGCCCCTTGCCTTCTCTGTGCTGGAACAACTTGTTTACATAGCTTGTTTTGAGTGCTGTGTTTTTTCTGGGCTGGCCTTGCTTTAGCCCCACACATGTGATTAAGCCCCACACATGTGATCAACGAATCCCTACAATGCATCTATAGTTGGGGATGTCTCTCTTCCAGAGAAAGCTTGGCAATTCCTGGGCACACTGAGAGACCAGAGGGTGCATGGAGCCTAACAAGGCCTCAGGAGAAATGGTTCAGTTTAGCACTCTTCATCATGGCTGGGGAGAAGTTGTCTAACTTTTGCCTTTTTAGTGCTCATTCTCTTGGACTAAGTTAAAGCTCTCACAGAGGCGGGGGCTCTAAGACCCTCCTGCTCTCTTTTGCACTAAGTACAGATGTGGCCTTATATGCATCCTCTGAACTCCTTCTTGTATCCTCCCTGTTTGTGTGGCCAGCATGGCAGGCTTTGGTGTCCTCTGTCCAAAGACAGAGTGCAATGTTTTCCCTGCTCTCCTTTCCTGTCCCTTGTCTGGACAGTTTGCAGGGTGACGTCTGTGGCACAGCGCAGGCTCGGGGCTTCCTGTCTCCTTCCTGGTAGAGACATGGGCATCACGGAGACTACTCCTGCAGAGCCACACATTTCGACCAGGCCTGCACCCTGTTGGACGGTGATAATTGGGCAGGCATTGAGGGCTCCTCATGTCCCAGGTGCTGTGTAGAAGCCACCAGTGCTAGGAAAAGTGTGAGACCTGGCCCACACCTGTCGAAGCTCAGGCCCCTGGCCACAAATTAGGACACAGCCTTATGCTGTAGCTCAAAAGGGCTGCAGGTCACAGCCCCGGTCAAGGTCACATGGGGCAAATGACCGCAGATGCTTATCCCTGAGTGCTGGCCTCCTCCTTGGGTGCTTTTTCTCTCCAGTGACATCTTTACTTGAGTATCATAATTATTTGCAGTTCTTTGTGGCTATATAATAAATAAAGCACCACATTTCTCTGTCCTCTGACTTCCCACCAAGGATCCTATGCACCCCTGTAGTCTGAAGTGATGAGTATTTTTGTCATTTTTTCAAGCTTCCAGCTCAGAAATTTGGTGTCGTGTCTTGGTCTAGCTCCCTAATTAGGCAGATGTTGTCCCTCCCTATCAGCCCAGGATTACTGCCTCATCCTACGTATCCCTGCTTTAGGATTCTGAAGGTCCACCCTGTTTGTAGCTGTCATTCTTTCTGCTGCATATTTCTTTTTTTTCGTACCGGGGATCAAACTCTCAACCTTGTGCTTTCTAGGCAGGCACTTATGTCACTGAACTAAATCCCCAGTCTTTCTGCTGCATATTTCCCATCACGGCTCTGGGTCTTTCTAAAAGGGAGTTGTTATTTCCTACCTTAAAACGTTTTAGTGACCTGTGCCTATTTATTAGTATAGATCTTTTTGCATTCCATTGTGCCTGTTGGTTTATGTGTATTTCTGTACCACTGGATTGTGGAGCTTGTCAGGATTGTGATTTACTCCTACTGCCCAGCTTTAAAACCTACCAGCCCTTGACTGTTGAATCAGCGAGTGAATAAATGCATGAATATTAGTTTCCCATTACGTTAATGAGTCTTACATTTTATAGAGGCCACCTAGTAACTAAGGCTTATTCCATTTCAATAGTTGAGACAGGGCTGTCACCCTTGAGTTCCTTTTGTGCCTAGAGTTTTCAAATTGGCCCTATTCATTCATGCATCCAGAACACAGTGAACTCAATTCCTAGTGTTTGGAGCTGTGCCCCAGACTGATTTCTCGTTACCTACAAACTTATGCTCTGAAGTTTAAATGTTAGCTTTAGAGTCATATGAGCACATTCTAAATGATTCTTATATTCTTTTTGATATCATAGCAAGCACTTATTTATTAAGAGTGGTTTCATAAAAGGCTGTGTCTGGAACAACTATCTGTTGATTACTTCCCATGTTTTCAGAGCTGTGTTGTAAACATTTCCTGTGTTTCTTCTGAAATCTGTTTGCAAACTTGATGTGCAGTGCTACATTGGTTTAAGTTTTATCGGATTTCCTCTTTGTGTTACGAACTGATAAATTGTTCTAATGTGTTTCCACTCGTGCAGCGGAATACTGTGTAATTTTACAAAAGTCAATGAACTCTTGTGACAATTGAATGGGAATGCTTTCTGTAACCATCTTTTCTCCACTCCTAGGAACTAGAGAGTAGACTCCGTTTACAAGATGGCACCTTAAAGAAGATTTTAGCGTTAGCGAAATCCATCAAGCCAAACACATCTTCAGTGGGACAGAAGATTATTAAAGATGATATAAAATCACTTAAGCATAAACAAAAAGATTTGGAAAACAGGATTGCGCTTGCCAAGCGGGAGACTGAAAATTGTCTCAACAGCCTTCTCAAATCAAAACGTTCAGCAGAGAAGCAAGAGAACTCAGCTGCACTGAACGGAGAGGCGCGGGCCACTTCTGATGCGCTGGAGTCCACTCAGGGCTCCACGGCGGAGGGAAAGTCTGAGGGAGACTGGGACATAAACAAGGTAAGTGCGTGCGATTGCGCTTCCTGAGACTTCGAGTCTGAGAATGAAGAGGTGTTTGGTTCTGAGAAGAGCGTTTGTGAATCAAGCGCTCTGATTTCATAATTAAATCCGCAGTGTCCTGGTTATTTATGAAGCTCACTTGTGAAAAGAGTCCTTAGAAAACGGTCCAGGTTTCAGTGGTGATACATTATTGTTCAGTCTGTTTGAATGTCAGTCATCAATTTAGGTTTATTATCCTCTTGGCTGTGTAATCAGATACTTTCTTAGGTTGAGAGCACAAAGGCAAATTAGAAAAGTAAAAAAAAAGTATGCTTTACCCATTTCCTCAACATTGTCAAAAAAAGTCCAAGAGCCCAGTGGTTGTGATTTTTGAGGGAGGGAGACCGATTGCATAGATGGCATCAGAAATAGTTGGAAAGAAATGGTTGCTTTCTTTATATTCTTTAACCCTATCCTACCCTATCAGATCATTTGGGGTGAGATTACCAATTTTGCCTAATGTTCCCTGGGTAGAGAAAAGAGCGTAGTTTTCCTTTATCCCAAACAAATGTGGGTGTGTTTTCCCCTGGTTCATGAAATGCTTGCTGATGGCCTGCAGAGGGCTTGGAGGATGCTAGCTTTGGACCTGGCTTCTGGACCTCCCCTATAGTGCAGAGTGCAGACGGGGAGCCAGAGGGTTCAGGGTGAGAGCGCGTGATGGCGTCGGGAATCATGGAGCAGAGATGCGTGGGAGATGAAAGGAACCGGCTGGGATTTTTCTAGAAATGTGTAGAACATAGTTAAATGTCAGAGGAGCCTCTCTCTGGCCGTGGGGGAAAATCTCATAAATCCCACCATGTTAGGTATTACTGAGGAAAGGTGTCTACAGGGTTAGGGCCTCAGTTGGTGAAACTCTTGCGATTGTATATGTACAAGAAGCTTCCCTAACACTATTTGATGAAGAATTGTTAACAAAAAAGAAAAACATGAATGCTTCACATGACATAAATTGCAAGAGGAGGCATAATCTTTCATGACATTGTAGAAAGAGTTAGTGACCTAATAACTTACATTTTTGGACTTTTTTCATTTTTTGGCTATAAGGTCTCACTGTCCAGTTCAGGCTGACCTAGAACTGACTATGTAGCCCTGGCTGGCCTTGAACACAGTAATCCTCCTGCCTCAGCCTCTTGAGTGCTGGGATTATACAGGGATGAGCTACCACACCCGGCTCCCTAATATTCTAAACTAACTTCTCAGACCCATTTTGTCCAGGAGCCTCTGTAATTCAGTCGAGTACATTGAAGACTATAGAAAGACCATAATTCAGTGTGTTCTCTTAGTTTATTAAGCTTTTTCCTTAATCTTGAATGATAAGTTATTGATAATTTATGATATGTCACTAAAATGATTTTTTTAAAGAGAAGATGAAAGGATTTGATCTGAACAATTTTTTAGATCTGGATTACAGAAAACTAGTTCTAATTCTCTAGAAAGATTTTTCTTTTACTCTTTTGTAATATGAATTTCTTTTCTGAATCTGTGTGGCTCATTTTTCTTTCGTAAGGACTAGCTGTGCTTAGTTTTATTTTTATAACATTAGACTGTGCAGCATTATATAACATCACACTGTGAAAGGTCACGAGCAATTTCAAGATTGAACAGTGTCAGATCAAATGTGTGCATGTGTAATGTGACCAACACTGATACTTAGGACTCTCAGTATAAGGAGTCCAAAAGTCACATTATGCAATTTCTAAATTATAAGTCTGATTATTCTAAAACTACTGTATCATTGAAAAGAAATGAATTGATTAAAACATTTATTGAGCTCTATTTTACTCTAATTGTTCTGTTAGAATTGTGGGGTTATAATTACCATAATTTAAAATCTAACATTAAGCAAATAAATATTCAGTACTCACTTCACCTGCCTTTTGGAATCAAGAGATTATTTCATTAGATTATTTTAAGTAGTTCCCAAAGTTTTAAAAGTTTTTGTTTAGTTTCTCTAAATGTCATTAATCTTTGTTGAAAATATGATTAAAAATTGCTATCAAGCTGGTGGCAAAGACCTGTAATCCCAGCACTCTGGGAGGCTGAGGCAGGAGAACTGCAAAGTCAAGCCCAGCCTGGGAAACTTACTGAGACCTTGTTTCAAAAATAAAAATTTAAAAATGACTGGAGATGTAGGTCAGTGCAAAGGCCCTGGGTTCAACTGTAAATACAGGGGTGCGGCTGGGGAGCGGGGATTGCTCTCATAGTATGTCTGTATTTGAACCCATTACTGAGTTTCATTTGGAAGAAATTGAAGAATTACTTTAGATCTGGACATTTCGTTGACTTTTTGTTTAGTATTGGAAAAACTAATGCAGGCTTTGGGACAGAAGAGATTACAAAATTTATTCTGAAAGCCGAGTGTGGTGGTGCACATCTGTAATCTCAGCACTCCCCAGGAGGATGACGCAGGAGGATCTTTGTGAGTTGGAGACCAGCCTGAACTGCATAGTGGACCATGTCTTAGAAAAAAAATAATAATAATTCTGAAGAGGATAAGCGATGATGGTCCAGTATAGCATCTACATATTGTAGAACCATATTTATTTTTATAGAAGGGAATTTCTGAGTTTCAAAAAGTATACAGGCAGAACTAGTACTCTGCCTGCCCGTCTCTGTAGGTTAAGCGGGTACCCATCTGTAGCAGGAAATGGTAAAGACTGAAAGCAGAGAAACTCATGCATTCCTGCTTTACTCTCTTCCTGACAGTCAAAGCCTAGCACAGCTTAGCTGATTCTTGGTGGCCTCTCTTGCCTCATTCTTCCCAAATACCAATCCCGAAGATATATTTGCTTTAAAAAGGGAGGTAGGCAAAACAAAAAACCCTGAAAAACCTGTATGATTATGTCTTTAAATTTCTTGTCATTTGGTGTAATTATTGGGGAGTAACTATTATTTCTGAATAGGTTCTTATCCTTTTCAAAAGTTTCTGAGCAGTAGCATCTTGATTGAAGAAGGCATCCGTAGATAAACCCCGGCAGGCGGATGGTCACACGCAGAGGCAGAACGTGCCAGCTGTGGCCGAGGGAGCAGAGACGGATGACGATTCTGGGTATCCTGGTGACCGTCAGAGGGTGCTGGCAGGCGTGCGCCCGGCCACTCTTCTCAGCACACTGCTTTGCTCGTAGGCTGTGTTACATAGGTAGAAAATTTGGGGCTGATGAGCTTCTAGGAATGTGGATTAAACAAATTCAAATAGATTTTCTTTATCATGTGACCGGTTTAGCGCCCTTAGTATACTCAGTGCAGTGTGAGCCCTCCAGAGCGCCCCGGGGTGCCTCTTTGGTGTATAATTGCAGCGCTCCTTTGTAATCTCTGCACTCAGCCCCACCTGAACCCTGTTCCTCTCCTTCCTAACCGGTGTCTGCGCCTCCCCTGCCAGACTGATAGCCTTTCAGTTTCTTTCCATTGCACACTGCAACTCACCAATTGTAAATATGGACAATGGAAAATAAAATAATTTCATTTTCTTTTCTCTGGCTTGAAGTTATCCATACAGCTGTTCAATAAAAGTTTATTTAATAGACCATGAGAATTCAGACAGAGACACAATCTCTCTTCTCACAGCTTCTGGTCTGGGGTGGGTACACGAATCAAGGAATTATACTAAGAACACTCTGATGGCAGGAAATTAAAAGGGAGGGACCTATTGAGAGTCTTTCCTGGTCCTTGTTACAGTCTGAGAAGATTGAGTTTGTAATCTCATGGAAAAATTATTAGAATTCTAGCAAATTAATTCCAACCTACCACTTTCAGTGCAACCCATGATGAGAATAAAGACACTAAGACATATTTATAGTTATGGGGAGCCAGCAAGGGCCTAAGTCCAGCCAAAATAATTGTTCACTGGAACAAAGGCCTCAACCCAGGGCCCAACCTGGATTTATTAACTCATGAAGAAGGAAGTGGCTAGAGGATGAGTGACTATGAGAGTGGTGGGAGCTCTGTGAGCGCTGTGAGCTGGGCTCGCTAGGAGGCCTCAAAGCACCTCTGCGGTATGCAGGGGAAGGATATGCGGAGAGGTCAATCTGCATAGCACAGCTGATGCGGCATTTAGTGTTTCTGTGCGGGGCTTCTTTCTGATGCTTAATTTTTTCTGCCCTGGGAAGTCATAGGCTCCAACCCAGTTGACAGTGTGGAGTGTGGCTCTTTATCCCTCCGAGCTCAACCATGTTTTGGGAGTCACTGGGTGGGGAAACAGCGACTGTCACCTGGCTTCAAAGTGTATGCATCAGCACCTCAGCCAGCCCTATTTATATTACCTAAAGCCAATTGAAGGGAAAAAGAAATGGCCTAGCCAGCTCGCTCCAAATCAGTACATGGAGATGGGGCTAGGTGTAGTCAGAATGGAGATAACTGCTCTTTTTCTGAGCAGAGTCATCCAGGTGTCCTCCACAGGGGCCCTGTTGGTCTTTAGCAGTGCCACTTGACATGGGCAGTAGGGTTGGAGAGAGCTTCTGTCAGGAAGTAGCCTGAGACCTGAGACCAGCTGGAGGGGGCAGCTGGAGTCAGCAGAGCTCTGCAGACTAAATGGTGGGAGGAGGTGGGCGATTCCAGAAGCTCAGGGCACTGTGACTGTGCACTGCTGAGTCAACACATTATCAAATGATACATCCATGGTTCAGTTTTCTGTAAGAATTTTAAAGACACATAAAGCAGTACTACATGAATTCTGCCTTATGTAGTAACAGTGTAACAATAGGTATGCTTGGAGTTTAAAATAGTTGGTTCTAGAAAGGAAAAAATGAAAAAAGATTTAAGTATTTTCAGCCATAGTGTCTTTCCTTTTTGTTCTTTTCATATATTTGAAATATTTTATAACTTACGATAAAGCATTTCAAATGAGCTTTCAAAGTCAAAATAAAATGCAGCCGAGGCTTGTGAGCAAGGGGTGACTGTTGGGAGAGAACTTTGCGGGAACCAATCGTGGCCTGGAGTCGGGGCGCCACCCCCTGGTGTGAGCAGGGGAGGGTTGCCTTTTAAATTTGAAAAGTTCATTTGAGGGATGCTGTTGGCTTCTCTGCTAAGGTAGAAAATGGCCTTTAGGGGTGCTGAAAGAATGATGTTTTGGGGCAACTCTAAGTAGTGAAGTATCCTTTTTCCAGCCAGTAAAGGCAGTCCATTGCCCATGGCGGGAGTGTTTCCCAGGTAATGGTTGTGCCCGGGCACTGGTTCCTCGGGTGAGAGACCGAGGCTCTGGTTCTCCGGAACACTCCTTGGACCTAGGACCTGGGAATTGTGCTCCTAGGATCAAATGCTTGGGAGCCAGGAGTGGCTTGTGGGGTTTGCAGGGACAGAGTACCCTTCAGGTGGAAAAGAGGCGGGTGTGTGTCCCATCTTACAAAACCTGGCTGGTGAGACCTGTGCTGTGGGCCGTTCACCTTTCCTCTCACATTCTTGCGGGATCTTTCCTCTGAGTGTCACCCTCCCTTTAGATTTTCATCGTTCCCCACTGTGTGTGGTGTGTGTGTGGTGTGTGTGTGTGTGTGTGGTGTGGTGTGGTGTGGTGTGTGTGGTGTGTGTGTGTGGTGTGTGGTGTGTGTGTGTGTGATGGCTCTGGGGCTGAACCAGGGCCTTCTCATTCAGCTACATCCCCTAAGCCCTTTTTTATTTTGAGACAGTATTGCACAGAGTCACTGAGTTGCGTAGGCTGGTCTTGAAATTTCCAATTCTGCTTCAGCCTCCCCAGAGTGCTGGATTTATGGGTGTGCACCACCACACGCGGTTATTTGCAGCTTTTTTGAAGAAATGACTGGTGCTATACTTTTGCCAGTAACAACCAACTTCTCTTACCAGTTAGAGTTTTAAACTGGTTTGCATAAATTTTAAATTTTAGTATAGCTTTAAACTCAGAAATGCAGGAAGTTCCCTTGTGCCTCTGTGTCCAGTTTCCTCTATATTAATGTCTTGTATTTTTATCCAAGGACTCTTTTAAGCCAGTTTTTGCCTGGCTTTGGGGATGTGGACTTATTTCTTAACAGATATGATATTTCAAAGACTATACTGGCAAGCTGAGTGTGGTGGTGCATGCTTGTAATCTCAGCGCTTGGGAGGCTAAGATAGAAAGATGGTTGCAAGTTCAAGACCAGCCTGGAGTACAAAGTGAGCTTGAGACCAGCCCAAACTGCATAGTGAGACTCTGTCTCTAAAAAACCAAAAAAAAAAAAAAAAAAAAAAAAAAAAAAAAGACTTTACTGTCATCAAAGTACAAAGCAACATACCTTTCTTTTCTTGTACATACCTTTCTTTTCAGTGAACTAATATCAGTGCCTATATTGATCAGTTTTTCATGCCTATAGCTTGTAATATACAATATACAATGTGCTAACCTTTGTTACTTTCCTACAATATTACTTTGAAATTTTGCACCATTGTTTTTATTTTTTTCTTTATAATTAAAAAGAATTTACAAAAATATGCTCAGATCTGGCGAAATTCAGAACACAGCACTTTTTCCTTTGTTGTAGGGCAGTATCTGAATGTTAGTAAGCAAATATACAATAAAGCATTATTTTGAGTTTAAAGAAAAAGTAAAAAGCAAAACTAAATGATACTGTCATTTATAAAGTAATCTAGAAATAAAACAAACATTTTAACAACATAATGGAAATCTTTAAATATCACTGGCATGGTGTCTGGTATATGTAAGAGCTCAACAAATACTGATTGAAAAAATGAATGAGGCAGGCGTGGTGGTGCACACCTGTAACCACAGCACTCAGGAGGCTGAGGCAGGAGGATTGCTGTGAGCCTGGGCCAGCCTGAACTGCAGTTTGACCCTGTCTCCGAAAACAAACACGCAAACAAAGTGAATGAATGAATCCAGGTGCCCTGATTCTATGCATCCTGTTGAAAACTTCAAATCTTGAAGTTTTCAAAACAGATCAAGTCTCTGCTTGTATATATAACTTGTCCTGCCTTTTCCAGGTTGTAATTCCTATAGCTAATGGTGTGAGACATAATTTACTCCTTTAAATATTTTTTTTCAAAGAGAATAAAAGCAAACCAAACAAAACAGAATAAAAGCTAATCAAATCAGAACGATGAAAGTGATAAAGGACTTCAAAACAAGATAATAAGAAACCAACAATGAGTAACATAATGTCTCTTGTTTTCTTCAAAATAACTGTTCATACATCAGACTTAATCAAATCAAAGAAAACAAAATAGAACAAAACCAATCAAAACTAAAGAATGAAAATGTTACAGGACTTCAAACAAGATCATAGGATATCAACAATGGCTATCATAATATATTTTGTTATCTTCAAAATAGCTGCTGATACCATCAGACCCAGTAAAATCAAACAGAACAAGACAGAATAAAACCAAACCTAACAAAACTGAAAACAATACAGCAATTCAAAACAAGATAATAGGAAGTTAACAATGGTTACCACCTCTCCTTTTTAGACCTTTCCTCCCCATCACTTTCGTAATATCCATTGTACCTTCTAAAATTTTTTTTAAATTTTAAAGAGGATAAAACTAAATAAAACAGAACAAAGCATATCAGAAGGAAACAATGTAAGAGACACAGATTTCAAAGCAAGAAAACAGGAGATCATCACTGTCTGTCATGTTGTCTCTTGTTTTCTTCTAAATAGTTGTCCATATCTTCACACACAATGAATTCATACAGAACAAAATAGTGTTAAACTGATCAGAACAGGATGATGAAGGCATTTTAGGTTTTCAAGACCAGAGAATAAGGAAGTCAATGATGGCTGCCATAATGTCTCTCATTCTCTTCAAAGTATTTGCCCATACCTTCACGTATGTTGAAATTAAACAATACAAAACAGACTAAAATCACTCTGAACAAAGAATAATAGTATTGCTGGATTTCACAGCATGATGCTACGGAATCAGCACTGGGTACCATAGTGTCTCTTTTTCTTCAAAGTAGCTGTCATCATGCATTATATAATTGATTCTCATAAACTGTTTAGGAGAAGTTCTATGCTTGTATAAGTCTCTACATGTATACCTATCCTTTCTGTATTAGAGGGAGAAACAAAGCAAAACAAATTCCTAGAAAAACATGAAGCGAAAAAGACAAGTAAATAACAATAACAAAGAGCTCAAAATACTGACAATATAGGCCTTCAAAACAAGGTGACAGGAGCATAACTGGGGTTATTATTTTATATAATGACCTTCAAGAGCTCATAATTTACTCTCGATATGATGGAGTTCCACTGTTCCTTCCACTTGCTCCTCCCAAGAGGTACCAGCGAGTGCCTGGCACTTGCCCCATCCTGGCCATCAGAGTGAATGCTAAGTGTGCATCTGACAACTTTTGACTCTTTGATGTGTTTTCTTTAAGACTCTCTGCTTTGCCTCGGGAAAGCAAAACGAGAAGTTGTAGTATCTTGTGGAAAACGTTTCTCATTTTGGGGAAGTACCAATGTAGGTTTTTTTTAAAAGAGTATTTTTATTAGCACATGTTTGCAGTTCATAATGATTACACTCATTGTAGGAAGATGGACCCGCACATAGTACATCTTCATTTTTTTATGTCCCCTTTCACGTCTACCTGTTTCTTATTGTCTCTTACTTTGCTCTTTAATTTATATTTTTGCTTTCTCATGTAAGAGAAACCATGCAGTATATTTAAGGTTGTATGTCTGAGTTATTTCACTTAATATATGGTCTCCAGGTGTATCCACTGTCCTACAGGCAACTCAGATGTACCCTTTTTATCAGAGTGATGGGGCTCCACTGTGTGTGAATACTGCATTTCCTTTACTCATCTGTCAGGTGATAGACATATAGGCCATTCAAGATTTACATATTATAAATTATGCTCCTATAAACATATGTCTGCTTGTATCCCTGTAATACAATATTTTTAAAAATTCCTTTGGGAGGATACCTACTATGCAGATATTAATTATTGTATAGAATCAATCGTCTTTGGTAGTGCCCAAATGGTCTTCCTTGAAGTCTTTTATCTAAGTAAATAGAAAAGATAGAATTTTTTTATTAAGAAAAATAAAAACTTTCATTTGGAAGGTAGACTATTCAACAATTAATCTTTTTGTGCTTTCAGAATTCAGCTGTGGAAATGGTTTTGTCAAAACAACTTTCTCTCAGTGTTCAAGAAAGCATGAAAAGCATTGACGACGAGCAGAAAGTCAATGAGCTGCGAAATCAACCTTTAGAGTTAGACACTCTGTTAAGAAATGAACAATTAAGAGCGATAGAGGTATGGGAACATGAAAAGCGCCGGCCGCGTGATTGCATCGTTTATCCAGCGCAGTACAATATCTTGTAATTACCAAAAACTTGCTTGCACAGAGTGAAAAGTCTTACTTAACCTTTGCCTGATGATCAATTTGGTAACTCTATAATTATGTACTAATCAGTAAGTTGTATAAATCACCCCATTTAAACAGTGGAAGGGTTTAATGGGCATTGGTCTCCCTTTGCTTTCACAAAGTTCCCGCAAACTTCTTCAGAAAGAAAACCAGAAGGAATTGTGAGGATTCTGACTTGTCATCGTTCTTTCTTTTTCATAGTCAAGTGTATTCTTCTACTTCAGATGAATTCCTTTTATTATTCCTAGTGATCGATGTTGAACACAGCTGTGTTCAGAGGCTGTGTTAGGGTATTTATGTACTCCTGACTATGGAAAGTGGTCTGAAAATCGAGTGCGTGGTCATGTTTTTAGAAATGGAACTAGAGATGATCCCTACAATTTTAGCTAAGATTACATAAGAGTTAAACATGTGTCTAAAAAGGGAAGAAAGGTGATGTATGTAAAAGATAAGGTGAACTTTTCCTTAGAAATCAGGGAACCTAGAATAGAGTGCAGTGCTGTTCCGGCTGCTTCAGAGAACGAAGCAAGAGGATCACTTGAGTCCAGTAATGGGAAACTAGCCTAGACAACAGAGCATACCTTGTCTCAAAAAAAGAGAAAAAGAAAAAGGAAAGGTGAATTACAGAATTTTTAAGACAGTGTGTGTGGGGGGTCTAATTGATATTAACTGTTGGGCCAATGGCAGGTGATAGTGGCAAGTTGTAGTGTCGAGTTTACACAACACAAGTGAAACGAAAGTGTGATAGTTGTCATGACCTTAGTTTTTCTATGTGCAAATAAAATACTTTGGGATAGGTTTCGTTCTTTGATGGAGGGAGGAAAGAAAATAGACAGATGGGAGTGGGTGTGTGTTTACTGACTTGTGCCATTCATTGGTAGGAATTATATGCCCAGTTGGAAGCAAAGAAAGAAGCCATTGATTCACTGGCTCAGTCCAAATGTCTCCACGACTCCGAAACAAGCGCCTTGGGTCCCCACAAGGCAAGGTGCTCCCCTCACCACCTGGACAGTCTGCTTCAGGCCCTTACTGCTTTGAAGAAAAATAAAGAAAGCCAGTATAGTCTCCTTCAGGATTTTCAGGAACGCCTCGCTGCGCTGGAGTCTTCCATGACAGCCTCCCTGGCGGGAGAGGGAAGTCTCAAAGTGTAAGTGTGAGCGCACAGGACTCCTCGTCTTCCTTTGCAGTCTCCGCTCCCTCGGGCAGCCCAGAGCTGTCGGTGTGGAAGGAGAGGGTGATTTTAAACACTGTACTACGGGCTCTAACTCAGGTTGCATGGCATCTAAACAACAAAATGTAGTTTTCAGAGTTCAGAGTTCGGAAAGTTTAAGATCAAGATGCTGGCAAATTGGTCTCTGGTGAGAAACGTGTATATTGTTGCTTAGCATCAGCATAGTACATTTAAACACTTTAGTTTTTATTTTTATGTATTTTGATAGTTTCTTTAAGGGATATGCACTTCTTTGGCTTTGAAAATGATGGCAAATAAGAGTATAGTGTTAATAGGTAAATACGTTCTCATTGAAATAGTTATTTTATATTTATATCTGAATGGGGTTTACTTTTAATATCTTTTGCAGAAGCAATTTTGTAATTAAAAGATTAGCTTAATATTGCAGCTTCTTAATCAATATCTATGTCCTCGTTATTGGGAAGCAGTAACAAGGTGCTGGGTGGTTTAATGTCTCTAGCCTTTGTACAAGTACTTTACAATGCACACAATATTCTCCTGTGCTTTTGTTCCATTCTGGGCTCCTCGTTTTATTTTGCTAATTTTACAGATGAGCCTTTGCATTGTCACGCAGTAAGTGAGAGCCACAGTAAGTTGAAGTCTGATTTTTATTTAAGAATAGAGTACCTTTTATAGATATCCTGTTTCTTTCTGTGAATCCAAAGCAGAAGCGGTTTCTTTTAATGACATCTTACTACACGTTGAAGTATAATAAGCTTGAAGCATTAATGACCTCTATTTTGTTCTTGTTGTAGGGGTGCACTGGACAGTGAAACCTATCTGAACAAAATTAAGAAGTTCCTGGAATTAATAGAAAAAGAAAAAGGCTCTTTAGTTGATTTGCAAGTGCAGTGGGAGACATTATCAGAGCACATGACTGACATGGATAAGAAGCTCTTGGGGAGCCAGATGAAGCGGCTGGAGCGCGGCTGGGAACACCTGGCACACCTGGCTCAGAAGAAGTATTCTCAGCACACGGCCGAGTGTGATGAGTTCGCCTCCCTCAGGAGTAAGATCCGTGACACTGAGATTTCTCTGCAGCAGCAGCAGCAGCAGCTACTATTAGGGCTGAAGTCGCCAGAAGATCAGGACGGCAGCCAAAGCATCGTCACACTGGCTGCTGAGCTCCAGGCCGCCAGGCGTGGATTCACTGCTGTCAGGAGTCGAGCGGAAGTTCAGATGAAGAGGTTGTGGGGAGAGAAAGAAAAGAAGATTCTGGAAGATGCAATACAGAATTTGAAGAAGCAGTTTGAAGCCTTGGAGCCATTAAACCTAGAGGTGGAAAGTCAGATTAAGAAGTGTGACCTAAAGAGCAAGATGAAAGAGACTCTCTTATGGATCAGGAATCTGTTGAGTGAACTCACGCTTCCCATATCCCTTCTCCCCGACAACATCCTTTTCCAGATCAGAAAATGCAAGGTGATGCATGACAGCATTCTGGACAAGCAACAGGCCATGGAGTCCCTGGCAGAGGAGGTTCTAGCTGAGGTTCCTAACCTCACCACCCCTGAGAGAGACAATGTAAATAGCATCCTGCAGGACTTACAGAACCAGTACCAAATGCTGGTTTTACAATCAACTCAGAGGTCACAGCAATTAGAGTTTAAATTGGAAGAAAGGAGCAAATTATTTGAAATGATGAAGGAGGCTCAGCTGACCCTTCAAGGACATGAAGCACTGTTAGTTCCCAAGACAGAAGCACCCCCCACAGAAGCAGAATTAGAGCATCATCATGCCACTCTGAGGGCATCCCAGAAGGGCCTGCAGGAAGTGGAGAGTCTGATCTCAGCACGTCTTCGGGAACTAACAGATGCCTCTGAGGATCTCAGTGTGTTTGAGAGATTGTTTTTGGATAATCATTTGAATAATCTGAAGACGAGAGTCAGCAGAATTCAAAGATGCATTCAGAGTAAGTGTAATGAAGTGGAACACAAGATAAGTTCTTACAGAGAATTCCATGAAAGAGAATCCATGCTTCAGAAGGAGGTTGATATGGTACAGCACAACAAGCTACTGCTGCATCTAGAAACCAATCAAGATGCTAAGGAGGAGTTTCAGCATTTTAAAGAGAGACTTGCTGGTGTTCGACGTAGCATCCTAGACGTCCTGAAACTTAGGGAAGTGTTTGACCATATAGGTCTAAACTGGGATGGTTCACAACTTGACCAGTTACAAACCCAAGTATTTGAAAAAGAAAAAGAACTTGAAGAAAAAATCAAGCAGTTAAACATATTTATGGCAGAACATGGCAAGTATCAAGCGTCACTAAGTCAAATGAGGGCTATGAACTTGCAAATTAAGAAAAAGGCTGAATTAGTACTAAAATCGCCTCCTCCTTTGCCAGAAAATGATCTGCTCAATGCTCAAATTTTGATTGAGAAAATTGATAAAGCCAAGTGCCTGCATAATGACATAATTAAAAAATTAAGTGAAAATAAAGCCTTTGATGATTCATTCAAAGAGAAAGAAATTGCACAACTACAGCTGGTGACAGAAGAAAATAAAAAGTTGCACAAGCTTCTCCAAACTTTGGTGCTAGAATTCCAGCCAAAGGAAGTAGATGAAAAGCATTTTCAGGACAAATTGGAAAATTCTTTGCATGTTTTACATGGGATAAAATCTCAACTAGAGCAGCCTTTGCTTATAAATTTGGACATTGATCATATGCAAAATGAAAAAGATAACTGTGAAGCATTTCAAGACCAAGTTCATGCTGAAATGTACAGTATTAAAGCTATGACTCCTCCTGAGAACCAGAGAGGGGAAAACTCTTCTGAAACTAGTGACACGGAGGCAAAATTGCATGACCTTGAGGATCTTCAAATGCAGCTTAGCAAAAGCATTGACTTACGCACAGTAAGTTCTTTTTATGTTAGTCATTAAATGCATTTGTCTATTTCATGATTTTTGTTTTGTTTAACACTATTTAATATCTGTACTTCTAAAGAAGCTATAGTTTCTACAAGAAAATAGCTGTTTTCAAAAATCCAAGGAGCCACTTTTATAATCTTGACTCATTCTGCTTCAGAATTCAGCACATTACAGCCTGGAAAGAGATATCTCTGACATCTTTTATTTCTGTTTCCCTTGTAGCCTCTATTGAACTCAGAACAAAACTTTGAGTTTTTGTTGTTGCTAATTTATTTTGTTTTTAGAGATAGTAAGATATAACAAAAGTATAGAAAGAAAAATGTCAAATAATAACTATTTAAAATTTACAGTGTGCTAAGCCTAACCGTAAGTACTCTGTATTTCATCTTCAAAGTAGCTTGGGAGGTGGGTGCTTTTATTAGCCTATTTTTTAAAAAATTAAGGGTTTAGGGAGTAGCTCAGTGGTAAGAGAACTTTGCAGTCACATATAAGTCTCTGTGTTCAATTTCCAGTACCGCAAAAATAAGCAAGTTTGAACTCAGAAATGTGAAAATTTTCTCAGTATCTTGTAAGATTAACAGAATTAGGGAGGAAATTGAGATCTGCCTGAATCTAGATCCAGAATCATCAAATTAAGCATGAAAGGCCAAATCCTGCCTGTATTATCTGACTTATAAATAAAGTTTTATTGGGACATAACTATATCCATTTGTTGGTGAGCTGAATATGGCCACTTTCGTGTTCTAACAGCAGATTTGGTATTGTGATGGTTTGCTGACCTCTGTTGAAGAGTGGCTGGCCCCAACATATTCGTGTCTTTCCTTCTGATAGTTGGGCAGATATCTTAGATATCATTTATACTGTAGTTTATATAATGCCTTACACAGTACTGTATCTCAGCTTATAAAATGGAGAAATTAACTTAAATCAAATACTATTAGATAATGCATATGAAATATTTTGGTAGATGTAAATGCTACAGGAAATCCAAAGTCTTGTGATAAATCCTAGTGTTCTTTAAATGGATTCATAAGGAGTGTGGAGGTAATTCAAGTACCTTTCAGTTTTAATAGTTTCAAGAAACAATTGATGTCATCAGAATAAAGATTAGAAGTGAATGGGAAGGAACATTTCAAGTCAATGAACTCTTTGTTATCTTAATGACAAAATTGAGCCCCACATCTACCTGGAGTTCTGTGATCACAGCATCTAATCTCTTATTCCTCAGAATGTCTTGGATAGTGCTTATGAAAATTTCACATGCTATAGCGAAGCAGTCAGCAGGGCCATGGAAATCCTTGGTTCCCTCGAGGCCATGTTTGTGTCCTGCAGAGTGGACCTGCACAATCCGGAGGAAGCACTAACCAGGTCTGGTTGGAAGCAAGAGGAATTGGAATCCATAATAACAGTCATCGAGGACCTCACTGAGAAACTGGGATCTGTGTCCAGTCCGGAGGCCAAAATGCAGCTTGAGCACACTTTGCAGGACCTCCTTTCTAAGAGGTTGACCTTGCAAGAGGCAGCCAAAGCAGAACAAGCAAAAATAGCTAGGTAAGTCTTCCTCAAAGTAATGCTTTCAGAATGTAAGATGTAGGGTTTTTCTTTATACTTAGTATGTATACATTAGAGATAATTTGGACAATATGGAAAAGTAAAAATAAATGTGTCACTAAAGAAAACTATGATAAATATTTTATTCTATTTTAATTTTTTCTTTTTAAATCTTGGTTACATTCAACAGAATCTTTATAAAAGTATATATTGGATATAAAAAGATAAATATCCTTGTGTCCAAAGTTTCAAAGACAAACATCATGAATTTGAATTCTTTCGTGGGTTCTGTCCCCTCTCAGAACTAGTAACTTAAATGTATTTGTCTTCTCTCTGCTTTTCATCATGTTGTTACTGTAAATGTGTTCTATTTCAGTGGTTTTTAAACTAACACCTAGTGCATATTCTTCTGCCACTTTTTCAAACTCATAATTATGATTCTGGTGCTTATTCATGTCCTTGTCTATAGCAAAATCTGTGTACCTGGTTATTGATGAACATTTACATTGTTTTCAGTTTTTGTTTTGTTTTGCATTCATAAAGAGTCCCGTAGGAACATTTTTACATGCAAGAGTTTTGTGTAGGTGTATGTCTAAGACAATGGATGCCTAGGTCAACAGATAAGAGCATCTTAAATTTTTAATGCCAAATAAATTATTCTGGTTGTTTCGTACCCTTACCAACCTTTGCTGTTTTGGGCAGAGGTTTTATTTTTGTCAGTCTGATGAGTAAATGGTCTCATTGCGGTTTTTATTTGTAGTTTGCTTACTGCCGAGTTTGATGTGAATATTTGTTTGTTGATCATCCATATTTCCTCCTGTATAAAATGTCCATTCAAATCTTTATCCAGATTTAGGTGCCTTTTTCAAATTGCTTCATAGCAGTTTATTCTGTAAAGATTGTTCTTCATAGTCCTGCACTAAAATCTCTTTACAGAGGGAGTTTTCTTTTAAACATCTGTTCACCCCTTTCAGACCTCTGTGTTAAGAGTCGTCAAAGAAACTAAAACTCACAACTACTCTCTGGGCAAAATTCTGGTGCCACAGCTTTGTTTATTTCTGTATATTTACATTGTTCAGAGTTTGGGTCTTCAATTTCTTGCCAGTTTATTTGTGTACATTTTTGGTTTAAAATATATTCAACACAGATTTTAAAATTATTCTCAGTGAGTATTTGGGGTCAGTCTGTTTTACACACATAATTTTATATCATTTTAAATATTTCACAAGATATTGTATATAAAATACCCTACTTTAATTTTCTGCCATGTAACATTAGCTTTTTTTCCTTAAACAATTGTAATTGTTGGGGGCTAGGGATTTAGTTCAGCAGCATAAGCGCCTGCCTTGCAAGCAGGCAGTCGTGAGTTCAATCCCCGGTACCGATAAAAAAAGAAAAAGACAAAAAAAAATTAAAAAAAACAATTGTAATTGTTACGTAAAGTTTATAAAAATGGTTTCTTGCAATTAAACCAGATTTTTTTTTAGATACAGTTATTACTGATGAGTAACATTTTACTGTGCAAAGGATTTTATCTGTCATGTTTAGGATGTTTCTTGTATTTAGGATTAGTTCCTTAAGGTAGATTGCTGAAGTTGAATTAATGAATCAAAAGACAAGAACATGTTTAAGACTTAGTGGGTTTCTACATTAATTATATCCATTTATGGATCATTAACAGTGCTCACGAATATAGTTTTTGCTTTAATGAAAGGAACTTCTTTTTTAAAAGCTGTCCTAGCTTATTTTCAGTGCAGCCCTGTACGCCTGTTAACTCTGGCATTTAAAGCCATCCGTAAATGCTCTGGGGGATGGGTAATCCATAAAAACTTGCTGAAATGCATTGAATGGCACAAGAAAAGAAAATGATCTTTTTATTAAAAAAAAGAATATAGAGAATTCAGCCTTGGGTAGTTCAAAACTGTGTTAGTAAAATCCAGTGTCACTTCTTTCTCGGACTGTCGCGTGCAGGTGCCTTGAGGATTACAAAGGCTACAGAAGCAGTAAAGAGGAGATCTGTGCTGGCTTGCAGAGAGCGGAGACCGCTCTAGGGCTGGCCATGGTCCTGCTGCCTGCGTCTTACAAAGAAGCTTTGGAGCGCTTGGAGCAGAGCAAGGTAACAGCTGCCCAGGTCCCCAGTGAGCCTGTGCAAAGACTTGACTTGTCACAGCATGGAGAGCCCAGAACACATAGCCACGAAATCCTCAGCCTGAGCTGTGACCTGTGAAAATTCCTCACATGGGAAGCCAAGATAAACAGAGCCGTGGTTCTGAGAGATTTAATGAACCAGATTTGTGGCGCAGTCCCCTCTCCCCCAGCATCCTGACTTTAATGGTGGCCTTCCTGAACCCTTGCTTTTCCATTGTTTTGAGGGATCCTGCTGGATCAGTGACAGAGCCTCAGACACAGTGGTTGCTGTTCTCTCTCATCTGAATTAGTCGCCTTACAGTCTTACTAAGCAGTTTGGTTTTTGCCTATTGTCGTTGGTTAGAATCTGTGGTGGTATGTTGTTAGGATTTGGATGACAGCATTTTAAGTCATCTGTGCATAACAACCACCAAAACCAAATAGAAACTAAAAAAAGAAAGAGTCATATGATATTTGTAAACATACAGATGAACTACCTAGTAAAATAGGAGACAAGTTAAAATAAAATGTGCTTGCAGGGTCTTTACCTTTGAAAGTAATTCTTACTTGGAAATTTTAGTTTATGGGTCATTATTTGTCCCCACAGTCCAGCTTCTTGTGGAATAGAAGCCATAGGGAAAGCTTATCTGGCCAAATCGGCTTCCTGAAGGACAGGAAATGGAACGTGTGAGACTTTCAGAGGATTAAAATCATTGTTCAAAATTTGAGATTATTTATAAGTTTCAGAAAAAACCCAAGACATTCTGCCCCTCCTGTGCTTTTTCTTTTGTTTCTGTCCTAAGGCCCTCGTGTCTGAGCTCCTATCAACCAAAGAAGAGTTGATGCAGCTGCGCCGGGTTGCAGGGCGCCTGAGCGGCTGCTGCACCCAGGGTGACGGCGTGAGCACGCTCAGGGCAGCCTCTGCGCTGTGGGACAGGTGGCTCTGCGTGCTGGAAGCGGCCCAAGAGTGGGCCATGTGGAGCGAAGACCTGAAGCAGGACTGGAAGTTCATCAGCGAGGAGGTGAGTGTCTTATTTCAGCACTCGGACTCCAGGGTCTCCAGAGAAGTACTGTGGCACTCAGCACCTTCCCTTAGTTTGGCTCTAAGGTAAGGCCAGAGGAAGGTGGCTCAGCCCCAGAATCCCAGTTGCTCCGAAGCCTGAGTGAGGCAGGAGGTTGAGAGTTTGAGGCCAGCCTGGGCAAAAGTTGGTTTTTTATTTTTTATTTTCCCCCATGATGGAGATGGACATTAGACATGCTACGCAGCAATCTACTCCCCCAGCCCAAGGACCCACCATCTCAAAATAACAAAAGGGGCGGGGATGTAGCGTAGCACTTCCCAGACTCAGTCCCTTGTGTACACACGCAGCAAAAACAGATGTAACTTGCACCGTTTCTGTACATCACATATACAGCAGCCTCAGTTCTCTCCACCAGTCTGGCTGCAAACCGAATTGGACGAAAACCCAACCAAATTCAATGATTAGGTGCAGTGCTGACCTTACAGGGAAATTTTATCTCGTTTTCGTCCAATTTGGTTTGTGACCAGAATTGTGGACAGAATTCAGTTTGTAAACTGAGGTACCCGTGTATATTATACATAACTGATTGAAAATAGTCACCAAGAGATTACTGAAGTTCTTTTATGATAGTGGTTTTAAAAATAGACATGCATCGGGGCTGGGGATTTAGCTCAGTGGCATAAGCACCTGCCTTGCAAGCAGGCAGTCATGAGTTTGATCCCTGATACCGATAAAAACGAAAAAGACCAAAAAAAAAAAAAAATAGACATGCATCAGATAATTCTTATGTAAATGGGCGACTGCTTGCCAATTGGAGTTTTGAAATCTTTATTGTGAAGATAAGTTAACCCCTTTAAAAAAATAACCCTCTATGTTCATTGTACTAGAGGTTAGAATTAGGCAATGTGCATAATAATCAACTAATTTTGAAATTAACCACAATTGTTAGCTATGGAAATTAGCTGCAGTGGTTAAGTGGGACCTGAAAATGTGAGGTATGGTATTCTTTCTGCAAAGTGTCTCTGAGAAGACCTCTGCAACGTATGCCAATCTCAGTGTCAGTTTAATCATGGCTTAGGACTCAGGCTTCACATACATAAAGAAAGAAAATTAAAAATTGTACGAAATTGTCTTAGACTATTCTATGATCTTTTCAAAGAGCCAGGTTTAAATGAGGTACAAATGAGAACATTAAATGAAAACCTTTCTCTCTAATTCATTTCATAACTTGTGCTGAATTTACTTAAGATAGAAATATAATGAATCAACTCTTAATTGGAGAGAAATCGCATGCTTTGGGATCGAAGTTTTCAGCACTATGTTAACCTGTGTAGAACTTGGTGTTCTTGAAAATGAGCATCATTTCAGTGGTGCTGGTGAGGTTTGATTAGGGAGCAATCTCTTTAAGATCCCAACTGTGAGGAACTTTGTTAAATGATCCATCTACAGAGTTCCACAGTTGCTGCTGAGGAGAGCTCAGGTACTGTCGAGCAGAGGCTTTGTCTTGGCCGCAAGAGGTAAATAACTGTTACCATTTTAGATGGAGACTGAGCCCTGAGAGGTCAGGCACGAGAGCCCCCGTGGGCTGAGATGGGGCTCACCTTGCCCTCAAAACCCCTTCTCCAGCCTCACACTTGCTGGGAACTTAGTAGACATTTGTTGAGGGATGGCTCTTACTCAGATGCAGTCTGGGCTACTTCCAAGCTTTGCTCTTTTTATTTTGTTTTATCCTTAGTTCTGAGGATTTTTTTGTTTTGTTTTTTGAGACAGGATCTTGCTGTGTAGTTCAGGCTGAGCTTAAACTCACTGTGCAGTACAGGCTGGGCTCCAACTTGCTTCGATCCTTCTGTCTCAGCCTCCTGAGTGCTGGCCTTTCAGGTGTGTGCCTCCACACCTGGCTGCTCTTTTTATTACACCAGGCTTTCTGCCCACCTGCAGTCAAATCTTCTTTGCAGTCATGCATACAAACATTTGACAAAATCTGCCAACAAAATGTATCTTTGGAAAAATAACATAAACAAATGTCCTCAAATAAAATGAGCAATAACAATTATTAAATGAATACGGGTGGTTCTGAGCATGAGGTTTAGGCTTTATCTTATTACATGCATTATTGTCTCATTTACCCTCCTAGGAAGGCAAGATACCTCTTTTATTTGTCAGTCTGTCTATATTGACTTATCTATATTGGTATATATACATATTTGTGTGTATAGTTTTACAATATGTGTTGCAGCCTCCCAAGTAGCCAGGACTGTAGGACCACTGCTGTACCTGGCTTCTGTATTACATTTGCATATATCAAATCGATATATATATTTTGGTTTTTGGTGCTGGGGATCAAATGCAGGGCCTTGCACATGCTAGGCAAGTGCTCTACCCCCACCCTAATATATGGTTTCAAATGGCTCTTATCCTCTCAGTAAAAATTACATCATCTGAACATCTGTACATGTAAGATTCTCAGCATGACTGGTGCCTTCGTATGTGACAAAAGGAATTTCTGTTTATTAATTGTTTAAAGTAATACAATCATTTGAAAGAAATGATTTCCATAAGACTTTTTGAAGACTTAAATGCCCAGCTTATACATTTACAAATTAAAAAGGAAATTTAATTTTTGATTTAACTTTGTTCCCTTCAGATCTTTCTGTTTTATAAACAGAATGTACTTGGTATAATTATTAACTTGTGGTTATCTGGACTAATCATTTATTTTATGCTTCAGTGATCTTACTGTGCTAGAATAAAGCCAAGTCTTCAGAGATAATTGGAGATGTAAGGCTGGCTTCTTTCACCTGAAAGTCATTTCTTTGTTATTTCCTGTCATTATAGCTCTGGAATTTTTATTCTTTCTCTGTGTTAGTTTATGACTAAAATCTTCCCTCTCTTTTTCCCTCCTTTTTTCTCATCTTCCTTTTTCTTTTCTTTCTTTTCTTCCCCTTCAGCTCTTTCTCCCTCCCTTCCTCTCCCCCTCCGTCTTATTTTTTTCTCAGTACTGGAGAGTAAATCCAGAACTTTCACACTGAGCCATATTCCCAGCCCTTTATTTTATTTTATTTTATTGAGACAGGGTCTCACTATGTAGTGTAGGCTGGTCTTCATCTTGCTTATGTAGTCCATGCTGGCCTCAAACTCCTGCCTCAGCCTCCCGAGTGCTGGGGTTACAAACGTGTGGCACCATATCTGGCTACTTTAAAGTTTTGAGATGGTCTTGCTAAGTCACCAAGTTGCCAAGGCTGGGCTGGAATATGTGATTGTCTTACCTCCACTTCCCAGAGTGCTGGGAAGATAGCTGTGCACCACCACGCTGGCCCCTTCTCCTTTTTGACTCCTTTATAATTGACTGTGAATAGAAATGTCTCATGACCAATGTTATTAGGTTTCTAAGACCACGGAAAATCATGGAGGAGTCACCGAGCCCTTTGTAGATGGCAAAATGAGTGCATCATCTTTATGACATTTATTTGACTGTTTTGAGAACTGTGCTTGTCCCCAAAGCAGCAGAATTCAGCATAAAGTTTGTTGAGCTTTGACACATACATGCAGTCACATGGACACCATCACAGCCAAGACTTAGGACATTTTCATGTTCCCTGAAAATTCCTCGTGGCCCTTCATGGTCCAGCCTCTCCGGCCCCTGCTGCCTGTTAATGCGTTTATTTCCCTCTAGGCTTCCCTTTTCAGCACGTTATATAAAATGAACCCATCTGGCCTGTCACCTGTGGCCTGTCTTCTCTAAGAATAGTGCACTTGAGACCATTGCTGTTTCCCTAGCAGCTGATTGACTGTTTATTTCTGAGTAGGGTTCTGCTGGCTGTGTGAAGCACAGTTTATCCATTCACAAGGTGGAGGGCTGCCTGACTTTAGAGTGAACTCATTATCTGAAGAACACTTGTTCTTGGGCTGGGGCTGTAGCACCGTGGTTCTGCCCCTGGGTTTCTCCTCAGTCACCTACCACTCACAGCAGGCAGCAGAGCCCCAGACAGGGGCGCCCAGCAGGTGGCTTACTTTGGAAAGTGACCCTGAGAGGCAGGAGAACAGAAGCAGGAGAGGTCTGTGCAGTGAGCCCTTCAGCTGTGACTGAATCCCGGTAACTGCGTTTGCCCCTTTGCTGTTGTCACCCTGTGGAGAAGCACCAAGAGCCCTGGAGGACAGACGTGACTCTGAATGCCAGCGTGTATTTGAGGCCCCGTCAGCCCGGCAGCCTCCTTATGTGGGGCACTGGCGGAGAAGGTGGACGTGCAGTGAGCACGGTGATCCAGTGGCACCTTATCTCCCTCCCTGGGGCCAGTATATCCGCCTGCCCTGCCCGTGCACCCTGCCTTCCGTCTGTCTGTACTTGGGTTTGAGGTGCTGGGAAGCACAGCTCCCATGGCTGGGTCCACACCTGGACCCGTGTGGTGTGGTGCAGTGTGTGGGGACCTTGGGGTCGGATGGCGTGAGTGGCCGGATAGTGTAGCCGTAGTCCACCACTGCTCCTTGCCCCATTCTTTTCACTGTGGGCTTAGTTTTCCCATTTTTTGCCTCTCAACCTTGGCAGCGTTGTTCATAATGGATCTGAGAAATGGATGCAAGTAATAATCTCATGTGTAGCATACGTGACCTCCAAGCTCTATTGGGGACTACAGACCCCCACCCTCCTAAAATGAGTTATGGTGAAGACTTTAATAAAAAAAGAGGCATTAGAATATGGTTTTCGGAGAATCCAAGACTCTGGATTAGAACTCTCTGGGAGCTGAGGCTCCGGATCACTTGTTTATATTGGGGTTTCCACAGATTCATTGGGTCCTGAAAGAGGAGGGCACATTGGAGGTAAAAGCCCACAAAAGTGACCAGGGTCTTGGGAAACAAAGGCAGTAAATCTTGCCAATTAGGAGAACTGTTTGATCCCTAAGGCAGGTGGCTTTACTGCACTGGAATAGGGAGTGTGCTCAGCCCCCAGTGCAGTTACCCGCTCAACCCAGCCAGCAGCTTAACCCTACACAGCCAGGGCCTCAGCTAAGATCCAGGAAGGCCCCTCCAGTGCTGCGTTTCCTGATGACAGAGATGAAAGGGGACAAGCCTTGCCGGGCGTGGTGGCCCCTTCCTGTAATCTCAGCTACTTGGGAGGCTGAGACAGGATGATCACATGTTTGAGACCAGCCTGGGTGTGAAAATAAAAAGGGCTGAAGATGTAGCCCAGTGGCACAATACTTGCCTACCCTGTGTGAGGTTCTAGCTCAAACCACTAGTACCAGAATGAAGACAACAGCCTGAGGCCTCCACCGCCTCAGCCCTTGGGCCCTGGAAACTTGATTGATGCTGGGCCTCCTGTGTCTCCATGGGTTTTCTTTCTCTGACCCCGGCCCATCCTCCTGGATACCCAGGGCTGTGTTCATCATTGCAATTAGCGTGAGTGTACCTCACTTGTGTGGCGCTCTCTAATGGCAGATGTGTGACCTAACAGAGCAGGAGAGTTAACACGACAGGAGCAGATAAGACAGGTTAGTGGTGCAACTCAAGGGAGGACCAGAGGTTTGCGGAGGAGCGTGAGAACCACCTGATTCAGGGCCCTCTGAGACTTCTTCCGTGTCTTTGTTTACGGCTGCAGAACTGCTAGTTTCAGATATGTGCTGAGATAAGTTATGTGTTTCCGGTTGAGACCACTAGTTTGGTGAATGCATGATTGGTTCAGTCCTTCTGCTTGCTTTTTTGGTAGGTGTTAATAGGGTCTCTGACCTATGAAACAGACCACGATGGGAAGGAAAAAAAAGAAATTTTTCTGTTTCCAACAGCTGCCCAATCTATTGCATAGGAAGCAGTTTTTTTTTTTTTTTTTTTTTTTTTTTTTTTTAACTTAATTTTTTTTTTTTAAATTTTATTTAAGGAGAAAAGAAAAAAAAAAGCAGGGAAAGGGTACAAGTTATACAGATTTACAGAAAAAAAATGAACAGTAGGAAATCACTAGTTAATGGATTACATATTGTCATCTTAGAAATAATTGTTCAAGTCACAAAATTAAAGCTTGTAAAGTGGACATTCCATCAATGATACTGCAAACAGTTCTGTTCATTGATCCAATAAAACTCTGTGATATCATTTTCTATCTTATACACTTAAATATACATGCAGTTATATAGTTTGGAGCACTTTCTTTTCCTCTCTTTTGTACCATGACTATTACACATTTTGGGTTTCATTGCTCCCACGGTTCTTATTACTTTTTTGGAAGAGAGTAAAACCAAATGTGACATAACAGAACAGAATCGGTCAAGTCAAAAGGGTGGACATAATAGATAATGTAAAAACATAATACAAGGTGATCATCAATGGTTACCATAATGCCTCCTGCTATCTCTAATAGAATTGCCTATATTGTTAGTTATAATACAATTGAACAAAACAGTAAAGAATAAAACTGACAAAACCAAAACATTGGAGACATTGTAGGTCTTCAAAAGTAGATAAAAGTCAACAAGAATGGGCGTCATAATGAATCTCATTATCTTCACAGCTGATGCCTAAACTTTCGAACCTGATACTATCCAGCAAAACAGAATAGGGGAACATCAGTTAAAAACCAGATGGTGAGAGTAATACAGGGCTTTAAATCAAGGTAATAAAAAGTCAAAGTGGGTTACTATAATATATCCTGCTATTTTTTTCCTTTAATTAAAAGGATAAAGATAAAAAAGTAAATAATGGAGTGGAGATTGAGATAAAAGAGGGCATAACAACGAAACAGCGCAGATCAAAACATAACCATTTAAGCAGAGTAGTGTTTCATCACCAGATAATCCTAACCTAAAAGTAGTTACCATATTGTCTCTTTCTTTGAAATACTTGAGTACAACTTCGTATACTGTAGCATTAAGTATATCAAAACAATGTAAAACCATTCAAGAGAATGACAGCATTACAGAGTATTTAGAATCGACTAACAGAAAATGAACAATGGTTTCTGTATAATCTCCTTGTCTTTAAAAAGTTTTTGCTTATACTATCGTACATAATAAAATTCAATAAGATACAGCCTATTTAGACCATTGGAGACAGAAGGACAAAAGCTAGATGAGACTTCAAAACAAGATGATACTAAATCAGTATTACCTATTAAGATGTCATTTTCTCCAAAATAGCTGTTCCTATCATCTAATCTTCTCTGCCTCATTTCTGTTGAGCTCTTTTTCTGTCAGTAGCTGTCAGTTTGTCTTCTTCATTTTGTTCTCTGCTCCATTTGTTGTGGCCTCTCTGCCATTATTTCTGGATTCTTTGTATTTTTCTTTTTTTAGAATATCCTGCAATACTCTCTGTAGAGTTGAATTGGTGGTTGCAAATTCCCCCAGTTCCTCTTTATCCTGGAAGCACCTTGTTTTTCCATCAATTTCCAGGGACAGTTGTGCAGGATATCTCAATCTTGGCTGGAGATTATTATCTTTCAAAGCTTGAATTATTTCCCCCCATGCTCTTCGTGATTTGATGGTTTGTGCAGAGAAATCTGCTGTAATTCTGATGGGTGTTCCCTTGTAAGTGGTCTGTTTCTTGTCTCTGACAGCTTTTAATATTCTGTTCTTGTATTGAATTTCTGGAATTTTGATTATTATATGCCTGGGTGTAGCTCTGTTTGGGTTGTAGGTAGCTGGGGTCCTGTATGCCTCATACATCTGAGTATCTTTACCTTTTGCTAAATTAGGAAAATTCTCCTGGATTATTTCTGTGAGTAGCTTTTGTAGTTCATTTGTTTGTGTCCCTACTTCTTCTTTTATGTTCTTAATCCTTAAGTTATGGATCCTCTTATCATCTTCTTGTCTTTGTATTATTGCTTTTTGTTTCTTTGTTATTTTTAAGAAGTTTTTCATTTCATTCTCCCATATTACAAGTCTGCCCTCCAGTTCAGATAGTCTGTCCTTAGTTTCTTTCAAGCTGTTATGCCAGTCTTCGATAGACTTCTTAGTATCTTGGTAGTCCCTTTGAACCTGCTTCACGTATTCTATGCTTTCTCTGTTTTCTCCATCAAACAATTCTCCCCTTTTTTTCTGTTCTTCCATTCCACCACCTGTTTTTTCTTGGGTGGTACTTAGCATTTCTCTAACTATTCTGCATACTTCTAGCTTCAGGTCGTTGATAACTTCATTCCTGAATTGGTCTATGAGGCTCTCTATATGGCGCCTTATGTGTATTGGTGCGGTGTCTGCTATTGCCTGTTTCTCAGAATTGGGGGCCGAGGAGCCTTTCTTGTTGCTGCCTCTTCCCATGCTGCCTCTTCTTCTCTGTTCCTTACATATGCAAGCTTATATAAGAGGCCCAGCTTCTCTCCCAGTCAGCCACAGCCTGATCGAATTGCGCCAGTTAGGTGTTCCCGCTCACCGCTGCGCACCAGGGAGTTACGGACCAGGCAGCCTACGCGTCTCCCCTCCCGGCCACCGTCAGGCTCTGGGATCTGGGTTGGGACAGCCTACCAGGTCCGCCGGCAGCGTCACGCAGGCCAGGCACTTTTCACCAATCCAGCCCGAGAGGGGGATGTGTGGCTGGAGTCGCCACCGCGCCCTGCTCCCGCAGGACTGCTCGGGCCCAGAAAGTCCTCTGCTGGAGTCAAACTGTGGTAGAGTGTCAGTTTCTCTCACTCACCTCACCACAAGTCAGTGCACGCCTCCCTGCCATTCGCAGATTGCCTTTCTCAGAGCTTCTGTGCGTCTCTCCCCTTGCCGAGCCACTGTAGAGGCAGGCAGCCAGCCGCCGCGCGGCGGGAAACCCAAATCGCGGCTTACAATGGCGCGGGGTCCAGCCTCCACACCGAGGCTTTTCTGTTCCTGTTTTAGCACCAGGACTGCATTCCAAGTTGGTTTCTCTCAGCCCAGTTCGTTCCTGAGTCAGCAGATCATATCTCCACCTGCTTATGTCTCCATAGTCCGCACCATTCCTGGCTTCTGAGCCGAGTCTTTCAGAGAGCCTCCGGTAGTTGCTGTTATCTGTCCGCCATGTTCTCCCTAGGAAGCAGTTTTGTGAGGCTCATTTAACTTAACGCATGGGGCTCTCCGGAGAGCTACTGCTTACCGCAACAGAAATCTGAAAAGGAAATAAATTATTTTAAATCTTTAGCAACATTTCCTGCAGCCCACCGTGGCAGCACTTCATTTTAATCCCACATTTACTTGAACAGCAGCCAGGAGTTGGTAGCAGAGGGCTACCATTCCCAGAAATGACATTAGGGAACCCTTCAAAGAGAGCATATTCAAAAATGATGTCTGCACAGGAACATTTCAGGTCCTAGTAATGAGTTTGTATGACTAATTATTGCTCTATTGTCATTGGTATCGAATTAGGTTGAACGAGAAGCAATTATTCTAGAAAATCTTCAAGAAGAACTCCCCGAAATGTCTAAAATGAAAGAGGCTGCCAGCACAGAGGCGCTGTCTGAGGCCCTGGCCTCTCTGTGCCAATATGAGGAGAGCGTGGAGGAGCAGGAGCTGTTGCTGAGGCTGCTTCTCCAGCGCATGCAAGGCATCCGGAACGTTCTGGAAGGCTCTGACGCAACAGGAATGGTCCCCGCGCATCAGGAGATCGCGGCCATGCGAGAACGATGCTGCAGGTAAGACCATGCACAGGGGAGGAGACGTGCTTGGCCTTTCTGGCTCTGAGTTTAGAAAACACCTAATTTAGAAAATTTTAAAATGCTGTAGAATAATGACAGAGTATGCCTCAAAACTGAGTCAACACTGATAAATACCAAAAGAGTTGAAATGGGCCAATAATTATCATTAAAACGAGTACATTTTCTGTTTTGATTTTTACCGAGTGGGGATGCCCTTCCAATTTCTTTTAAATGGCTGCTGTTTTTTTGTGGGAAAGTTAGAGTCTACAAAATCATAATGAGCAGTATGAAAAGCACATTTAATCTCCTCACTCAGTAATGGTGACTGCAGTTTCTTTTATTCTCATTTTAATTTTTTGTATTCTTATCTTTTTTACTTAAGGATTTCTTTGTAAATACATGGAGATCCTACTACTAGTGTTCTCTTCTGCTGGATAATTTATCAGCATTTCATACTTGTTTTCCAGTGCTGTCATCATTTTGAAACATCATCTGTGTATATCTACCATGTGAATATGCCATCATTTATTTAACCAAGGTCTTAGTGAGGAATTTTTAAATTATATGCAGTTCTATTACTCATGTAGAAGCATTGTAGTAGATATTCTTATGCCAGAATCCCTGGGTCTGTGAGCAATTCATCAAGAAAGATACCAAGAGGCAGAAACATTGGGTCGAAGAAGAATAATTTTATGGCTAGAAATGATCTTAAAGAAAAGACTTTACTCTCTTAGAGTCACTCAGCAAGCACTTCTGACACCAGATATGTGGGAGTTTCCAGCTGACAACAGCCAGATTACCTGCAGTTCAGTTCTGACACCTGCGAAAATTGCTTGGAGCTCTCATCTTGAGATGATTTCAGATCCGCAATGCTCTGCGCACTTTAGACACCAGTTGCAAAGTGTCAGGTGTCAGTGTCACGTGTAACTGACAGGACCCTTGGATACCTTCCCCAGAGTTAATTAATTTGCTGAAGCAGCTTGTAGAACTTGGAAACATGTTTGCTGGTTTATTAATAAAAGATGTAATCCAGTGTACAGTGGGACAGCCAGGTAGAAGTGATGGACTGGCCAGGGTCTGCAGAAACAGAGCCCCTGCCCCTCTGTGTTTATTGGTATGTTGTAGTATCACAGAAGCTTGGCAGAGAAGTCACTCTTGGGAAGGGAGTTTTCCCCATTCTCAGGAGCCTCTTCCTGTACTGCTCCATCCCCAGCAGCTGGGGAGCCGAGGAGAGAATGGCTGTGGGGCCAGGTGTTCCAGGAGTTACCTGTGATGCCAGGCTGAGCTCGGAGCCACTTTGGTCCATGGGCAGGGACTCCTACAGGACAAGGATGAGGATGGCCCTGCCTGGAAAATGAGGCACTGACAGGGGACTGGGTGAGGCAGGGTGAGGGTGAGGCAGGGGACTAGGTGAATGTAGGGTTTGGTATCTGTTTGTATATGTGGTGTATAAATCATTGGAAATTGGAATAAAGTCACCTTTTTTGTGTGTTGTTCAGACATTTTTAAAATTTTTTATCAGTACCGGGGATTGAACTCATGACTGCACACTTGCAAGGCAGGCGCTTGTTCCGCTGAGCTGTTCAGACATTTTTTAAAAATTATTGAAATAAAACTATTTCACAGAGATAATTATGTTTCGATGCTTTCTTTCAGGCTTCTTCAGAAAGTTCAAAACAATAAGGAACTGATACAGACTGAAATCCAAGAAAGACTTAACTTCACGAAAGAAATCATTGCTTTGAAGATGTTGTTTCAACAGAGCACAAATGCTTTCCAGAACATGGCCTCAGAGGGCCGCCCCCAAAGGGCTGAGCAGCTGGAGGTAAGCGAGAGCTAATCTGGGCCGTCAGGCACACAGAGTCCTTGGGGAAGAGCTGGCTCACCGCTGAGTGCCGCAGAGATGTTCCAGGGAAAATCTAGGGAGGGAGGGAAGCACAAGCCAAGGCCCGGTGGCTTCTCTGCCTGGGTAGAGCCCAGGAGAGGACAAGCGGGATTGGAGAGCAGGCTGCGAGGTAGGTGAGCCCGAGCCCGGAGCAGGCAGACCTTTCTCAGGCAAGTGTCAGGGTGTCAGAGCTCTCTGGGTGCCCTGTCACACTCCTCCTCTTACCTCTGATCCGGGCTGTGGACCCAGGCAGGGTCAGCGTGGAATTCATTTCTTATTTCTTGAGAATGATCTCGTGTCCCTCAGGTTCAATGGCAATGGTTTAAAAACAAACAAACAAAAAAAGACTCGTGGCGGTGTATTAAAAGCTGGTGCTGCTGTGAGCCAGCGCTTTGCTTATTCACCATGAAAAAGGAAACTTGCTTGCAGTCCCACAGCCACAGTGTGAATGGGGACCTTTCCTCTTGGGCTGGGCGCGGGTGACAGATGACACTCACGCCTCCAGCCCCACCTGTGCCTGAGTGGCACTGTGCTGTACTGTTCCCTCTCCAAACTTGATTGGAAAAAGAAAGCAGTGACACATCGTGGGAGCCATTTAAAATTGTAATCATTCTTCAGTGTGGTGACTCACTCCATTAACACAAACAGCACTCTCAGTGGCTACTGTACAAACAAAACCAACAACAAAAAAGCCACAGGAAAGTCAAGAAGCAGTTTTCCACTTGATCTTTGGGAAACTTTCCCAAAGCAATGAGTTTCTCCTTTATATAATTACTGCAGGAGTGCGTAGATCAGATTTTATTTCTAGGCCACAAGCAATGGACTGTTTGTTCAGGGTTCTTTTTATCTCCTAAAACCTACATTCTTTGCATGGAACTGGAACTCTCCCTTCTAATTACCTGAAACAGACACTTCTGCTTCAAGCATTGGGCTTTTAGTGGCCTTGACTCATTGTGATGATAATGTAGGAAGAGGTAGAAATAGCAACAAGTTAATAACAACACCAAAAAACTGCTTTGAAACTTTTCGCTACTTGTAGCTTTTTAGACCAGGATTCCGCTGAGATACAGTTCAATCCTAGAGGCCCTTTAGAAGCAGGGGGATGTTGTCATGTCTTTTTTCCAACAATGGTTTGACACAGAGAGGAGATATCAAGTTTAATTCTTACAAATTAGAAAGTATCATCTGACTTCACTGGGTATCTCTCAGGGTTAATCAGCTTGTATCAATAGTGAGTTTTGTCATGCAGGGTTTGCTCATTTAAATCAGGAGGACATGCTGGAAAGTCGCTTTCACTTTTTAGAGCTAAACCTTTTCTCCAGCTCTACAAGTATGGAAACTCTCTTGTCTTTAGGAGCTTCAAAGCTTTGTTGAGAAAGGGAAACTAACTTTTGGAAATATTATGGAAAAACTGCGAATCAAATATTCTGAGATGTACACCATCGTCCCTGCCGAGGTTGAGTCCCAGATGGAAGAATGTAGAAAGGTTCTGGAGGACATAGATGAGAAGGTAATGATACTGTTGATACTCATCGTTATTGTTGGAATTGAATAACCGAAAAGAAGAAACGTTCTTTAATGTCACTTTTGCATTTGCCCTGATTTCAGCTCTGATGGGTTTTATAATTTTGTTAAATGGCAGTTTTTTGCACTAAATGCCTAAATAAAGGTACCCTAAGTAAGTGACATAGTTAACAGTGTATTAGATTATTTGTATATTGTAATTGTCTGCATGCTTAGTTTTTTTTCTGTTCCATTTTAAAAAATCGTACATTTTTTACTTGGATTATTAGTATCATTTTCACTGCAGAAACTTAAACATTTTTGGACATGCTTTTTGAAATTGTAATCATGAGCAATGAGAATAAAAATTTTATAGCTCACTAGAAATAATACTTATAGTATCTGTCTAGTTATGATACTAACAGAATTCTCACAGAACATCTGGGTGTATCTTTATATACCCAGATAGGGTAGGAATATATTGTATACCGAAGACAGAGATAGTTAGCAGGACCACGTTAGTGGAATATAAAAAGGCAACCTGAGCTCGATGGAACAAAATTTTGTTTTGTTCAGCAGTCACAGGAGGGTTTATATTTTGCTTTTGGAAGCTTGGAATACTTATAACTTGATAAATAATACAGATCTTCAGTCCACACACCAAAAATCAAATTCTACTTGGTAGAATTTTGTCATTTACTTATGTGACAGATTTCTTAAAATCTATTCTGTATGAAAAATGAGTAACCTAATATAACAAATGTTTTTGATTTATACACATGAAAATCTATTAGATACTTTCTTGAGACTTGTATACTTTTGGTTTTAGTTTTAGGAGGCTATAAATATATTGAGAAAAACTAAATGTTATTCTCATGAATACTTTGTGTAAAAAGCCCTAGAAAAGTAAATTAATAGTAACCAGCCTTTCCTATTAGGGTTCATCTTTTCCATTGTGAACTTGTGAATTTCTGACAAATAGCAACTGGCTTTTTGTATATATAACTGATCTTAAGGAAGTTCAAGGCTCCCGGCAGCAGACACAGTATCACTGCATGCATTCAGATGGTTACTTAGTCTCCCCAATCCTGATCACTGCTAATGTAACTAAATGGTTTGCATTGGCATCAGTAGAGTAACTGCCCCAAATGTCTGAAGACTTCATTTTGTGTTTGTTACATCCTGTGCAAAAAAACAAATAAATCTTTCCAGTCAAAGTGAGACTGGAAAAAAAAATCTTGACTGTGGTATTGTGCGTGGAATAAAAACATGATAGGAAAAAAATCAACAGTCTGATGGGACTAGAAGCTGGAATGGAGTCTGGGGAACTGCGGGCTTCTCAGGCCAAGTTCTGTCCCGACCTTGATGTGTGTGACCTCAGCTCTGGCCCTTAGCATGCTTTAGTTTCTGCAGCTGTGTGCTTATCTGCAGGGGACACTTTTAGTCTCTGTGGTTGTACAGATAGCTTGAGGATTAAAAGGATTCTACAGAAGTGTATAGTATTATTTGGTTATTTAGTGTCTCTTAGAGAAAGCCTATCAACATAGCTTTACAAAGAAAAACAACACAGGCTAATCAGGTATTTGGCGAAATGATACATTCAGCATTCATTATCTTTCCAAACACAAGTTATTTTCTTAAGTCATTTAGATTTTTTTTTTTAAAGTTGGACGGGCCAGCAGCTAGATTTCTGGTTGCTGGAAAATACATACAAGAAACAGTCACACAAGAAAACTGAAGTCTTCCATCCTCAAGAAATAAATTTAGAAGATTGTTTTACCCAGAGGAATATTAAGGTGGAGATTACATTGTCTTTTTTAAATTGGCTTGAGAATGTGTCTGGTTTTATTGAAAACAGATCTGTGCAGAGAATTTTCTCATAAAATGGACAGATCGTACAATAAATAATTTATTCCCCAGGTTTTCTTTCACATCATTTGATCCATAGGGGTATGTTTCAAAGAGTGCACTTGGTAGCTTTGTCCAACACAGCACGTAATTTTTGGTATTTAATCACTTTATTTCTAGATTATATTTAGAAGGTCAGGTAAACACAGCTGGCATTTTTTAGCTGATCTACCTTCGCACTAAGGCATCACCCAGTACGGTTTGAGATTCTTTTCTCCCCAGACTTTAAATACTTTTGCAAGTAAGAGCAGTGAGTTCCACTTTCGTTGTTTGAACCTTGAAAGAGACGAGGCCTCTCTAACCCAACTGCAACTCTCCCCTTTGGAACAGATAAGCGGTGAAGGCTTGAGGAGCTCACCATCCTGTGTGACGGGCAGGAAAATTGAGGAAATTAACAGTGGGCTTCAGCAGGTTGAACAAATGTTGCAGCAGAAAAGCAAAAACATTGAGAAAGCCCAAGACATTCAAAAGGTAACACCCTCCTTTAACTCACTTCACCACGTGGCGTTGGGGTCCACTCCTCCTCCTGACTGCAGTCATCACCTCCTGAATTTGTGAAATTAATCTGGAGCTCTGGGATCCTGAGTTCCGCCACAGAGGCCTTAGGAGAGGCCCCCTGCTGGCCGGAAGGGGAGGTTGCTTTGAAGGCCTCTTCTGGGTTTTCCAAGGCCTCTGAGCACAAACTGGAGTTTCCACAAACAAGGGACAATAAGAATCTTGTCTTGGGAAGACTGGTATAAAAACAATGCAATAACATTTTAACAGTTTTTCTTTAGATTCCCAAGGTGATAAAAAAGGAAAACAAAATATCCAACGTGATTTTCCTAAAAATGTTTTAGGAAATACACAAAATCGTTTTTGGGTTTTTAAAAAAACATACATAATGATCATGTTCATCACAGGGGATTTGTACCTGTACATGATAGATCTTCTTCTTTCTTTCTTCTTCCCCTCTGCTCCCTTCAACCCCTTCTTATTTACAAAAGCTAGGAAATACAATTTAAGTAAAAATGTACAGATAGATAGATAATAATCTACCTCTGAACTTTTAGGGAGATACCAGCATAGGGGTTCTGATTTGAATCTATATTTTAAGGAAATACACTAATATGATTGGAAACTTTTAAAAATAGGACAGACTGTAGTTCACTGTTAGATACAGTCCTGGCTCTTACGTAGAAGAACCTACTTAGCAAGTCAGATTTTCCTATTTCTCAAAATTATTAGACAAGATCTGAGTATTTTACCTTTGACGGGTTTGAAGTTGAATCTAGCCTGTTACTTGAGTCAAAAGCAGCTGCTACTAATGGCCAACAGCTGGATTTTTCTGTGTCTGTATTAATTCTGAGTAAACAGACATGTTTTTTTGCTATTAATTTTATTTTCACACTTAATAAAATTGTTTTCCAGATACAGTATTTATGTATAATATATAAAATGTAACCAGCCCTTTTTATATTATTTGATTTTGTTGATAAGGTCTTGCTGTGTTATCCAGGTTGATCTTGAATTCCTGGGCTTATGCGGTCCTCCTGCCTCAGCATTCCAAGTGCTGGGAATACAGGTGGGCACCACCATGCTCCCTGGAATAGCCCTTTTAAAATGTAGCACTGACCTCATGGCTCTTGAAAGGTAGGGCTACACTGACCTTGTTTGCTGCTATTCATCTCTGAAATATGTGCAGGTCTTCCTGTTCCTCTACAGCCAATTTGTCCTGAGATGAATACAGTTACAGGTTAGGAGAACTCAGGAAAAAATTACTTTTCAGTTTAGATCACAAATAGTTGCTAGATGTGAGTATGCCTGCAATGTCTTTTCGATAGCATTTCCACATGCAAATGCCACATGAAAACTAAGAGTTACCCCATCCATCTCAACATCTTCATCCAGCCTGATTAACATTTTTCCTCTGCAGAAAATGTGGGATGAGTTAGATCTCTGGCATTCCAAGCTCAATGAGCTGGATTCAGAAGTTCAGGACATCGTTGAACAGGACCCAGGACAGGCTCAAGAATGGATGGACAAGCTGATGGTGCCTTTCCAGAAGTACCAGCAAGTATCCCAGAGGGCAGAAGCCAGAACATCCCAGTTAAACAAGGTGGGGCTGAAGCTCATGAGAGCTACATAACATGTGGTAGCACTGAAACAAAAATCCACATTTTCAGGGCTGGCCAGTTTCCCTCAAATTGCCAGCTAGAACGTAGTAGCTTCAGGTGGACGCTGAGGGCACAGAACTCCAGTGCTGATGCAGGCTGGCAAGTCTTGACTAACTGAAATCAAAAGTCTAACCGCAAAAGGAGCCCAGGTCGTGCTGGCATTCCCAACAGGTGGCTGAAGGCCAGTAGGGGGCGCTCAGGACAGGCATTCTCCAGGGTCTAGGGATGGAACCAGCCAAGAGAAGGATTGCTATTTGGAAACAAAGCTCCTTTCTGCCTCCATTCTAAATAGGGACCATGATTTGGTAAGTTGTGTCATCAGGAAGGGACAAGGTCCTAGTCTTAACCAGAATGAGATATTGTAAGCAAGGTCCTGCACAGAAGAGCAAAGCTTCTAAGTCCAGTCTTTAGACTAAGGAATTGGGAACTAAACTAGTTGCAAAGCTGACAGGGGGCCCTTGCTCAGGCAGTGCCATGGTAGAACTTCTCAAATCCTTTTTACCCCTGGTCAAGATCAGTCTTAAGTTTTGGGAGGACCTTCACCTGGAGCAGACAGTCCAGGACAGTCAGCTTTGGCTGAGGATTCCTGGAAGGCAGCTGACTCCTCACTCGGGACTCATTTACCTCTGGTAGCCAGCTTTTGACTAAGTTTGCTACCGTGTTTCTGTCCCAGGCCACAGTAAAGATGGAGGAGTACAGTGACCTTCTGAGGAGCACTGAGGCTTGGATAGAAAACACCAGTCGTTTGCTGGTCAGCCCTGCTCACTGTGACTCATCGAAGACCCTGAGTCAGCATGCTAGCGCCCTGCAGGTGAGTGTTTGCTCACCCAGTCATCGGGTGAGCTGATTACCTTTATCTTTTTCTCTACCGGACTTCCCAAACAGCATTACTTCTAATCATGCAGAGGGAAGCTTGGGACAGTGGCAGGTGCTAGATGGGAATCTTGGAGACTGAGATCTGGTTCTTTTTGTCTGACTTCCTACTTTCTGAATAACTGTTGGCCTCAGTTTCCCCATCTGTGAAGTGACAAAGTTGCACTGGATGGCATTGATGATTTAGGGCCATGGAAGTCTACTGTGACCCCCAGCGTTCTTGTCCCTTGTTGTATGACCTGCATACCTGGAATACAGGCAGGGATAGAAGTGTACCATTGCACTGATGTGGTCATACTAAATGGCTTACGGTGATGGGATAGTGGTGCTCATGAGTGCACTATCACTTGATTACAAGATTCCCTAGTAGCAAATCATAGGTTCTCTTGGACCAAAGGGTTAAGCTGCTGTCCTGTGAGAGGGCCATGGGGTTCGCACTCAAAGGCAGCTTCTGTATGCCAAGAGCAGCCCCACGCCAGTAACCAGCAAGAAAATAGGGACCTCTGTCCCTCCCTACAGCTGAATTCTGCAGACAACCAAAGCAAGTTTGGGAGAGAACCTGGACCTCCCAGATGGCTTTGTGGTTGCAGTGTGGTGGCACCCTGAGCAGAAGAGCCACCAAACTGGCCTGGACTCCTGATCCAAGAACATATATCTGCTCATACTTTTTTTTTTTTTTTTTTTTTAAGGCAGCCACATTTGTGGCAATTAGTTACACAGAAGTAGAAATCTCATCCCCCAGTTCCTTCCAGTTTTGACATCACGATTCTAAATCCCCTGTGCCTCCGGGGCTCCACAGGAACCCCGCGCTGCATGCCTGCTTCAGAGCTAGGTGGATGTATTTTTCTCATGGAGCATGACTTCTGGGATGGTCTGGAGGTGAGCTGGACTGCAGTTTGATTCTGAAGATGTACTTTCCTTCTCTCAAACTGTTCAACCGTAAGAAAGAATCCCCTAGGAAAATGTTTTACAATTTTTTACATCTCAACAATGACCCACGCTCTTTTTGTATCTTTAAAATAGTACAGTGTGTTCCTGAGTGAGTGGCTGGCTTCAACCTCTTTAATGTTTGAGATTTGGTGGCCTATTTTTGTCCAATGGTGAAAGTTGTCAAGATACTACATTTTCGCCCCTTTGCTCATTTTTTACTCTTTGGGTGACCCTCACCCTATGCCACCCATACCTTGGGTTGAATCTGCACATCCTCAGAACTTGGCATCTTTATATTTTCAAATGTGTTTATGATTCACCATTTTTGAAGAATTTTCCAGGACAGGAGAAAAGAATGATGCTTTTTCTTTCTCTCAAATGATTTTGATGCATTAAAAATTTAAATACTGCTAATACCAAGTCAGATGAATCAGCTGGACTTGTACTACCTCCTAGTGAGGCAGATGTGCAGCTGGAAAGCATTGCTGTAACTGTTGAGGATTCCCTGAGTTGCTGGACTTGATGAGCTCAAGCTGAGCAGAGATGCAAGTTTATTTCCCACAGAATAGATTCTAGTGGATCCTCCATAAGTAACTCCTGCAAAACCAGCTCTGTGTGAAAACCCCATTTTGTCTATATAAGGCAAATAATTGTCCTACTCACACTACTCTTTTCCATTTTCTGATATTGCCAAGACTGCCTTGCTTTTTAAAAAAGAGTTACAGAGCTGTCAGAATGCTCACTAAGCTTTTTTTTTTTAAAGAAAGAAAAACAGTATAAGGGTACAAGTAATACAGAATTTCAAAAAAAAACAGTAAGAAATCACTAGTTAATAGATTACATATTGCTATCTTAGAAATAGTTGTTCAAGTTACAGGATTAAAGCACACAAAGTGGACATTCAAACAGTGAGACTGCAAACAGTTGTGTTCAGTGATCCAACAAAAACTCAGTAATATGGTCATCTATCTTAACACACCTAAACACACTTGCAGTTGTGTCCTATAGAGCACATTTTTTCCTCTCTTTTTTACAGCAACATTTACACATTTGGGGTTTTATTACTCCCATAGTTCCTATTACTTTTTTTTTTTTTTGGAAGAGAATAAAACCAAATATGACAAAGCTGTCAGTCAAAACAAAGGATGGACATAGTACGTGATGTAAAAACAGATTACAAGGTTATCAACAATGGTTACCATAATGCCTCTTGCTACCTTAAAAAGAATTGCCTATATCATTAGGTATAATAAAATCGAACAAAACAGTACAGAACAAGACCAATAAAACCTAACCATTGGAGACCTTACAGGACTTCAAAAGAAGATAATAGTCAAACCAGAATGGGCATCATAGTGAATCTTATTGCCTTCAAAGTAGTTGCCTATACCCTCAAACTTGATACTATCATACAGAACAGAACAGAGTCTAATCAGTCAAAACAAGATGGTGGGAGCAATACAGGGCTTCAAATCAAGTTAATAGGAAATCAAAAAGTTACTATAATATAGCCTGCTAATTTTTTTGATTTTTTTCCTTAATTAAAAAAATATTTAATAAATAATTTATTTTTAAAAAGGGGGAGATTGAGATAAAAGAGAACATAACAACATAACAATATAGGTCAAAGCATAACAATTTCAGCAACCTACTGCTTCACCACAAGATAACCCAACTTAATAGTAGTTACCATATTATCTCTTTTCTTGAAATATTTGAATGTAACTTCATATACAATGGCTTCAAACATGTCAAAGCAGTGTGAAACCATTCAAGAGGATGAAAGTATTACAGGGTATTTAGAACCAGCTAAAGGAAAATGAACAATGGTTTCTATATTATCTCTTTGCCTATAAAAATTTTTGTTTATACTATCACATATAATAAAATCCAGTAAGATACAACATGATAAAACCAATGGAGACAGAACAACAGTTTTGTGGGACTTCAAAACAAGATGATATGAAATCAGCACTAGCTATTATGATGTCTTGTTTTCTTCAAAATAACTGTTCATATCATCACAGGCAATAATGTCAAACAACTCAGAATAAAGCCATTCCAATTAATGAGTGAAAACTTTATAAGGCTTCAAAGCCACATAATGGGGAATCATGGTTACCATATACTTTTATATATTTGAATCATTTCTTACACTAGGGAAACTATTCCGTATTCATACATGTGAGTTTGATTTATTTTACTTATGAGTATGGTCTCAAGCTGCATCCATTTATTTATAAATATCTCAATGTGACCCTTCTTTATAGCTGAGTAGTACTCCATTGTATAAAAATACTTTTTTATCCATTCCTCAGTTGAAGGACACTTAGGCTGTTTCCAAGATCTGGCAATTACAAATTGTGCTGCTATAAACATGGGTGCACATCTATCACTGTGGTATGATGCTTTCAGTTCTTCTGGGAATATGCCTAGAAGTGGCATAGCTGGGTTGAATGGGACTTCCAATCCCAGCTTTTTGAGAAATCTCCAGACTGACCTCCACAGTGGTTGCACCAGTCTACACTCCCACTAACAGTGCAGGAGAGTTCCTTTTTCCTCACAGCCTCTCCAGCATTTGTTGTTGATGGTTTTCTTGATCCAGGCCATTCTTTCAGGAGTGAAATGGAATCTCAGTGTGGTTTTAATTTGCATTTCTCTAATGACTAATGATGACGAACATTTTTTCATGTATATATTCGCCATTTGTATTTCTACATCTGAGAAGTGTGTATTCATCTCAGTTGCCCATTTTTAGATTGGATCTTTGAATTTTGGGGGTCTGTTTTTTTAAATTCTTTTATGTGTTTTAGACAGAAGTCCTTTGTCTGAGGGAGAGTTCACTAAGATTTTTTCCAGTTTGTGGGTTTTCTTTTCACTATGCTGGAGATTTCGTTTGACATGCAGAAACTTTTTAATAACTCCTCAGCTAAGCTTTTTAACAGTTTGTTTTAATTATAGTATAACTTTCTTCTTGGATTATATTCATTAAAATAAGTTTGCATGGTGGAAAGATGTCACAAGTACTGCTGTTGTAATTATGAGTCATTAAAGCATAAATTATCTTTGTAAAAACAGTAAGCTTACTTGGTTTTAAATCTACTTTGTTTTAGTGTGACTTACATATATTTAAATGCACCCATTTTTAGTATGCTGTTAGGTGACTTTATAAAGTTGCAGTTGCGTAACCACAAATTTTTCTGTAGTGATAGATTTTCATTTCATTTAATTTCAATGAATAAATACCTAGGAGTACGATTGCTGGCTTTTTATGTTGTTGTTAATTCAATAAAAATTTCCAAGTATTCTCCAAGATTGGGTGTTATTTTTAATTCCTGCCAGCAAAGTGAGTTCTGATTGCTCCATATTTTCATCAGCACTTGATATTGTCTTTTAAATTTTAGCCATTTTAGTGGTGTGTTTCATTGTAATATAAAAGGAATTTTTCCAGGAACTAATGATTTTGAGTATTGGTTCATATTCAGTGCTACCTTGGTTCATGAACTTGTTTCTTTCCATGATTCTGGTTGCAAATTGAATTGAATGAAAACTGAATCACATTCAGTGGTTAGCTTCAGTGTTGACCTTATGGGGGAATTTGATTCAGTTCTTCCAATTTGGTTTGTAACCAGAATCATGAAGAGAACAGAATAAAGTTCATGAACCAAGTTACCACTGTTCTTACTTGAATGTGGTATGCTTCTTTGTGAAGTGTCCAACTTTTGAGTCGTTTCTAAACTGAGTTGCTTGTGTTATCATTGGGTTGTAAGATGTATTTGTAAAACATTCTTAAAACCATTTCTGTGACATGTATGTAATTTATGACATTTTGTGATAATACAACTTACAATATTTTCTTTTATGTGTTATTTTTTTGTGCTGTATCTGAGAAACCTTTAACCCAGGGTCACAGAGTTATTATATTCTAGAAATTCCGTAGTATTAACTCTTTCTTCTAAGTCCAGGTAAACATTAATTGTTATATGGTATGAAGTAAAAGGTCAACATTTGTTTTTTTCCCCAATAGAGATGTCAAATTATTCCAGCACTATTTATCGAAAAGACTTTCACCATTAATTTACTTTGGCATCTTTCTGAAAATAATTGACTTCATAGATACGGTTTTATTTCTGGGTTCTATCTTCTGTTTTGTTGATCGGTTCATTTACCATTATGACAGTCTTGATTCCTATTAGCTTTATAGTAACTTTCGAAATTAAATAGCATAAATTCCACAGTTTTTTCTTTTTCAATTTTTTTGGAATAATCTTATTCTTTTTTAGTTCCATATGAATCTTGGAAGGAGCTTATAAATTTCTATTTAGAGATCTTTAGCACTGGGGGGAAAAAGGAAGGATGGAGAGAAATAAACTCTAAGTGTGAAAGTTAATACATGTTTTAAAAGGTCTTTTATGCACAAATAAAAATGCTCTTCCTACACAAGATAGACAGCTGTGCTACTTAGTAGGCTGGGATTTAGCTCAGCAGCACAAGCACTTGCCTGGCAAGCATGAGGTTGTAAATTCAATCCCCAATACAAAAACAAAAAACAAAAAACTTCTAATCTTTATATTTCATCAAAAAGAACAGTTTGTGCTTTCATTGTTTGATCTTGTTTTTATGCCTGTATCTTAAAATCTGAGCAACTACTTTGAAAATAACAATACACAATATATTAACCATCGTTAACTTCCTATTATTTTGTTTTAAACTTCTATATCATGGTTTTTATTTTCTCATTTTAACATTTTTTTTTTAAATGCTCTTCCTACTTGTATCACTGAGTAAATTCTAACCATTTTAGAAACTTTGTGCTAGGAGTTAGAATAAAGGTCAAATGGGCTGGGGATTTAGCTCAGCGGCATAAGCACCTGCCTTGCAAGCAGGCGGTCATGAGTTCGATCCCTGGTACCGATAAAAATGAAAAAGACAAAAGAAAAAAAAAAAAGAATAAAGGTCAAATAAACATGTTTCTTATTCTACGCTGGGAATCCATAACTTGAAAATCTGAAATTTGGAAGGTTTTTTTGTTGTTGTTTTATTGTTTTTAAGAGTAAGAAAATTTATTGGAGACTAGGAATAGCTCCTGAGAGACAGGAGGCTTGCTCGAAAATCTGAAACTTTTTTGAGTGCCCATTTGACATACAAGTGGGAAACTACATTTGCCCTTACCTGCTGGGCATAGTCCAAATGTAGACATGCTAACGATGCTGTGTAACATCACCTGCAGGTGATGTGAGTAAGTATGTGTGTTGTGTAATGAAGTTTGTCTTCACACTTGAGACCCACCCTAAAGGTATGTTATTACATATATTCAGACACTCCGGATCTGAAAAAATGTGAAAAAGTCCAAGATGCTTTTAGTCCCAAGCCTTTCAGATAAGTCATGCACTCCCATTGCCAGTAGAGAGAGTTCAGTATTTTCATTATGAAAATTGAAATACCTTTGAGTTTGAAATGGTCACAAATTAAAATTTTCTCAGATTTAAATTTTACTCAGCTTGTTTCTGTATCTTGATGGTTTTGTCTCTCCCTTTCCCTGTTTTTCTATCTAGATGGCTCTGGAAGATTCTGAGCAGAAGCACAATCTTTTACATTCAGTTTTCACCGATCTGGAAGATTTGTCAATCATTTTTGAAACAGACGATTTAGTGCAGTCCATACAGGAGTTAAGCAGCCAAGTGACAGCTTTACAGCAACAAATAGTGGAAAGCCTTCCGCATATCCAGCGAGTAGCTGACGTAAGTGTGTACCATAAGGATGGGATTTCTCATTTTTAATTTGTATTTTATTTGGCAGATTAGAACCAGTCTAATTATATGAATATACATTAAGCCCCCACATTTTTCATTTCCATTCTTTTCACTCTGAATCTCATAGTATAACAGTAACAACAACAACAAAAAAGATCAAATAAGCTCTTTGTTTTCTCTTTGTTGGAGATGAAATAATTTAAAAACACTGATTACGGGAGAAGTCGGGGGTTGGGGCTGGGGTTGCAGCTCAGTGGTAGAGTCCTTGCCTAACCTGACTGGAGGCCCTGGGTTCCATATCTACTGCTGCAAATAATCAATCAACATTTATTGAGGGGCTGCTGTGTCAATCAGTGGATTATTTTGAGGGGCACTGGGCATAACACCCAGGTCCTTGCATATACTAGTCAAGCCCTATACCACTATACTATACCTTCCCGAGGATTTTTAAGTAGTTTCATTGTTGCTTGAAATACATGAGTCATTCACTTAAAATATTGTCACCCAGTGAAGGCAGTTATTCTTATTCTTTAATTATTTACCTTTTGGATATTCCTGTACCTCGCTAGTAATAATAGTTAAGGGAATAAAGTTTTGGGTATAAACACCTATTCTCCAAAGTTTTAGACAGTCTTTGTGATTTCGGATGGAAATTATCCTGAAATACATTATGGAATTTTAAATACCTCCTTGAATAGTAGGTGTGGAAAACAAGTTCAGTGTAATGTAACTTTCTCCTCTAATTTGGAGATGTGACTATAAAGCCACTGTCCTTACTGCTCTGTTTGGTTAGGTCCCATAAAGTTCTGTCTTTCCTTATATCACATGGCTCCAAACTGCTATAATTTGATTTTGTTTTTTGGTATTAGGAATCGAACTCAGGACCTTGCACTTGCCAGGCAGGTACTTATGCCGTTGAACTGTATCCCTAACCCTAAACTGCTATAATTTGAAATCCTCAATCTATTTTTTTTCTTATGCTCTCCATTACTAACTATACCACCTAGGGCTTTGGTGCATCTGCACTAAGCTCTAAAGTCAAGGTCTGAAGGTTTCACTGACAGCTGTGGGCCTCTGTTTCAAATGGTGGGTTTTGAAGCATATATTTTAATACATTTTTGCAGTGTGTTTTACTTTAAGGTTCGTGAGAGTTCTGAACGTTGGTGTTGATAAGAAAAATAACCACTAGGCAAGGGACCTATTGCTGAAATTAATCAGAATGGCTTATAAAGTAATGGAATGGCATTCTGCTTGGCAGAGGCTTTTTGAGGGGACAAGAGACCCTCTCCATTTCCCAGCTCCTGCTGTTAGTTTCTTTGACTTTATCATTTTACCAAAACTGCAGGAATTTTTAAAATGTCAGACTCTACTTGTATTCAAGTGTTTAAACACAGTCCAAAGATAAATTTTAAAAGATTTTAGATAGTTGAGAGTTCACTGAACTACTAGTTTTGTTTTCATGAGTAACTGAAAATTGGCTGTAATTTTCTTTAACTCAAGAAGGCATAAGCAATACTTTGTGGCTAGATACGCTGTTAGAGTAAAAAAGCATTTTTATTGAAAACCATGAAATGTGTCTCTCTGTGGAGCCCTTGAGTCGTGTTTAAGAAGTGTAAGTTTCAAACGTTCTTTGGTTACATAGGAGAGTAGAAGTAATGGCAATAAATACTGTTTTACAGATTAGGGGTGTAGGACATATTGGATGAGTGTGTTCTTGTTTCTGAAATTCTAGGATGTGGTTGCTATTGAATCTGAAGTAAAATCAATGGAGAAAAAAGTTTCAAAAATCAAAACTATCCTGTTATCAAAAGAAATATTTGACTTTTCACCTGAAGAACATCTTAAGCATGGGGAGGTAAGCATGGATCATCACTAGAAGTATCTTCTTATAGTCCTTATTATGTCTATTTAAAAATATGTAATAATAAGATTGTTACAGAGCATTAGTATTGCTTTATGATGCTAGGGATCAAACCCAGGGATCACACATATTAGTAAGGGCTCTACCACTGAGTCGCTACTGTTCCAGACCCCAAAATATTAGTCTGCTAGGACAGTGGCAAAGTGGGTAGGGAAATAGATATGAATGAAGCCAGTGTGGTGGCGCATACCTGTAATCCCAGCACTTAAGAGACTGAGGCAGGAGGATTGCTGTGAGTTCAAAGCCAGTCTGAGCTACATAGTGAGCTCAAGGCCAGTCTAAACTACCTAGCGAGAATCTGTCTTAAGAAAACAGAAAAAAGAAAAAAAGAAAAAGGTACGTGTGAATAGTAATATTCGTAATACTGTTATGTGAAGATAATTTTCCTGTAGGTTACTTTTTCATTAAGTTTTGCCTTCAATCAAACCCAAGAGCTTGAGCATCTGAGTTACCTTGAGTTGGATTTGGCCCCAGTGAGCTGCTATTAGCCGTATGATTTTGAGTGTATGTTCGGTGGGCTGATTTTCTGTGCCTTGGTGTTGGGGTGTTACACTGGTCGGTTACAGTGCATATCGATCCCCTAGGCCGAGAGCTGAGACATGCTAACCAGCTTGCCAGCATCCGTTTTCTCTTGGCCTGGTGGTGGGGATGTGCTTTAGGGCCAGGTGGGCCTGGGTTCTTCTAATTCCACCCCTGCCTCTTGCAGTCTAACCTTCCTTCTCACTTCTGGGAACCTAATTTCGTCACCTGTGGAATACAGATTAGGGTGGTTTCCCCTCTGAGGGTAGTTGTGGGGAGTGAATGAAATTATATCTGTGAAGTGTTGAGTAAAGTGAATCGTCTCTTCTAATTTATTAGTAAGTCCAGATCCTAAGCGTCAGATGTTATTAAAGCAAAATACCATTATACTCCTGAGATTTCATAAAATTTAGCCAAATTTAGTTCATTTAAAGAGCAGATTGTATAGAAGCCCTGTGCTAGGTACAGTTACTTTGAAAGTACAATGTTGTACCTGCCCTTAGTGTAGCCCACAGACGGGTGACCATAGAGAGAGCTGAAGGAGAGTGCGTCTCAGAGCAGAGGAGGAGAGAAGGGAGAAAAGGGTGTGCTCGGTGCAGCAGCCGCCGGGTACTGCTCACCCACCGTGTTCTGCCCTGAACCACAAGCCCAGCAGTGACCAGCGCTTTTCATTCGGAGGCAAAGAAATGTTTTAAAAAGTGAAACTATAGACTAAATTGTGTAAACTTTTAATTTTGAAAAATTAAGCTTAGCAGCAGCCAAAGAGTTTTGTTTGTTTGTTTGAATGCTAATTGCATACCATGCTTCTCTTAATCACTAAGGTCATCCTTGGCAATCTCCGTCCCATGAAGAAGACCATAGCTGAGATAGTGTCTTACCAAGTGGAGCTGCAGTTACCGCAGCCAGAGGTGAACCCACTGCCTGTGTTTCAGAGGACAAATCAGCTTTTACAGGATGTAAAGCTCTTGGAAAATGTGACTCAAGAACAAAATGAATTATTAAAGGTGAGTGGTTTGTGATGACAGCCAACTTACTGGTGAAGGTGTTTAGCAAATTTGGTTTTTTCCCAGTTTTTATCGAAAGAATTATCATAAAGACCTGTTTTCTTGCTCACATAGGACTCAGATTATTTCCCTCTCAGGTGTCAGCCTTGCTGTGCTTGAAGACATTAAAGCATAGTTATGGTCGATTTAATTCCATCCTATAGCCATTAAAGTACTACAAGAATAAAATCATCTGGGAAAGGATTCAGACCTGGGCAAGGCATTTGCAGTCTCAGGAGACCAGGCGATCTGTAAAGTAATCGTTGCATAATGCTCTCAGTCCCTTCCCATGGATGAGCTCATCTGATTCTCCGTGTGTGATGCTGGTAGAATAGGAGGCTGGTGTGGAGGGGTGAGAGGCTTGCTGAAAGGCTGCCACCTCAGGCAGAGGCCGATTCTTACCCAAATCAGATAGGAATGTGGATTTCAGAACCCCTGGTGATACTGCTCAGTGGTGACACCTTTCAGCCTCTCCCCAGATACTCCCCCCCCCCCCCAGTTGTCTCAACTGTCTCAAATCACAAATTATGTATTTAGTTTGCGTTACTTGGTCAAGAGCCACTCCCAGAAGATCAGAGAATTGCTGGAAGGGACTTTGATTCCACAGACCTTCAGCCCTCTTGGTAGACAGCCTGCACCCTGCCTTTGAAAGCTGTGGTGCCTTAAGCCTTCACTTCCCTTCACATTTCAGAGGCCACTCTGTTCTCAGATCTGGAGGCCCTGCACTCCCTGGTCTGGGTCCTGACTCTTACAGCCTCACTGGGCTGGAAACTGGTCACCTTTGGTTGGAGAGGAAAAAGACCTAGCACCCAATGTATGATATTTTAATACTGCTCAAAGAAAAGAAAAAAGTCAAATTTGACATGTTATCCTTATTATGCTCCATGGATTTCTTAGTTGGGAAAGAAAATAAGCCATAACTGTGCTTTAATGTGGCTTTTTCACAAGATGAAAATGGAAGACTAGAAGACCATTTTACCAAGTTAGATACCAAACTGTGCTCCTAACATTTTTCTTCCTTCTGTGCTGGTAAAATCAGATGTACCGTAATGCATTTCAAAGCTAAATAAGCCAGCGGTAATGAAAATCACTAGAATACAGTACCTTTCTCCTTTAACTACTACTTTAAATATTACAAGTGCCCTCATCGTGGAAAGTATGACAGTTACTTTTGTAGGGGAGTAACAGGGTACAGTCTGGTTGAGGGCTGAGGAACTGGTGTGTGTGGGAAACATAGTTATTCATTTCCAGCCTGCAGCTAAAATTAGGGTTAAACATTAAAGAAAATACAAGGAAGAATTATGCGTTAGCCAAAATCTTTGTAGTTTCAAAGGCATTTTTGCTTTATTATTAAGCAGACCAAAGAAATATCTAGATGTGCTTTCAAGTCCATTTCTTTATCTTTCATAATCCTTTGATTGTATCACTTAGTCCACAAATAGATCTCTTAAGATAGCCCTGCTTTCCTAACATCAGACCCCACGCACTGTTCTGGTTAGTTTTGCCTTATTCTGCAAACTCTGCCTGTTCTAGAACCTTCAGCTTTTTTACTGATGAAACGCACATCACAGATGCTATCGGGTGCTAGGTGAGGATGTGTACGTGTTGGGAAAATTCATCATTGCTCAAATCACAGGCCCTGTGCATGCTCAATCTGCCATACCACCTTCTCTGTGGAAAACCCCACATGGGGTATATTTTAAATGGTATGCGTGACATTCCAGTAACTTCATACGACTAGAAACCTTATTTCAACGCTCCATAAAACACTTCCGGGAGAAACCCACTAGACTGAGCACACTTCAGGTCAAGGTGTATCTAACTAGACTCGGACGGCAGGCGCTGCCCTGGTATCTAGTAAAGCAAGGAGGTGCCAGCTCTGCAAAGCTTGTCCTCTATACTTAGAACTTAAATATAGATAATATCTAGACTATCATTACAATACATTTAAATCAAAAGCTTTATGGATATGAGTTTTCCTCATTTGACTGGAATTTATAGTGGGGATAGATAGTTAATCTAGTCTTAAATCTTGACAATTCTTCTTTGGGGGGGTATTTTATAGATAGTCATAAAACAGACCAATGAATGTGATGAAGAAATAGAAAATTTGAAGCAGATCCTAAGTGATTATGCAGCCGAGTTCTCCCTTGGACACACCTCCCCAGACCAGGCCACCGACTTGCCAGCAGTTCAGGTACGTTCCGTTCATTGGTTCACTCAGTATCCACCTGGGAAGCCTTGGCGTCTGGCGGCCCAGGTCGTGCTGCAGGCTGATGTCCAACCTCTCTTTTGGATTGAACCTGCTTTCAGTTCCTGTTTCATGGACCAAGCACTTTTGTGGTATTGTGATTAAACTTGATAAACTGGTGGCTGCACAGCTCCCACTCAGAACCTGTGCTAGGGCTGCTTCTTTAAGCAGGGTGCTCTCAAGGCTCTCAAGGCTCTCAGTCTCAGCCTGGTGCAGTCACCTCTGCACTTGCTCTGGTGCCCAAGGGGCTGATGTGACGTGGGATGTCTGACAACTTGACCCTCCCATTAGTTGTTGGGAGTGGGGGTTGGGCAGTGAGGACAGACTGGACTTTCAGAGGTAATACAACTCTGGACACCATTATAATGAAGGGTGCTGTATACCAAGCTGTTTCTTCATTTCCCATGATGACCAGCATCCAGTGTACCTAGTTACAGTGGTTTGTCTGTTAACACTCTGTTAGGATTTTTTAAAGTTTGTTTTTGAATCAGAACATCTGTATTAAAAACCTGACTATGTACCATGAATTACAGAGAGCTGAAGGGTTTTTTTTTTTTTTTTTTTTTTTTTTTTTTTGCCATGTGATTAGTGGGGGCAGGTAGTTGATATGTTCTCAGCCACTTGCTGAGTCAGCAAGTGGGGGTCCCTCTTGCGGATTCAGTGTTAAAGACTGAGTGTCGTGAAGATGTACATAGGCATCTGTGTACTAAAAATTAGTGACTGCAGAGAGGAGTTAATTGTTTATGTGCAGACTAAGGAATTAAAACTCAGAGATGTTAAAAGATTTTGTTTTAAAACAGCAATCTTAAACCCATTATATGTTAATAGAAATATTTTATTAAACTAATTCTCTATCTTAAAAGAAAAAATAGTGCAAAGAGTGACACTCTTACATTTTTGCTCATCCTTTAACCTTTAATGTCTGACTTAATAGAAAACTTTTTATTTACTTCTGCATTCTAGTGTATCGAAACTTTTTCTTTTCTTTCTTTCGTCTTTTTGAGACAGGGTCTCTCTATGCAGTTCAGGCTGGCCTTAAGCTCACTTTGTAGCCTAGGCTGGTCTTGAACTTGCAACAGTCCTCCTGAGTGCTGGAATTACAGGTGTGCGCCACCACTCCCAGCTTTTTTTTTTTTTGAGACAAGATCTCCTTATATAATCCAGGCTAGTTTTGAACTCACTATGTAGCCCAGGCTGGCCTCAGACGCACAGCAGTCCTCCTATTGTACTGATTTTGTTCAAAGTTTATAAAACGTCCAATCTTAGCTGGGCGTGGTGGCACATGTCTGTAATCTCAACATTCAGGAGGCTGAGGCAGGAGGATTGTTGTGAGTTCAAGACCAGCCTAAACTACATAGTGCGCTCAAGGCCAGCCTGAATTGCATAATAAGACCCTGTCTCAGAAAGGAAAGGAAAGAAAAAAGGCCAGGGATATAGCTCAGTGGCACAGTGTCTGCCTGGCAAGGGCAAGTTCCTGAGTTCTATCCTGGTACCATAAAATACATATATACATACATACATATATAAATAAATAAAAAGACAAAAAAATCCAGTGTCACATGGACATGTACCTGGAACAGGGGAAAATAGTTTAATAGTCCATTTGAATAGTTATGGGCATTGTTTCAAACAACACTGACACATAACAAATGAAAGTTACTCATAAGACAGTTGTAAATGATTCTAAAGCCGTTTTCATGAGGTTCTCATTTTCTCACATTAAAATCCATAGGTAGACTTTTGCTTTGTGCTTTGTGCTTTGGCTTTGTGCTTTGAATGGGAAATAAACATTGAAAAATGCATGACTCACAGTATCAAACTTATCATTTGGAAAATACTGTTTCACTGAGTTACACAAATCTCTCAAATGTTGATACATTTCAGTAGTTCATATGAAACAATCATCTCTCCAAACAAAAGTTTTTGTAACATGCAAGTGTATAAGTATAGTTTACTGATTATTTTATTTCATGTGAAAATAGTGTTCTGTGGAAAAAAAAGTTACCGTCAGGCAGGTACTTTTCCTCACCTGTTGTACTTTGGCACCCAGCAGTCCCCCTTTACGCATGCCTCCTATTTTGTCACTAGAATATTAGAGGCTCATGTCTTTAACTCTGGGACATTCTTAAGTGAAACCAGAACTATTTTTCCTACTGAGGAATTCTATAATGATTAATATAGCTGGTGCCCCTGCCTTGATTCCTGTAAGGTGCCAGGAATCTTACCCACCATAGCTTTTGTGTCATTAGTGTAAATGTCAACACCATGAAAAAAGGCAAGAAATGTTTTAATAATATGAACCACGGCGTCCTGCTGAAGGCTGCCTAGTACCTTCTGTATCTGCATAGCCCGGACAGCCCAGCAGGCTGCTCTGTCCCCTGAGTGTTACTCTCATGGCTCTGAAACCATTTTTCTTGGGGATCGCTTGACCTCTGAATTTAGTGTTTATTAAAAGTGGCACACAAAGTGTAGCCAACCATGATATAATTCCAACCGTGATTCACTTGCCGCCAGCACTCATAGGAAGTTTGACTTCAGACACAATCAGGGTAGGAATGCGAGCCATTTTGGGGAGCTGTGAGGAGCCCCATTTCTATGTTCTGTCACAGGCTGGCCACTTTTGGGTGATCACCTTCTTTGGGCTTCAGAACTCTCATGTGTAGATAGAAATGTGTTCCTTTTATGTTTGTGCAAAAATCAAAGACTAGGGAGCCTGGGATATAGCTGAGTGGTGCAGTGCCTGCCTGGCAAGTGCAAGGTTCTGAGTTCAATTCCTGGTACCCACCTCCAAAAATGAAAGACTCTGCGTGTCTGTGAGTCAACAGATACAGTAAGGAGCAAAGTTGTTTTGCAGTTCTGAGGATCAGACCCAGGTCTTGTGCATGCTAAACAAGCAGTCTACCAGTCTGGAACAAATAGTGAACAGATGTAGGTTTCTTAAAAAGTTCCTCTGGATCAGCACTAGCTGCAGGAGCTTTTTCAGGCAGAGGTTGAAAGATTCCTCTCCAGGGTGCTGAAGTGGAAGATGTTTGGCTGCGTGAGACCTGTGAATGTAGGATTGTGTCATCCTGTAATCCTTATGGACAAACCGTGCCATTTATATACAACCATATATAAAAAGTTTTATTTGTACATATTGGTAATACAAATGCTAAAAGTAGCACTTCGAACCTTAGACTCTTCATGCTATAGTAAGTTGTCCTGCCAGATACTTTTGTTGGTGTACGTGCTTGTTTGCACTAAAGAGTCAATGAACTTAGTCATACTGGAGAAGTCTTCAAGGGCAATAATGAAAGAAAGATTTCTAACTTTGTTTCTGTCAGTGGTTCCCAAATGTTAGTCTGCCGAAGAATTTCCTGGGCAAGGGAAAGTGTGCACGGAGCAGCGTGCTGTGTGCTAGTGGGGAGATGCCCGGGGGCTGGCCTGATGAATTCTGGTTCCATCAGTGCTGCGGCTGCCACAGGGCAGTGGCTCCCACCCCACTGCGCACCTTAGCCTGTCACCTGGGGAGCTTGTTACATGTTCCCTGATCTGGCTCAACCCCCAGAAATTCTGACCCAGAGGAAGAATTCTGTACCAGAGCCAGGCTTCTGGCTTTGCAAACCAAACAGCCCAGACTGGTGGTGGTGAACCTTTCAGAGCTCTCCATGACGCAAACAGCCCGTTGCGGCATATGTGCCATAGGTTCACCACCACTAGCACAAGGTAAGAGGTACGTTGTGCCTCCTAATCCATCCCTGTGGGGATCCACAGGCTTCCAGTTTCCAAAACAGTGCCAATGCTTTCTGTGCAGGAAGAAATTGAAGCTGTGGAAAAGCAGGTTCTGAGGTTAAACCAGAAAAAGGAAGATCTACTAGTGGACTTGAAGGCGGCCATCCTGACCCTCCACGAGCATTTGAAGCAAGACCAGCAGGAAGCAGAGAGAGCCGGGCAGTCTGCCACCACCTCAGAGGACAGAGCGGCTGAGAGAGAGGCTCTGGAGTGGAAGGTAGGCGCGCTCTGGGGCAGCGTTGGTCCTACATCCCAGGGGGCCTTAAATGGGCCTGTTTTCCACTTGAACAGCCTGTGCCATCTGTGCCTGTGGCTTACAGCAAAGAAGTATCTCTCATGGCAGTGCAGATTGAACCCAGGACCTTCTCACTGAAAGGACAGACTCGCCAGCCCTTTATAATTTTGAGACAAGGTCTTGCTCAATTTCCCAGACTGGTCTCAAACTCACAATCCTGCCTCTACCTCCCAGAGTGCTGGAATTACAGGCTGGAATTCATTAGTGCCACGCTGATCAACAAGTAAAGGAGTTTTTGAACATGGAAACTTTCTGCTTGAGTTGTTTACTAGTTAATTTAAAAATCTTGGAGTGAGTCTGTTGTGGGCCACACCCAGAATTCCTATGACTGAGTTACTTCAGGACTTGCTTGTGAAATTCCATGGCAGGTGGGTGGGGTCACCCTTTGAAGTATTTTCCTATGAAGTACTCAGCCCCACTCTGAATCCCACTCTCAGTGTGTTTAGTAGGGGGCAGAAGCGGTGATTAAAGTGGCCTGGGACTTGGCAGTAAGGGTATTTGGCTGGGTGAGCACTAGCTGGGGCTACCTGTGTGGGCAGGCATCTTGGATAAAGTGAGTAAAAAATTAGCCACATAAAAACGCATGGCGGCAGGATCCCGGGGAGGCTGGTGCGGGTCTGACTGTGGCTGTCCTGCTGTGCCTTCCAGCGGGACCGAACGGGCTCCATGTCCTTCCTGCCAGCCGTGGAGGAGGAAGCCGAGGAAAGCCCTGTGCAAAGTGAAGTAAGGAAAATCATTTTCTTTCTCCTTTCGGTCTCTAAAAGAAGGTAGGAGAAAAGAGCTTGAACAGAAATCTAAGAAGTTCTAAGTTAATATGGAGTTTTAGACATACTATTATTTTAGAAGTATGAGAAGTAGCTCTGTCATGTTATTAATGTTGTCTAAGTGCATCTCGCCCTTCTTTGCTCTGCAGAGAGGGTAAAAGTTATCCAGACACGCTTGTTGACATAAGGGAGAAGATGGAGATGTGCTCGCTTCTTTGCTGATTTCTGAGTAGTTTTTCTGAAATTTTGAGTGTGCTGCTTGGCTGGCATTCCTGTTGCAGTTTTTAAACTTTCTTTTTCCGTGTTTGAGCTTTTCCTTTGTTCTTAAACAGAACATGAGTTGTGTCAGCAACTAATACCACTGGTTCTTGATACTTCATCATAATGATTAAACGAGACATTTATGGTTGGCTCTTCTGAGTCCTACTTTCCATTCATATTTTAAAAATTAAAGTGCTACTGTGTCTTACACTAACAGGAAGAAAATTGTGGTAGCTTATATTTTTATGACACACAATAATCAGTTCTTTTTTGTTTGAGACAGGGTCTCACTGTGCAGTTCAGGCTGGCCTTGAGCTCACTTTGTAGCCCAGGCTGATCTTGAACTCACAGTGATCCTCCTGCCTCAGCCTCCCAAGTGCTGGGATTTGGGGCATGTGCCACCATGCCCGGCCAATAACCAGCTCTTACACTCACGCTATAGAATCACAGCTTCATTGTCACAGCTCTTGTCCTATCGCGTGTCCCTAGGACTGGGTAAGACCAGGTGGGAAGATAAGGGGTTGGCCAGACACTCAGCCCGCCACACGGCTGGTTCTGTGCCTGGGTGGGAGCAAGGATTGAGAAATTGAAGGAGCCACAAACTTTGCAATGTATATTTGCTTCTAAACTGATAGGTTTATGGAATTTACCTTTGACAACCACCAAAATTGTGTCTAGCAAGTTCTTTTTTTAATTGACAGGTAAAAAATTATATACATAATTATAAAAAATTATACATACCTGGTATGCAGCATGATGTTGTGATATGTACATACATTGTAGAATAGCTAACTCAACCTAGTTAATATAATTTCCTCTTATATTTACTTATTATGTTCTGATGCTAAGGATTGAACCTCGCACCTCACATTTGCTAGCCAAGTGCTGTATGATTGAGTTAAATCTCCAACTCTGTAATAGTTACCTCTTCCAGGAGATGAGAACAGTTTGTTTAAATGAGTGGCTGTCATGTATACAATATGTTGTTACTGACTGTAGTCCCCAAGCCGTACAGCACCTGTCTCATACGCCTTCTGCCTGAGATTTTGAAGCTTTTGGCTGGTATCCCCCAGTCCTCCTCTCCCCGCCCCAGCCCCTGCTCCTCCAAGTTCAGAATTTCACACCACACATGTAAGCGAGAGCGGGTAGTATTTGTTTCTCCATTCCCGGTTCCTTTGTTTTACCTCCTGGCTCCTCCGTGCTGTCACAAATGACACAGTGGCCTTTATTATCACTGGATAATATTCCATTCCGTGTATGAACCCCACTTTATTTGTTCATTCACCAGTGGACACAAGGTGATTCTGGGTCTTGGCTGCTGTGAGTGATGCTGCACTGAGCACCAGAGTGCAGGCATCTCTTTGACATGCTGATTTCCTTTCCTTGGAATGTGTAACCAGGAGTCTGACGTTGGATAATACAGTGGTTCTGTTTTAATTTTTTGAGGAACCCCCACACACTTTTCCGTTTGGCCACTAACTTACAATCCCACCGCAGTGCTCGGGGGTTCCCTTTGGCCTGTCTCCTCACCAGTACTTGTTTCTCCATCTCTTTGATAAAGCTCCTTATCTGTGTGGTGTGCCTCTCGTTGTGGTTCATGTATTCCTTTACTTGGTGGTACTATGGGTGGAGCCCCTTGCCTCTTCTAGGCAAGTCCCATACCGCTGAGCTGCACTCGGAACTCTCACTGTCAATCTAATTTGCATTTCTCTGATGACTAGTGATTTTAAGCACTTTTTCTAATAGCCACCAGACTGTTACTTTCAAGAAAACATTTTTGGTTGTGCTTACTACAGCAGATTAAATTCCTAAAGCACTATTTTATAGACCCCTTTTGTGTGGTACAAGTTTACTTACTCTTTGAATGAATAAATACACATACACAAGTTTCAGAAAACCACAGTTAGAAACCTGAGTTCATTAGCCAAAGAAATGGGTGTCTGGGGCCCAAGGCCCGTGGGTGAAGCCCAGTGAGTGCTTCTGGTGTGACATTGTGGGACAGCCTGCTGGCGAGGTGAGCACTCCCTGCCCTTCACTGATCGGTGTCCTTCCCTAGGATGGATGCGAGGAAGCCAGGCCATCTGCAGGGTCTCAGCCTTTCCTCTGGGAGCAGGACGAGGACCTGGAGGGCAATGGGGCGGCCTCGTCCTCTGCAACAGTCATCCAGGTAACTGAATGCCGGGGACGCGGTGGGTGCTGGTTGCCTGAACTTGCCAACCCATTTTCCTCTGTAGGGAGCGTCTTTCTGTCAACACCTTTAAACCTTTAAATTACCAGTCTGTGGCCTGAATGAGGAATAAAAACGGATATAAATGAAAGAAAAGAATTTCTTGTTTGGATGCTTAGAGCAGGAAATGGTTCAGGCAGAATTTTAGTTGCTGTATGTAAGTACAAACTGCACATTTGTGGTGTGTAACATGATACTTTGAACTGTATTGTGGAACTGATAAACAAAGCTAATTAATACATGCATAGCTATGAACCTACACCTCCTGCCAGTCTGAAAGGCTGGATCCTTTGCCTAATGTGTCCCGGCCCTCCTCTCAGTCCCTCGTAACCATGGTTCCACCTCCTACTTAGATGGCTCAGATTCCACGTGTAAATGAACTCATGTGGCAACTGTCTTGTCTTTCTGTACCCAGCGCATTTTACTTCCCTTGGTGTCCTTCAGATCCATCCGTGTGGCTGCAAATGGCAGCACTGATTTCCTTTTCAGACTGAATAATATTCCATATGCACATTTCATTTTCTTTATCCGTTCAACCACCAATGGACAAGGCAGTTGGTCCCATATCTTGGGGATTACAAAGTTTTACAGCTTTTCACCATTATTCCTGCACACATACAAAGATAGCTGTGCTTGTTCCTTGAGTTTTTCTTGTATGCCCAAGTCTAAGTAGATAACCCAGAGTCCTTCAAAGGCCTCGCCACATTTTTTCACCCAGCACTGAACGTGGGGGTGGGTGTGGGAGGGTGAACCTGTAATCCTTTTATTCTTTTCCTCACCAGTACTGAAGGTCAAACCCAGAAGTGCTCTACCCCTGAGCTACCTCTTCACCCTTTTTTTTATTTTGAAACAGGGTCTTTCTGTGTTTCTTAGGCTGATAGCAAACTCCCAGGCTCAAGCTGCCCTCCAGCTTCAGCCTCCTGAGTAACTGGGTTAAGACCTGGGCCACCATGATCTTTTTTTTAAACCACAGCAGTGTATTAGTGAAATCAGTGGGCTAAGCCTTGTTGCTCCTTGTGACGTGCTAAATGTCCAGATGCCTCGCTTTAGGAAACCATCCTGCCCTGTCAGGCAGTACCCTGCCTTTGCTCCTGAATGATGTCGGGGCGCCATCGCCATCCTGAACCACACATCCACACCTCACCTCCTGTCCCCTCAGCCTACACTCTGGCCACCCCTTCATTAATCGTTGGCACCATGCTCTGCTTGGACCTGCACCTCTAGTAGAAGGCATCTTTCCCTCTCTGCTTAAAAGTATTTAGGTCTCCCTTCCCACCAGCTGCCTCCTCCACCTGAACAAAGCCATCATCTCAGCCCACCTCTTGAATGGCTCTTCAGAAAATGCTGCCCCTGGCCGCCCCTTTGCACCTCTCCCTGCAGAATCCCCACTGGTCTGGAAAGAGCCTTCTCCACTTCTGCCTTCTCCTCAAACCCGGAGCTCCAACAGGGAAGATCGCTCTCTTTCTCTGTGTTTTCTGTGGACCTCAGTTGCAGCTCGCCACAGTTCTATGCACACACTTGACACAGTTCCACATACGGCAAGAATCTTACAAGCTGTTCTGCATGTTATTACCTGCACTCAGCCCTGGGTGGCACTTTAATGAATTGACTTTCTTAATCCTTAATCAATTACTGTACTTAATCCTTAATTATTGTACTTCTTTCATTCACTACTAAACACTTTTATGTGGTGCTCTCTCGCCCCCTTTTGTGGTCTAGTTTCTGCCCCTGGTTAAACAACTGTTGGCTTCTGGAAACCACTTTGGCTTCTGGAACACCTGATCTTTCTTGAGGTATCCAGTGAAGGAGACACTGGACCATCTCTTTGTTCGTGAACTGCAACCTGCCTTTGGCTTTCTTGATTTGCACACCCCTGTCTCTTCCGCCGTAGTCCCTCCTCTGTCTTTCTCCCTTGGTTCTGTTCGTCTTCTGTCTCTACTAGAAGGCAGGCATTCCCCAAGCTGGCTGTTCTCCTCCTTCTGTTTGTGTCTCCTCCTCTGGCTTTGGTAGTCACCCTGGTGCCAGTGAGTCCCATGCCACATCTCTCATCTTGCCTTTTCTCCTAAGTCTGTTTCACATTTCTGCACCCCTTCCCTAGACTTCTCCTTTTAGATGGATTATTTTTATTTCAGACTTATTTACTACCCTTTCTTCCAAGCTTGCTCCTCTTCCTAATTTCTCAGTGCTTGCCCAGAGTCTGACACGTGAACATGAGAGTCAGCTCAGGCACCTCACTTTCCTCTTTCACATCCAGTCAGGGTCAGGTAATACCCTTTCATCTCTCTCCTCACCCTCCCATTACATTTGTCATCATCCTGCGTGAGAAATTTTATTTCCCCTCTGGGTTTTTGGAGTAGCCTACTCATTGGTTATATAGCCTCTAGTTATTTTTTCTAACCTACATACAAAATTCTGATGGCTTTTCCTAAAACATATGCCAGACCCCAGCTTAAAATCCTTCATGGATTCTGGTAATCTAAATTAAATAAAATGTGAAACTTCTTGATCAGGATTTTTCATGATCTCTTTCTGTCTTTCCTGGGTTTGTTTGTTTGTTTGTTTGATGGTTTTTGTACTGATCTGTTTTGACCTTACACTTGCTAGGCAGGTGCTGTTCTGTGGGCTATATTCCCGGCCACTTTTGTCTCAGTCGTGCCTGTAGTTCTTGTGTTCAGAAAGCAGTTGCGTTAGTCAGATTTCCCATCACTGAGACATCATACCTGAAACCCACAACTTTAAAAGTAGTTTATTTTGGCTGACAGTTTAAGGGTGTTCAGTCCATGGTTGGCTGGTTTCAAGGCAGAAGCAACATGATGGGGAGGTGTGGGTGGGACACAGATGCCTGAGCAAATTGGCACAGTCAATTAACAGATTATCGTTTCCAGCAGAAGGAGCCAGAGAAACGAACATTTTGTTAGAAGGTATCAAATGCCTTATAAATGCCTTATATATGTATTTTATTTTGTACCTTATTTATGTATTGAGCTTATTGTATTAGAGAAACCATGCAATATAAAATGAAAACCAGAGTCCAAATCCATGTGTATAAACTACTGCTTGCAGAGCCCTATGACCACTAACATAGGAGCTCAGGAGAGGGAGAGGCCACTGCGGGCGGGGTGTTCTGAAATGGGTTAGATTGGAGTAGATGGAAGGAGCTTCAATAAAGGGCATAATTTGGTGAGGCCATTAAACAACAGCAAACAACCCAAACTGTGAGTGGTGTGGACTTTATTCCCACTTTAAAGATCAAGTAACTGAGCTCAGAGTCCCAGTTAAATTGTTCAAGATTCCACACAATTTGCGAACAGAACAATCAAGATAGGTTGATAATAACATCCATACTGTGTTTATTATTTTGTATGCATCATTTTTATATTGTTTAATCTTGTGTAACCTTAGCAGTGGGATTGCTCAATCAAAGCATTGAGAGAGAGACAGAGAGAGAGAGAGAGAGACAGAGAGAGACAGAGAGAGAGAGAGAGAGAGAGAGAGAGAGAGATGCTGGGGACCACACATCCTAGACAAGCATTCTGCCACTGTGCGACACACATTGTCAAACTGTCCTTCAGAAAGCCTGTGCCAGTTTTATTCCAAAAATGGATTGAAGTGCTGTCTCCTGATCCAAGTTGGAATTTCATATCGTCAGTCTTAGACAAACTTAACATTGGTTTAAATTGAATTTATATTCTAAGACTGTTGAATATCACTCTTGAGATGTCTGTTGGTTTTTATAATTCTGTGAGTTGCTTATTCATATCATTTGACTTTTTCTACATGGGGTTGATGTTTAACTTAATGATGTATAAGATTAATTAATATAATGAGGACATTAGCACTTTGGGTATGCCAGTTTAGTATTTCTTTTTACTTACAGTGTGGTACCTTTTGTGGTGTACATTTTATTTTTATGTTGTTCAGCATAACAGTATAGACATTTTTTTCCTCTGTTGTTGTGCTTTGAAACTCCCCTCCTAGAATTTTTATGGCATCACTTTTATAATTCAATATTAGATAAAATTAAAATTCATTGTTAGGAGAGAGGTTAAGATTTTAGCTTAATTTTTCTTTAATAAAATGTCTGGGTGGTTTTACCCTAAATTTAGTGAGCTCATTTTCTTTTTCTTTTCTTTTTTTTTTTTTTTTTTTTTTGTCTTTTTGAGGCAGGGTCTCTATGCAGTTCAGGCTGGCCTTGAGCTCACTTTGTAGCCCAGGCTGGTGTCGAACTCACAATGATCCTCCTGCCTCAGCCTCCCAAGTGCTGGGACTACAGGAATGAGCCACCACGCCCGGTTGTGTGAGCTCATTTTCTCTCTTGTTATTTGAAATGTAGCTCTTATCATAGAACCTTATTTGAATTCTCATCAAAATCTATTCATGTACTTAATTCTGTAGATTCCTTATATGCTCATTAACCAGAGTTGTGGCAAACTGAAGTTTATCAAATAATGACCAGCATGAGAAAGCGGATCTTCCCCTGCCAAACTGACTTTTTTTCTGAGTTCACCTGGCTTCTCTAGAAGGGGGCTGCTTCTTTGGCACCAGGGCAGAACTCTCCCTGGACCTCTGATTGATTCCTTTCTTTACAGGAGGCAGAGAGAAAAATCAGCACATGTGACCGTTCCATGATGCAGATTCTTGCACCTGACTCACCAGTCACAGAGCAAGACCCAGAATTCTCCGCGGGGCTCAGCCAGACAGGAGATGTAAGTCGCATCTGTCACAAAGTGACTGCTCAGACAGCTGCTGTCCTTATCTGTGCATTGCCCCACAGGTCCCCTGTGAACCTTAGCATCTTTGTAAGTGCTGTTAAGCTGTAGAACGGAAGATCTGTTATCACTTATTTACATAAGAAATGAGCATCGCGTGGAGCAACGTTCCGCTGTCCGCCTGACTGACATTTGTCAGCACTAAGTGATCCTTCCCTGTCTACCTTAATCTGATACCTAGTGTCTGGGAGCAGTGAAAGCAGAGACAGGCTAATATTGATCCATGGTCTGTTACAGAAAAGGCATTTATATTGGTTGTCCATTTAATCACGTGGTAGATTAGTGCCTACCAACAAAGAACAAACCAAAATCCGGAGAATGATGCTCCAGATAGGGAAAAAGGAGAGCAAGGAATCACTTCCAGAATGTCCCAGTCCACCTTCCAAGCATGATACCTGCCTCAGTGGTTCTCGGGAAGGCCTTCAGAGGGTGCTGTTTCCCAAGCTGACCTTGGTGTTCAGCTGGACCTAAAGTCCCACAGTTACAGAAAACATACTAGCGTGCTTTTGCTGCTTTAAAATTAATTTTACTGTTTTATATGGAGTTTTGTTTATATTCTCCCCCAATCTTATTTATGCACATTTTCAATCTTTTGTCTGTTCTTAGAAAAATATATACTAGTCATCAAATGGTTATTCTCCTCCTTACCCTTCTCCTTTTCGTCTCTAACAGTGGACGCCCAGCAAGGTAGACAGAAGTCAGAGTCGAAGAAAGTTGCTGCCCCGCTCAGTGGTTCTTTTGCTGCCCAGAATTAATATGTTATTTTTGACACCTGCCGTTGTGTTTTGGCTACGGGAGGCATTCTGCTTAGCGCGAGCCACTGTGGGGTGGATGACCTACAGTGCGGTCATGGCCCTGCCCGTGTTGGCACCAGACAGTAGTGACAGTGAAGGACATAAAACGTCTACTGTGGGCCCGGCCTGGGGTGTGCAGCTGTCACCTACTGCCTCTGGCAGCCCTCGATTCGGTAGTTAGCACGGCTCCCCCTCCTCCCAGCTGGGAGGGTGCAGCTCGGAGCAGTTACGTAGGCTTCCCGAGACCACATAGCCGCTGAGCGGCAGAGCTAAGATTGAGAGTCAGATCTTCTGCCTCTGGGTTTACAACCTAAGATTGTAACTCTAAGGCTCGAATATCTTTCTCTTAAACCCAGCTATGTACATATATATTTACATTTTCTTCGTAATAGAATTTTTGTCCTGGGGGTGCCTTTTGGATTTATGGGTACCAAAAAGTAGCAGAAGGTCACCTTTCATCTCCGCAGGAATCAGCCTGCTTTTGATTCTTCTGCACTTTTACCACCTGCACCCCGTCATTTCCACCTCATGGCCCAGCCCCAGAGGGGAATGGGTCTCCTGAGTGACCAGGGGTTGTGATGCCCACCTTGCAGACCTTTTGTTTTAAAGTTGAAAACATGAACCAAATAAAAACCACATAACTTTTAGTAGATTTTAAAGTCATCCATGTCTCAAACTGCAACAGAAAATAAATATTTAATACAGAAAAACGTGAGACCAAGGCAGCCTGACCTTGTAGGAGGCACCACCTCTGTGCTATTCCTGTGAGACACCTCTGTCTGTGGGTGTCACCCCTGTGCCCTCGCGGGCAGCCTCGAGGGTGAGATGTGCAGGTATTTGTAGATTCGATTAAAATAATGTTGATATAAGTTGGATATAAAATGCAGCTCTAGCCAAAAAATTAGCTAGCATTTTAGCTGCAGTGGTGGTGTTAGGTCAGGGCTGTGTTGGTGTAGACATTCAGGCGCTAGCTTAGACAGCGGGTGGAGAACGAAACTGGCTCAAAGAAGTGGACTCGTAGATCCCAAGCAGAGTGAAATCAGGAATCGAATTCTGGTTGTGTGAGCATGAGCAGGGTGAACAGCCTCCCGAGGCCTCAGTTTCCTCCTCTGCGCACAGGGAGTAGGTACAGGCTTGTGGTGTAAAGTAATGAAGTGATCTTTGTGTGGTGCTTAGCACGGCACCTGTTTTATGTAAGAGCCCAGTGAAGGTTAGGCATTATTAACTTACTTACGCCACAGAGAATGACAGCATCATTCTTAAGAACAAGGGTCACTGTGGTGTTACATGTGGCCCTAGAGTATGTAGAAAACATTCATTTCGATGATTTCCACTGTTGTGATGTGGAGCTGTGTCTTAGAGAAGACCTTTCGTTGGAAATACCCAAGGGTTCATAGTCTAAGCCTCACAGGGCTTTGCCACCCTGGTGTGCTAATTGCTGTTCTGATGAGCACTGGGGTGCCTTCTTGGAGGGCTGGAGGCCGTGTATCCCCTCTCCGCGGCTCCCCTGGCTGGGACGAGCTCGCAAACACCGTGCCCCTCACAGCATTTACCCGGTCCCACGACACAGGTGTCATATCCGGTTGGTGTGGGCACCATATATGGGGCCTACGCCTTTGATTTACAACCCGGGCTTCCGTGTCTTAAAAGCAATTCAAATAACCTGAAGACATTCCAATTTAAAATCACAGAGCAGTTGTCCTTGAGCAAATGGTTGCTGTCTGGGCCTGCACTTCTGCAGAGCCTTGTGGTGGGACAGACCCCGGAGCTGATTTACATCTCCCTGCTCAGGGTTCACTGACTGGAGAGAGAGGCGTGAGCTGAGCACTGGCTGAGTCCTGACCAGTTTAGCTGTGAAGGTCTAGGGTTGCACATAATCTCCTTCCCATCCCCCTGAGGCATCTCTTCAGGTTCAGATACCTTGCAAATAAAGCCCAGATTAGTCATGCAGCTTGCTTATTTCCACATCGAATCAGTGACGAAGCAGAGAAATTCAATACTGCTATTTTTGTGTGTACAATACAAGAGGTATGCAAATAGAATTTTGAGTAATCAAGACTGCAAATGGTAAATCACTTCTCACAGGTTAATAAATTCTTATCTCAGGTGGCAAAAAGGAGGTCTCCCCCAAGTCTTTGCTACTAACAGATGATACCCTGAAAACTAGGAAATAATGAGATGACTAGAAATTCATAGCACACAATTGTTGGTTTTTTTTTTTATCAAGAATTAAAAAGGAAAATTGAAAGAAATGAATCCAAGGGTAGACCTGGCCATCTGTGCAACCCAGAGGAAACACAAGGGAAGGAAAAGCTTCCTTACGGTGATGATTCTTTGGATTAGGGCGTAATTGAGGCACCAGGGCCTTCACGCTGAGCTACGTTCCCAACCTTTATTTTTTGTTTTGAGACAAGGTCTTGATAAGTCATTAAATTACCAAGACCCAGCTTAAATTTGAGAGCCTCCTACCTCAGCTTCCCGGAGTGCTAGGATTACAGGCATGTGCCGTCCTGCCTGTCAAGGTGATTCTTGAAGAAAATTGATGAAGGCGGGGACAAATTAGCATTGCTGTGGAAAAGAGCACATATAGTGAATAAATAGATGACAAGGTAGAAAAAGATATATCTTAGGACATTTTTGCCAGGCAAGCTTTCAAAATGCTCATCAGTGTGTATGAAACTGCATGGTTTGTTTTTAGCTACCAGTTTATTTCACTCAGTTGCTCTATAAATCCTCTGTTGGAGAAAATCTCCGAACCTTAGGAAGTGTACACATCCATTTGAAGTTTGTCATTTGGGCCAAATTGTGCTTTGTGAGGCTTTAACAAGTTGTTAACAAAATCTTACATAGAAAGCATTATAATTTATCATAATCACAATAAAGTATTAAGACCAATGCTTTTGTAGAGCACAATATAAATCTTTATCCCTCTAGAAGGTTCAATATACTCTTTTCTTAATCTTGACAAAGTTAAACAATAGCAGAAGGCAAATATATCCTTGTATTAACTATCTTTTCCCTCCAAATTGAAAATATCTAATACGTAATTACTAGAATACTTTCATTTGTTTGTCTGGGTAAGATTTTGCTTTTACCTTGACCAGCAACCTTATTTCAATGTAAAAGGAATTCCTCGTATTTTCTTCCAACTATACCTGAAGTACGTGTTCCTTAACTCAATATTATTTAAATACCTTGACGGTGAGAGTCATTTTAGGATTTTCTCTGCGGAGCAGAAAAGTGTTTCCAGGTTACCCACACAGAAGTTTATTACTTGACTCAAACTATTTTTAATAGAAGTGTAGTTAAAGAATGAATAGCATGTATGTTTAAAGAAAAGCCAGAATACTTTATCACCTAACCACTTGAGAGAGCAAGTGTTCAGTTAAAAATGTGTGGTATGTTTTGTTGCCCCCTCCAGTATGTAAAGTTCTTTTTTGTTTTGTTGTTTTGCTTTTTCTGTTTGGATAGAGCCCACAGCAATGTATGCATTGCTTAATCATATGCAGTACAACTTTAAATGCCGGCCCCCTTCAATGTTTAGCGCACGCACACGCACACACTCACCTCCCTCCTGGGGCCTGCAGCACACTGAACTGTGAGCCCTTTGGCTCTGCGGTGCCTGGGAATACTGTACCTGTGTATGCGCCGATCGGCTGCTTGGAAACCAGTGCCACCCGATCACGTGAGCGTGGCTATGAGCGTGGAGGTGAATTTTGCTTTTCTTTCTTCCTTCTTCTGCCCTGGTTTTGTTCCTTTTACCTGATGGAAATGTTGCAACTCCTCAGGTCTTTGCAGGTCTGGGGATGAAGTCTCTGAATGGCTGGCTCTTCCCTGGTGGTTTATCTGTGGGTTTATTGTAGGCTGCCACACTTCCGACCGAGGCTGCAGCTCTGGACTTTGCAGTGGAGCAGGGACCTTTGAGACCCACGGTGGAGCCAGCGGAGCCGCGGCCTGCAGAAGTCCTTCATGTCTGCCAGACTCAGGTGGCCAAGCTGGAGCTGTGGCTGCAACAAGCCAGCGTGGCATTTGAGCCAGAAACGTTAAACACAGACATGCAGCAGGTGGTGGAGCAGGAGCTGGTTGGGTGCCAGGTAAGCCTGCCAGGCCAGGGTGCCCAGCCTCCTCACCAATCCCCTGCTGAGGTGAGGCAACTTTTTCTTAAAGCAACAAGGTGTCTCTTTCTGGTGCTCTGACACAGACATTTATTTTGGCCTCGACTTGTAGTTCTCAGGGTAATTCTTTGAAATTCTTTCAGTAAGGGCACATTTGGGAGGACGGCAGCAGATAATGTCTCTGTCTCTGGGGTCCAGATCCAGTGCTGTCACATTAACCTTGGACTCGGAAAAGTTAACTTCTCAGCTTTATTTTCCTTGTGTGGTATAGTCAGTCAGCTCATGGTTTGCAAGATTAAGTGAGATAAATATATAAAGCAGTGTCTACTATATAAAGCATTTGGAAACTGCTCCATGAATGCTGTTATCTTTAGTAATAGTCATAAGTTCTGTGAAGATTCATTTATCAGAAGTGCAGCTGGGCGCCCTGATTTGTAAAAGTGCACTTTATAGTAGCAGCGGGCTTTGCCACCACCAATTTACCAGGAGTGCTCCTGATCTTGCTTGGAAGGAGCAAGGTCACGGCTTCTTTGGCTTTCTTCTTTGGCTTTAGATGCTGAGTAAAACTCCCAGACTCAGCCCAAAGGTTGAACTCTCTGGCTCCCTCAGGAGGGGGCTGGAATGACGACACTGGAGCAGCATAATTGCAAGTCACAGTTGCAAGGTCTGTCCCCCAGCTGGGCCCCCGGCTGACACCTCAGCATCCCTGACTTGTTTCTGTGCCGGCTTCCTCTGGGCTCAGAGTGCCACATCCCTGCTGGGCCTGGAGGAGGTCTTTCTGCAGTTCCCTGTCCTCAGGTAGCCAGGGTGGCTGTCCTCCCTGCAGGGGCGTGCTTCCTCCTCTGGGCTCCTCTGGGCCATTTACAACATCCAGAGCTGCCTGCAGAGCTGTGGGGCAGGCGGATGGGCCAACTTCCTCCTCAGGCGGGGCACCTCTACCCCCTCCCCCATCACATGGCAATCCAGATGGTCCACTCTAGTAGTTTGCTCAGAATCCGACACTGCTCTTTGGCCTGACTGATAAGGCGCAAGGAGGACTTTTGAAAAGGGTGAGTGCGCACAATATGGGGCGCATTCCAGGCTTTGAGTCTTAGCTACTTACCCTGTCCATTGTGAACCTGCCACCCTGCCGTCTGCTGACCAAGTGGGCCCCCTGCCAGTTCTGGGGTCATCCCTGGACTCCCACCCTCATCACACTTCTAGTATGAGGATTACTCTTTCAGTGTCAGGATTTCAGAGCTATGCAGAGGCGCAGCCACCAGAGGCAGGGGTGCCCAGTGGGCTTTATGTGGGTAGCACTTTGCCAGGGTCACGGTTAGGAGGGAGAGAGTCCCTCTGAGCAGCAGGCCCTGCCTCAAGAGGCTGAGGCGGAGGGTGGAGGTGGGAGTGGGCTGCTGCCCAGAGTGGGAAGGGAAGGGAACTTATATGTCTGGGTGGTGTCCCTGACCCTGTGTCTACGAGTTCCACAGGAAAGCAGTCAAAGCCATAAAATACATTTTAAAGATTGAGTTTAGTGGTAGCAGAACTAATGGTTCTGACCTGCTAGGAAGAATAAACATAGCAGCCAGTGTTTAGAAAGATCGGTTGTCAGCATATGAAATGCCCATTGTCTTTACCCGAATAATACTATTACATTAGATCTACCCTCTGAAATTAATTTAAAATGAGAAAAACAGGGCCAAGGGTTTAGCTGAGTGGCACAGTACTTAACTGGCATGTGTGAGTTTCTGAGTTAAATTCCCAGTACCAAAAAAATTGAGAAAAGTAATTATTGCATTATTGGTTCCAAAACCGAAGACTTAGAAGCAGCTTACCACATTCCTACCTGCTTTGACCACCAAGCATGCCTGGTGGTACCAGCATGGCTGTCCCATGGGGTGATATGGGACGGTCCCATCAAGGGTACAAGCCGCCCAGGGGACAATCGTGCCCATGGGGTCCCGCTGTAACCATGTTAAAATGGTACCAAGAGGGAAATTGTTAAATCCCAGAACATCAACCTGCTACCATTAAAATGGGAATCATGAAGCATGGTGCGTACACATATAAAAAAGTATACATAAAATAACTGAGTGTTGGGAGCCAGGGATTTAGCTCAGCGGCACAGTGTCTGCCTGGCAAGCGTGAGGTTGTGAGTTTGATCTCTGGTAGCCAAAAGAAAAGATAGAAAGAAGCAAGCAAAGTGTGGAAAAGAAAGTACACTTTGTTTAAAACCACTCTTAAATGCATGAGTACATATTGTTTAAGTTCAGAAGAATCTGTAGAGGATGTAAGTAGCCTCCTTGGATGAAAGAGTTATATATTATTTGAGAATGTGTTTTAAGGATAGAAATTTTCTGTAAGGGTCCCTCAAGGACCTGACTTTGTTCTTAGTCACACAATGAGTTTTAGTGCCAGCGATCACCAGAGCTGAAATGTGAGCATGGTTCTGCTGCCAACCGTGTGCCCAGCCTGTTGGCATGACCATGCGGGCTCCTGAGCCCCAGGAAAGGGCAAATGAGACCCATCGAGGAGGAACGCCATGACCATGACTTAGTGGGAAACATACTTCAGCCTGCTGACTTTTAAAAGGCTGAATAAGTTGGCTGTTGTATCAATGACTTTTACTTTCCAAATTACTTCTTCTGGGATGTTTTGACAGAGGTTTTCTTGGTGTGGCTTGAGGAAGGGAAGAAAAAGAACAAGGAGAATTTTTAAATAGTTGTGTGGAATTCTTTTTTCTTTCTTTCTTAAAATTCCTTTTTGACGCTCAGATCATAAGAATAGTCAACATTCTTTGCTTAGTTTTCGTACTGAGAATGAGCTCAGGACCTTGTGCTTACCAGGCAGGTGCTTGTGTATCCCTAGCCCTGCTTAATGCCTTTTAAGCACACAACTATATATAATTCTAACTGTTTAAATCTGGACTGTGTGAATTTAGGCTGAAATACCTGAATTTGACTCATTAACGCCTCACGATAACCCTAGATGGTAATGGTAAATTCTGTTGTTAGAGATTTCCATTTTACAGATTACCAGAGGCAGGCACATATAAAGCGAGATGCCTAAGTGTCCACAGGCAGTAAGAGTTGGGATCCACACTCAGTCCAGTTCCAACATCTGCGTTCCTATCCATTGTGTTCTACTGGATACCTGCAGCAGTGTTTTCTAAAGTTACTATTGAATCACTTACTTTAGATTTGAGATTTATTCCACAGAGTGACATCTGTAATCTGATTTGGTTTGGTTGTATCCCTGCTGAAAAGTTGCGGGGATTATGTGATAGTTTTTGGTTTTCCAGAGCCCCTTCTCTCCTGTGTTTCTGGGAGGTAAAGAGAGTAAGTCTCACTTACTTTGGGGACACCACTTGTTCAAGAACAACACTGTAGACTGGGGCTGTCGCTCAGGTGGACCATATACCGTTATGAGCAAGGCTCTTTGGGCTCAATCACCAGCACCTAATTTTTTTTTTTTTTTAATTTTTAAAAATGACCTTCACTGTGACTGACCGCGTGGCCTTATTTCCTAGGCTATGCTGACAGAGATTGAGCAGAAGGTTGCCTCTCTGTTAGAGACTTGCAAAGATCAGTGCCTGGGAGATAGTGGAACAATTCAACATGAAGCTGAAGTTCTTTCCCTGAAACTCAGAACTGTGAAGTGCAATTTGGAAAAAGTCCAGATGATGCTTCAGGAGAAGTACAGCGAGGACCAGGTAAAATATGGCCATGAGTAGCCAGCCATATGTGCCAGTGTACTCTAGCCAGCCAGAGGGGACTCCGGGTGGACTGGCTGAACCCACCGGGGAGAAGCAGTACTAAGCAACAATGGTGTGGCTTTAAACTGCAAGAGATGAGCATGCTGGCTTTGCTGAGTTTTATTTTCTTTTAACATCTAGCTTGCTTATCTAAGTTGTTGGTAGTTTGATTTGGGTTGATTTAATGCATTGAGTACTCTTACTGATAATGCAGACTTGTTTGAGGCTTCTTCATAACAAAAGGATGTATGTTAAAGGAACTTTGTAAATCCAATTGACTACAAAATGAAGCCTTTTTATATAAGATTAAAATTTGACATCAGAAAAATAAAACCTGTTGGTAGGGCACTTTTGTTACTTGTTTACAAATATTTATGGATGCTGATCAGAGTGTGATACAATGAAAGTATTCTCATGATTTTTGAAAGCAAATATGAATGAGCATGGTGGTGCAAGCCTATAATTCCAGTACTTGGAAGGCTGAGACAGGAGTTCAAGGCTAGCCTGGGCTACATAGTGAGACCCTGTCTCATACATACATACATACATACATAAATGGAAATGTGCAGTTTTTTTTTTTTTGTGCCAGGGATCAAACTCATGATCTTGTGCTTGCCAGACAGGCACTTGTGCCACTGAGCTTTATCTGGAAATATGCATTGTATGAGTAAAATATGCATAGGATTTATCTCCAAGCTTAGGAAGTTGTTCCCACTTAGGGACTTACATTCATAGGAATAAGACTGGCTGCAGATACATAAGTCATCTGGTTTTCCCTTTCATCCTACTGTTCTCTGTTTTGTGGGGGGGTTTTGGAAATTTTTTTAAACATTAGGCAAATTTGAGTTTAAAATCATAATACTTGTTTCCCTTTTAGATTTTTTTTTTTTTACTTTGTTGTAATTTTCTTGGCTTTTCATAATTCATTGGATGAATGAGGTTGAGAAAATAAAGTGATCATCTCATCAAATATAATGATTTTGAAGCTATTCTAAGTATATTACATCACAGTACATTATTATGCACTTCCTATAGTGCATAACAAAGTACTGTCACTTACTTTATATAAAACTTTTCCCACTGCTAGAGGTGAAATAAGATAGTTCTTTTTATGTAGTCTGCCATCTTGAATTTTTTTTTTTTTTTTTTTTTTTTACAGTTTCCGACCATTCTAAAAAAACCTTCAGAACATCTCAAATTTCTGCGGCCTGTTCACCTTTCAGAACTGGAGTTTATTGTAACTGAAAGGCCACAGTTTAGCAGATTAAAAGATGTCCCACAGCCACAGGTAATTTTGGCCACCAACAGTTGTAAGAAAGAATAAGACCTTTTGCCTTTGGAGTTTGCACACTGGGTGTGACGGGGTGGAGAGGGGGGTGTAGGCAGCAGTGCTGAGTTGTTTTTTTTTTTTTTTTTTAAATTTTATTTTGAAGGTAGTAAAAATGCAACAGCACAAGACAGAACAAAGCCAATCAAGATAATGCAATGAAATTGGTACAGGATTTCACAACAGGATACTGGGATAGTAGTAATATGTCCTATGGTATATCTCTTCAACTTCACAATAGTTGTCCAGTCAATTAGGTATAGCAAAATCAAACCAAAAATAGAACATTATAAAAACCAGTTGAGAATAATGAATAGAGCAAAAGAAACATAACAAAACAAAACAGTGAAAACAACCTTTGCCTTCAAACAGAAAATAGAAGGAAATCCCCCATATTTGCTATACTGCCTATGGTCATCCTCCCAAGAGATGCTGAGACATCTGTCCCCAGTAGCTATGGAGATGGATGGGGGGGAGGGTGCTTGATTTTCAGCCCACGTGGCAGCAGGCTCACAGGTAATGGTTCTCCTCTAGGCCCACGACACAGGCACTCACCAAGAGGGCGGGTAAATAAGCTGCCTCAGCAGTGCTGAGTTTTAAGCCTTGGCAGTGATGCTTCCGTCTGCTGCCTCTGGGTCAGGAACTTTGAGTTACATCCTGAATCAAACTAAGCAAATACCAGGGAGACCTTAGCGCTCTGGCTACAACACTACTATGCTTATTGTCTCAAAATGTTAGTATATTTTTATTGATTTTTTTTAAAAACACATGTCTGATTTAGTTTAATACTTGACTATTCTTTGAGTATTTTAAGTGGGCTTTTGAGGAATAAAAGTGAGTAAGAATCAGCAATCAAGAAAGAGAAATAGTAAACAATGATTTAGGAAGTGGTTCCAAATCAGATTATTTCAGCAGAAGAAATCTTTATTAATTGAAAAACTGGATTAATCCAACCATTTGAATCTTACTTCATTATAGGTTCTAGAGTTAAAGCCAATGGAACAGAGAGATTTAATCAAATTCATAGAATTTAATGCTAAGAAAACATGGCCACAGGATTGCCAACAGGATGGAAGTACCACTCAGGAATCATCTACAAGGTAACACCTTGTCAAAATAGCCAGGCATTCGGTGGATTGAAGTTTGGGAGAGTGAAGTTTCTTAAAGCTGTTTGCAAGACATCATCTAGATGTAATTTTTAAAACTGTGTTTATAGTCCTCTTGACTACTTTTCCTTCCTCAAAAGGGGCAAAGCATCCGACTCTGAGAACGAAGCCCCAGACTCCACCTCCGCCTCGCAGGGCCAGCGCAGCAGTGACAAATGGCAGTATCTTCTTCACAAGCTGGCATCGAGGAGGCGGCTGCCACCGCCTCAGGTCGTGGAGCCCCAGGTCAGTGTGTGGCACATGGAGTGCACTGTTGGTGTGTGGGTCCAGGAAGTGTGCACTGAATGCACACACACGTCCCACACGGTGTAGCACTTTGTGTTCAGAAAGCAAAGTGCTGGGTGTGCTCTGCACTTGGCCCACGCTTTGTCCTCACCCTGGGAATCTGCATTAGGTGCCCCTCTGCACTCCCACGGCGCTCTCAGTGTCCTGATCGTAGCTCTTGCAGTGCTACCCACTGGTTTATTTGTCTGTCTTCCCTAGTAGAGGGTCTGAGAAGAAAGACCACAGCCGCCTGTCCTGTGATCTTGTATAGCACAGCACCGGGGATCAGGGTCTCAGTGACTGTAGAATGACTAAAAGAGTAACTAATACATGTTCATGTTTAAGGCACTTTGAAAACTACATGGTGCCGCATGAGTCAGTGAAAGGTTCTTTGGACCCTGCCCCTGCAAGCCTGTATGTCAGTGGCACCTGTCATCACCGTTCCTTCCTGTGCACATTACCAGGCCATTGAGGGCCTCCCAGGTGCCTTGCTTTACTGGCTGCTGCTGCCTTTTTCTCCAGAAGAAGCAGAAGAGCAGAATGACCCTGTGTCCACAGCACTCAGGCTTCTGCATGCAACCAGGTCGCCGCCTGCCTGGGCAGAGGCCACCCTTGAGTTCCCATTTCCCCAGCTGGGGGGAATTGCTCTCCTGCAGCAACCTTAATTCACCAACTGAAGTTGAATCAAGCTCCTTGGCAGGGCCATGGTCTTGGTTTCTCCTTCTAGATATGCACTATAAAAGTCGTATTCAGCTGTCTTTGAAAGAATCTAATGCCATCTAGTAGTTCTTTGCCCAAGCAATTTCATCTGTCATTTCTTTCTTTTAGTATGTTAATTTTCCAGTTAGAGAAAGATGTTAATTCCAGATCATTCTCTTCTGAAATCACAGCTCTTTTTAACTGCTTATTTGGCTTTTCAGTACCAAATCAGGATGCGTATCTATCCCTCCTTGCAACTTGCTTGTGATTCTAAGAATATTCTGACCCAAGAGCCAAGAGGACCTAGTAAATACAGAGTAAATAGGCAAATAAATGGATGAATAGACAGATAACCTTGTAACATAAATACCTCTGCTATTAAATTGAATGATTAGTGACTTTATTCCTCAAATTATGATTTGTTTCCCCCGATTCCCCTATCTAAATGGACCTTCAGTTATCTAAATATAGCCTGTCATGACTTCTCAAAGTCGCCAGAAGTATTTAGTCTTTTTCTTATCAATGACAAGACAAGCAAGAATGCTTACCAAGAAGGCAATTCAGAAGACTGGACACAAAAACATTTTGCTATTTACATTAATATCAGCATCTGCTGTTGCTAATGAGTGCTCCCTTGTCTATGTAGATTACCACAGGAGTAGGTGTTCTACCCAGTGTACGTGTGTGTAGCTTCAAATACCCTACGATTGAAGAGCTGAAAACCTATACTACCCTACTGGAAGACCTGCGCCAGGAAGCTAATGACCTTCAGACACAGGTACAAACTGTTATGCATTTTCCTCGTAGCAATAACATAAAAAAAAAAATAGAATATCTTAACTGCAAGTTGATCATAATTTTATTTACTGAGCAAACAGTGGAGCACATAATGGAATAGATCCTAAAATTGCAAAGAGTTTACCTTGCTTACCAAGTCTGTTCCGTTTTGTAGTGGCTGCCTAGAGTAAAGGATTCTAAACATGAATCCAGAATTAGCAGGAAAGCGGACAGGGGTTGATGGACACTGTGCAGTGGTGATGTGGGCCTAGAAGGGTGAGGAAGGAGGAGAAGGAAGGATACAGGCCAGGTTTCCAACCTTGAGTAGATTTAATAGAAGTGGTGTGATCGGTAGGTTAGGGATCCATCAGAGAACACAAGAGGAAGCAGCCCAAGGAGGAGTGATTAATTGCGAGCCTCAGCATCTCCTAGACTGGTAGTCAGGGATTCAAGGCGACCAGGGATAAAAGAGAAGTGGCTCCATGTGCTTAGGCTGAAGCAGATCTGTGGCTCCCCAACCCACTGGGGTACCATTGTATAGCCCCAGGGGCTCCTTCACTGATGTGCATTGTTCCCCTGCTCCACTGCCTATCTACGTGTGCGTGTGTGTGTGTGTGTGTGTGTGTGTGTGTGTGTGTGTGTTTATTTTCCCCAGCTCTGGGTATCAAACCCAGGGCCTTGCTTGTTGAGGGAGTGCTGTATCACTGAGTGACACCAGCATGCATCCAGTGCCACCTTTCAGATACATACTTCCTCCTCCTAATCAGCCTGTTCCAGTTCGTCTTTTGTGACTTCTTTTCCTTCTCCCAGCTACTCTTCTCTTCACTGACCTGCTTTCCCCTGCATTAAACACGGGGGGCAGGGAGCGGTGGGAAGAGAGACGGTGTGGTTTATGTGGAGCCGCTAGCCCCTGGGTGGACCTGCTAAGGAAGGCTTCTTCTTAGGGTTGGCACTGTAACTCATTCAGGAGTCCACGCACCACTAAGATCGCGTTTCTTAAACTTGCTTTTCTCAGAGCTAAAACTTCTGGGTTTGTTTCTTCTGTGACCTACCTGAGGTTCCCTGATTAGTCGAGGCACTGATTAGTCCAGGTTTTAGAGCTCATTTGATTGAAACAGCTTATTATTAAGATAAAATATAGCTTAAATTTCAATGGAAATCAGAAAAAATGTACTTTTAGAAAGGCAAGGAGAAAGCCAGTGGTCTGAGTAGCTCTTAGAGGATAAAAATATGCATTATAGTAACTATTGTGGATTTCCTACTGTCTTGTCACTTTTTTTAATCACTGTTTTGTTTTGTTTTATTCCCTTTAAAATAAAAAAAGAAGGTAATGAATCCTAATTTTTTTCATGATTCAGGAAAATGTGACAGCAGAGCCATATGTCAGTTTGGACAAGAAGTTATTTGACCTCTGCTTGACGCTCAGTCAGTGCCTGGGGAGTGTGGAGGAGCTGCTGCAGACCCCAGGGCTGCTGCGGGAGGACACGCACAGCCAGCAGGCACACTGCGAGGTAGGCCCTGCCCTCTGGCTGCCTGCCCGGCCCCAGCCCAAGCTGTGAGGGATCCACTCTCATTCTCTGTCTTTCCTCCCGCCCACATTGCAGGAGCTGGCTCTTGAGCTGAAGAAACTGTATTTGGCTCTGGGTGACAAGAAGGACGATCTTTTGAAAGCTGTGACGTGGCCTGGCAAGAATGCTAGTTTGTTCCTTGACTGTTTCAATGACCTCCAACTCTACCTGGAGCATGTACAGGCAAAGGCTGCCTGGAGGAGCAAGTCCCTGAAAGCTGGCCTCGACTACACCCACAGCTATCAGGTATGGTGTGGGTACAGGGCAGCCTTTCTGCAGCAAGGGGCCCAGGTTTCTATTTGCTCCTCCCGGCATGAGTAGGAATTACTGAGGAAGATAGTGAGACTCCTGTGCTTGTGTTTAAAACGTTTGAAAGTGAGGCCTTTTCCAAAGTCTATGTATGAATTTATTATTTGGGTTTCCTCTATTTTGTATATGTTTGAAATTTCCAGTATCAGAAAAATTGCAGAAACTCAACTAAATCTAAGAAGGATCATGAAGCACTAAATAAGATTGCTCAGTTTCCTGCATTTCTGTTTTCTACACAGAATGAAATAAAACGATTGTATGATCACCTCATCAAGAGTAAGACAGCCCTTCAGCAGTCTTTGAATGAGATCAGTGGCCAGAGTATTGGTGACCAGCTCCAGGTAATCAATCACAGTAATTCATATCAGTGTCACCTTGAATCTCAGAGTCCCAGGCATCCACTGTGCACCCACTGGGCATCTGAACCTCTTCCCTTTGAGAGCAGGGTCGAGGCTTGAGTACGTCAACAGAATGGGAAAGATTGGTACTGAGTTTTAAAGATATCTCTCAGACACATGCATTAAAACAGGAAGAGACCATCTTCACTGTCAGCCTGGCAGGAAGTGGGTCCAGGCTGCTCAGGGTGTTGGAAAGAGGCTTCACCTGCTCGGTGGAGCATTGGTTGTTCCAGCTTCTGGGGATCACTTGCCTGTGTGTCAGAATCCTAAACACACTTCTGCTTTGAAGCCAATGGATTCCATTTATTGACCAAATAGTAACTGAGAACCTACACATGCAGCAACCATTCTGGGAGCTAAATTCACACTGCTCCTAGGGATATAAAGTGAGTGCATAAAAATAAACATACACATTCAAGGAAGGGACCTCTCAGTACTGTGAGTAGTCTGAAAGTTCATTAACAGCTGCCATTTCCTAAAGCAGGAAAAAATCCTTGCAACATCAGGCTCACTGTTTATGTGTTTGCAAGACACCAGGTGTTTGGATGCTGATGTGAAGAGATGCTGAGGTGCAGGTCAGTGGACGTGAGGCCATGTGGATTTCCTCCACTGATACTGCGTGTGAGGAGAGTGTTAGGCACATTGGAGCTCAGGTTCCTCAGGAGATGGACAAGGAGACTGGAGGTGAAGGAGAGGCACACAGGACATTCTTTGTTCCCTTAATTTCTTTTTTCTTTAACAAAAAAATGTATACTTCTCTGACTTACCAAAGGCTTTCCTGTTTTGTGTTGTCTCTCACTTAGAAAGCAGATGCATACACAGCAGAGCTGCAAAAGTCTGAGAATCGAGTGGCCAAACTCAGAGACGAAGGGGAGAGGCTTGGTTTCCCTTCCACAGTCCTGCAGGAGGTGCACAAGTTAGAGGTAGGGCTGAGCAGAGCCCGCTCCCAGCACTGTTGCCGTGAGGGTGGCGGCTGTGTTCTTCAAGAGGGCTTAGGTGGGTTCTGCACTAGAATTCTCTTCTTGGTGGGATGAAAATGGGTGTGTCCATCTTTTCCTTTCAGGACATACTTGACAGCATGTGGGGCATCCTCAGAGCTCGGTACTTGGAACTCAGCAGCCCTTTCAACTCTGAGAGCCAGCTGGATGCTTTGCTGCAGGGCCTGGGGGAGCTTGTCAGTATCGGACAGGAAAAGCTTGTACAGGGCCACTTACAACAAGCCAAAAGTAAAGCTGCTTTACAGGCCCAACTACAAAGTCACAAGGTAAGATTGACCCATCAGATTCTCTCTTTCAGGTCCTAAAAACTCAAGATTTCTCTGAGTTTAATGGAAACTGTTGATTTTTTTCCCCTGGTGAAACACAGACCATTTTCTGTTGTATAAATATGGATTAGTATGTAGCAGGAACCTTGGCAAGCCTAAGAGTATGATTGTGAGGGAGAACAGACCAGTTCCTTATATTCGTGGAACTTCGAGCTGAGTGAGAAAACGAACATTTATCAATGACCTTCACACAGAGGTACAGCTAAAATTCAGATTCATTCTGAGAGCGTTTAATAGGAGAAATTGACATAGTATTGGAAAGGTCTTCTGAGAACTGGAATCATAAGGAGAATGTACTATTCTGTAGTAGCATGCCACAGTAAATCCTTTCATTTTCCAATCGTTTCATTAAACCCTCTTGATCACCAGTTAAAGATATGTAGTGACCTAAGTGCTAATAAAAAAACATAAGACATAGTCTCTACCTTGTGAAAGTTCATAGTCTAGGTAGTAGACCTCAGTGTAAGAAAATTAAAAGGTGAATATTGACTATGAAGTACAAAAGAGGAGGAGAAAATAATATTGATCATCTTACTGTGTACCCAGCCCTTTGATGAATTCTTTTACAAATCCTTTTGTGTATTTATCCTTGTGAAAGAGTAGAAGATATTTCTGTGAAAAGGAAAGGTCTCCAAACAACCACAAGAGGGACCAAGCTGCAGAGGCGAGGAACTGTGTGAATGGAGACTCCCTTGTAAATGTTCAAAGTACAAATATAATCACGTTTATGGACCAGGATCCCTGTTGGCCCCAATTAGCAAATTCCTTCTGCTTAGCTACTTCTGTCAGGCAGAGTCATGAGAGTGAGGGTTTAGGTGTTACGTGTGCTGGATATGTGGACTGCTTTGGTTTGCACAGCTGGAGATGTACTCTCTCCAAATTAATCAGCACTTCTAGTAATGCATTAAAACTCAAAGCAACTGGGTTAGAAAGATCTATCAGGACACTAAAATGGGCTCACAATAATGTTTGCTGCCTAAAAGATTATTTTGTAGGAAACATTACTTAAGGATGATATTTCTTTATAATTTGTTAAAAGTCTGTCCATTTTTAGAAACTTAGAAATCCATGTCAGTTTTCCTTTTATTTTCTTATACACTTGACTCTGTGCTGGTACTCTGGGATTTTAGAGTATAAAACAGAAACAACTGGATAAAAAGTTAAAGTGATTTGGTTGTAACAATTTTAACCATTTAAAAATAATACTAAAACTTCTTCACTATTACAGGTATTTTTCCAGAAGCTTGTTGCCGACATGCTGTTGATCCAAACGTACTCTGCCAAGATGTTTCCTTCTTTATTACAAAAGAGAGAGGCATTTTGGGCAGAACAAGTATCAGAAATCAAGTCCCTAGAAGACAAGGCACAGCAGTGTGGCGTGAAGCTGCAGAGTTTGCTGCAGGTACGTGGCTTATGTGAATTCTGTCCTTAGCTGCCATTCCTAACACCTCCAAGCGTCAAAAGCAAGTGTCATTTGCTAAGCTATGCTGGAGTTAAGCGGGGACATGACAGCCTCTGCTCTGTCCCTGTAAGGACAGTTACCTGGGATTTCTCATGCACAGATCTGAGCGTTGAGGCCCTTTACCCCATTTAGTTTCGTGTAAGAATTAACAGGACTGAAGACACACTGCAGCCATGAATGAGGTCATTTGGCTTAAACAGTTCCTGGTTCACAGAGTGGACTCTAGTCCCAGATATTCATTGGTTGAAATGGATCGTGACATTCTTGTCTCAGGTCAAAGAAAAATAAAGCATGCATAAAGTTCCTTTTCAGTTTTAAGGCTTCCACTTCTACTTAGTAAGCCTTTCGTGATCAGTGTTAGGACATAAAGGAAATTTAAAGAAAGAAATAATGTGTTCAACTTGGAAATTTCAGAAGGAGTTATTTATGCTAACACCATTTATTTTCTAGTCAGGGTGACCAGTTGACATTTAAAATAATATTTTGTGGTACTTAAAAAATCTTCACAGGTCCTATAAAAGCCAGGCGATCCACCGCTTGAATAGATACAAAAATTAGTGAATATGTTGTTTTTCGTAGGATAAGTTCCAGTGTCAATAACTCAGCTTTGTGGGGTACTGGGACTCAAACATGTGGGCTTCTCTGGAGATGGGAGGAGCCAGACAACACCAGGGGAGGGGGAGACAGAGGTTCTCCTGGTGTGCCCCTCCAGGTACAGGGTGGAATGGGGTCAGGTAGGCCTGGGATCGCAGTGGAGTGGGAGCAGCCTGATAGGAGATTGTGTGAAGAATATTTTAAAAGTAAGCTCTGGGCTTTCCAAGTAGGAGAAGGGCTGTCTTGTGACAGCCAGGTCTCCGCAGGTGCTTTATCACATTAACTTCCTGTGTGTCCTTTACCCAGTTTGACTGTACAAGCATAAAACATGGCTAGCAACTGGGTTTCTTTCAGACCTCATCCTCACAAGCAGTGGAATCATTTTCCATTAGACACCGAGCTCTCACCAGAGTGAGGAATATGGCTCAGGTCTACCTAAACTCTGTGTCTTAATTTTATGGGGTTATGAACCCATTTTTGTTTGGATGGTTCACTGGGATTGCCTGAAACCAAACTAAAAAGGACTCCCGCTGTGCCGTGTCCTTGATTCTTTAGAAATGGGAAGAATTTGATGAAAATTACGCATCCCTTGAAAAGGACCTGGAAATTCTTGTCTCTACATTCCCTTCTGTGAATTTGGTGGAAGAAACCGAGGAAAGACTGATGGAGAGGATTTCGTTGTACCAGGTACTTTGCTTCCTGACTTGAGTCATCAAAGCCATGTCCATGGCTCTTTGCATTTTGTTTTGACCAAGTTGCTGGGTTGTAAAGCTGAATGACGTGAATTGGAATGAAATACTGTATTATATGCATTGGAACCCTTCCAAAAGTGTGAAACTAGAATGGAGGGTGAGGGGGTTAGACATGGTCAAAGTATCTTAGTTGCATGTACGAATCAGCCACAATGCAACCCATTAATCTATGTAACCAACTTTTAAAAAGAAAAAAAAAATGAAATGTTTATCTCACTATTCACTGGTGGATGAATTCAGGGAGATTACAGATTTGCATAGCCACACTTGGGTTGAAGACCTCAGTTTGGCCCTGTCTCCTTACTTACCACTTCTGTGACCTTCCTGTCTCCTTGGCTCCATTTCTTTATGGGTGTAGTGTAGATAATCAGGTCCAGTCTGCCTTCCTCCAGGGTGGACTTCAGTGCACCACTAATATGGCAACAAACTGCAGATGGAAAGAACTTTGTAAACCACTAGCCCTCCGAACATCTACCAACTTCCATTGCTTTACTGGCATCCTGAGTGGACATGGCCTGTGAAATGGACAGAATCTGTTACCTGCCCCCAGCATTATCAAAGACTGTAAATTCTGAAACTTCTCGTGTATCCCTTTAAATCTTATTACCAAAGCTTTTGTGTCTCTATTGTCAGTGCCAGAGAAGTAAGACCTCAACATAGTTTTCAAGGGACATTGAGAACATGCCAAAGCAAAAACAAGTTTTAAATCTTCTCAACAGAAATGTAAAGTTGATAGTCTTCATTTTAGAATGTTAATTGTATAGTCAGAATCTAGGTTGTAGGCTCAAGGTATTATTTTTTTAATTTTGATATAGTGAACCTGTCTGTGATCCTCCTGCCTCAGCCTCCCAAGTAGCTGGGATTACAGGCATGAATACCATACCTGGGCCCAACTCTCAGCTGTAAAATTTCAAAAACAGGTTTATTGCCTGGATAGACTGCATGGAAAAATGAAAGCCAGAAGCATATGGCAGGACCCTGGTATTCCTTGGGATAGGTCAGCCCCTATAAGAAACATTCCTTAGAGGCTAGGATGATGCTTTATACTCTATAGATGCCCCAAATGCTTCCAATGGGTAGATCTGAGTGTCCCGGGGTAGGGGTGGGGTGGGGAGATGTTGGTCTACGGATTCAGCATTAGTTGAAAACAGTACTTTAAGCCATGTTAAGAAACAACCTAATGTTAGTCCATCTACTAGGAACCTATTTCTCCCATGTCCCATAAAATATGAGTATGGCTCTATCAAATGTGAATCTTTTTTTAAAAAAATTATTTTTCTAAAGCTTTAAATAAATTTGCCACAATAATAAGAAGACACATCCACAAAGCCCTTCTCTCGAGGCCATTCTCTGTCCTTGGAGCCACGGAGTGGTTTTTGTGTGTGAACAACACTGCCGCCCTCCTCAGTGGACACCTGTGGCTTGGGTGTGTGCAGTCCATCCACCGTTTATAATAGGGAGGAGTCTAAAGATGAACTGGTTTAAAAAGCCTTAGTGTAAGTGCAAAGCTTAGAAGACCAGAACTTTCTTGTTTTAACTGATGCTAAACTTTTTTTTCTTTTTTCTTTTTGCTGGATATGGTGATGCACACCTAGAATTTGTAAAACTGTTTAAGTTCATTGGAGAACAGCAGAAATTCTGTTTTGTTACCAATTTATTTTTAAAGATCAAGGAGCTGTCAGGATAAGTGACATTAGCTGAACCCAGTTTGGAAGATACTTGCCATGAGATGAGTTCTTTTCAGGAGGTCATGTGTTTTCAGTTCTGAAGAGTTTCATTCTTTTCATAAAATGGATTTAATAATATGTTGTTTGTATTTATTTTTGTCTTTTTGAGACACAGTCTCACTACGCAGTTCAGGCTGGTCTTGAGCTCACCTTGTAGCCCAGACTGGTCTTGAATTTGCAGCGATCCTCCTGCTTCAGCTTCCCAAGTTGTGGGATTATAGGCATGCACCATTATACCTGACTTAATTTATTCTTTTAAAGTTGTCCTCCTTTCTCCCTACCAAATCCTTACATTCAGAAGACTCCAGAAGTGACCATTTTCCTTAGTATTTTCATGTCATAGATACTAGAAAAACATCTCCTGTTCATCCCCTGTTTATGTCCAGCTGCAGTATTCTGAGGCCCAGGACAGGAGTGAGGATGTCGGCTGGGTCTGCGGTTGGGGTAGGGGCTGAGGAGGGGTGACCTGGCACAAGCTCCCTGAAGCAGGCTGTGTTTGCGCCTGGGCTCAGCCACTGCCACACAGGAGTGCTCCATCTTCCAACCAGTTTTGCAGAAGCACTAGAAATCCTGATTTCTGTAGATCATGCAAATTGTATGTGACATGCTGATTTTCAAAATAATATGTCAAACAAAACTTGTCTGCAAACCAAGCAGAGTAACATATCTGTAGGTCCAGCTGCTTGGAGGACTGCGACAGGAGGGTCTCCTGAGAGCAGGTGTTGAAGGCCAGGCTGGGCAGTGCTGCAAGGTCTCATCTGAGAGAGAGAGAGACACAGAGGGGAGCCAGAGAGAGAGAGAGAGAAATGTCAAGACTGTCTGCAGTTGTTTTTAAATTTTACATGATCAAATTAATTGTGAGTTCTGAATTTGTAGATTTGAGCTGAGGCTACAGCTCAGTGGTAGAATGTTTGCCTAGCATGCACAAGGCCCTAGGTTCAATCTCCACATTGGGGAATAAGAGCAAACACAAAAAAAAAGCCAAAAAAAAAAAAAAAAAGTAAATCTGCAGATTTTTGGTTTCTTGTCCACATGCAGTAAATCTGTGGAGTTGGGTCTGTTCTATAGAGATGCACTGATCACACCCTGCCATGAAAGGCGATCAGTAACCCATGACCCACGTCTCTGCAGTCTTGGAAAAGGGGGAAAGGATCAGTAGTTCTTCAGTACACTGCTGTGTAAGTTTTTAAAGCAAGTACTTGTGAATAGATTGGCAGATTGTATTCTCTTTTAAACAACTCAACCCATGCCTTTTATTAGCAAATCAAAAGGAACATTGAAGGAAAGCATGCCCGGCTGTACCAAACCCTGAGTGAAGGCAGGCAGCTGGCAGCCTGTGTGAGCTGTCCGGAGCTGGAGGGCCAGATCGCCCGGCTGGAGGAGCAGGGACTGGCGCTGAGCAGGAAAACGGACCACGAGCTCCACAGACTGCAGACGCTGCTCAAGCATCTGCTCAGGTACATTGCCTGAAGGACGGACTGGCTTGCACTGTGCTGTGGAGAAAGATCTTAGAGGGATTCTGCAGTGATCTAAATTTTACATGTGGTCTCCCACTTCTCTTGTGTTCTCATCGACGGTCTAAAGCCATTGCATCCCATGTGTCCCATGTGTCAAATGGGATCCATTATGGATCCCGCTATTGGTTTGCTAGACCCAAGATAATATACAATAAGTTTGCTGAGAATAATTATGCGTTTCTATGGAAACTGGGAGTCATGCTGTAAAATAACTACACCAGGAGGCTGCAGTTTACTCTTTTCCTAAACAAAATTAAGTAAATCATTTTAAAAAGTGTTTTGAATTCTTCTGAGGATTTGTTTTGCTCACCTGGTGTAACCTTGAACCATTTGAGGGCAGTAGAAGACAGTGTCTAAGCCTTCTCATTTTGGAAGGCTGTCGCTGGACCTCAAGGAGTTATGAGAGGGCAGCGTTGTGTCTGGATACCTTTGTCAGATAAATATGTTGCCATCCAGCCAATAGCAGTTATGTGCTCTGTTTATATTGTTCTATAAACATGTTTATAGGGAACATTTGGAGAATAAAACATTATCCTTGTCCTTACTGATGGATTAGTATCCCTGTGGGTATGACTGTAAAAAAATAAAGCTTGGGTCCTTCAGATGCCTTTTTTCCTGATCAGCCATAATGGAGAGAGTCCCAGAAAACAAAGGGGTGTTAGTTTTGGCTATGGTATATGTGTACAGTACAGAATCCTTATAATGTTACAGTGCTGTGCATGATAAGGCTGCCTAACATGGGAAGTACATATCAGAGTAAGAAAGAAGATAAGCCAGTGCTGTCTGTCACCAGTGGACAGTTCTAATTTTCTTCTCTCCTGCTTTGCCCCTGTTAGTTATAACAGGGATTCGGATGAATTAACCAAGTGGTTGGAATCTTCTCAGCAAACTTTGAATTACTGGAAAGAGCAGTCCCTCAATGTGTCTCAGGACTTGGATACAATCAGAAGCAACATAAAGAAATTTTTTGTAAGTTGCATTGGGATCTGCTTAGATCAGTGTCGGTCGGCAGATCAGCTGCCAGTGCTGACCAACCCCTGTGCTGTCTGTGTGCATCTCCTGCTTGGAGTAGTGCTGGACAGGAGTCAAAATGCGTATGCACGCGTGTGTGTGTGCGTGTGTGTGTGTGTGTGTGTGTGTGTGTGTGTGTGTGTGTGCGTGCGTGCAGGGGCATTTGTTTCCTATGTTCAGGTTTGCCCTCCATCCAGTTGTTCTGACTGTATTTCAATTTCAAGGGCCAGGGATGCAGCTCAGCAGCAGTGCCGGCCTGGCAAGCACAAGGTCATGAGTTTGATCTCTGGCACCAAAAATAAATTAATTAATTCATCACAAAAGTTTGTAATCTCTAACATGGTTTCTTTTTTTAGGACTTTTCCAAGGAAGTTGACGAGAAGTCCTCCCTGAAGTCTGCAGTTGTGAGTACTGGGAATCAACTTCTGCACCTCAAAGAGGCAGACGCCGCTACGCTGAGAGCTGCTTTAGCACAGTTTGAACAAAAATGGACACTGCTCATCACTCAGCTTCCAGATATTCAAGAAAAGCTTCACCAGGTAAGTGTTCAAAGACCCTGCGTTTGATTAGCATTTACTTGTTAGCTCACAACTCTTTTAAAATTATTTTTCTGACTCAATAATTTTCATTGACACTACCTATTTTTCCCTGGCACCACTGACTATGGGTCTTAATTACTGGACTCTGTTCCAATGAGAGATTTCTTAAGAGAGAAATTAGGCTTAATTACTTTATTTCTCGGTTTATCTGTGCCACTGTCTTAGTTTATATGAAGGTCTTTATCATTGTTTTGGGGGTCATTTATTCTAAGCTCAAATTCTGGGTTTGTTTTTTGTGGGTAACCTGCATAATTATGTAGCAAGACCTCTTATCAAACCAGATGTCATCTTTCTTGATGCCCTGATTCATTTTTGTTAGCTGTAGGTAATTAAATGAAAATCATTTTGTCCTTGCAGCTTCAGATGGAGAAATTGCCATCTCGTAAAGCAATCACAGAAATGATTAGCTGGATGGACAATGTGGAACATCAAATGGCGGCTGAAGATTCTGTGTGCGCCCCAAGTTCTGCATCTCAAGTGAAAAGACTTCTTCGGAAGCTTAAGGTAAAGATACGGCTGAAGTTCTTCTATTAAATAAGAAGGCACATCACAAATGAGGAGGGAAAATGCTGGGCCAAAGAGACCTGTGGCATATAATTCAGGAAATCTAATTCTGGGGGTAGGGCGTGGCATAGGGTATGATTCTAGAAACACGAATTAGTTGCCAGTGTCATAGTCATGTGTTTGCTCAGCTGTCTCCTCACCTTGACAGAGCTTTCTAAAAGTAGGAGCCGACCTTTATCTCCCCCCAAATAGCCTAGTAGCTCACCTCCAACAGATGGTAATAAATGTTCTTTGAGAATGAGGAAAAAAAGGCTGATATCCTTCTAAAAATAGTATGACTGTGCCCTCCTCCATGAATTCTGATTTCTGGTAACTTTAATCAACATTAAATAAGGCATACACAGGCATTTTTTGTGTGCTAGGCAGTGTGCTGGCCACTGGGAATTCCGAGCTGAAGGGTGAGCCCAAACACCTGCCTGCTGATGGAGCTCATCGCTGACAGGCAGAAGATGAATGCCTTCATTTCCATGCGGGATAGTACCTTACAGAGTTTTTATACACCATCATTCCTAGTTTTCCAAAGGGATACCCAGGTTCTGATAACTGAGCACATACCAGCTGGACATCGCCATTGGAGGTGCTAGAACATTCCTGGATAAAACCCAGCAGGTGGCAGGCTTGACAGCCCTGGGTGGGCTTCAGACTGCTGAGAGCTCTATACTGTCCTTGTGGCCTGGGGAGACCTAGACTATCTGCTATCAGAAGCTGCCTAAATTGGCAGAGTTCCTTAGAGTGTCCTGGGTTTTCTGGGAGAATCTTCACTTTTTTCCTATCCTGTTGTGCCCATAAGTCTCAGGATGGCCCAGAATCCAGCATTGGTCTCAGGCAGCCTCTCACAAGAAACATTTGTCAGAACCGGGGTTCTGATGTCCCTCACTGACAGCAGCCACCATACTCAGGGGTTCCTTGGCCCCCTCTGTTTGAAAATAGCCAGTCTGTGTTCCCAGGACTATGTCATTCACAAGAAGACTCTCACTCCTGTAAAGCAGCCTATTCATGGGGTTTGTAGGGGCTTGGGAAGCACCTCAAAGGCCCCAGGGTTAACAGTGGGAGTGGGGCGCCTCCTGGAGGACAGTCAATAGAAAACCGATCAAGCTTTGGGTGTTTAATTTTGCCTGTGTGTGTGTTCTAGGAGTTTAGAATGGAAATGGACTACAAACAGTGGATCGTTGACTTTGTTAACCAGTCACTACTTCAGTTAAGCACGTGTGATGTAGAAAGCAAGCGCTACGAAAGAACGGAGTTTGCAGAGCACCTGGGCGAGATGAACCGCCAGTGGCACCGGGTCCACGGGACCCTGAACGGAAAGGTGGGCTCCGGAGCAGCTTGGTTTGGACTTTGCAGACACCACTTTCCAAAACACTAAAACAGCATGCTCAGATAGTTAGTTTACAATTACTGCCCCTTTCTAAGTCCTGTGTTTCAACATCTTCCACAGATGCAAAAACAGAATATGACAGTAATTCTTACATCTCTTGAGATTTCTTAGTGGGAAATTGAGTTAGGGAAGTGAAGAAGAGAAATTTTATTTAAGAAGATATTGAGTATTATGTCAGGGTTCTAAAAAGAGCTTTTCACATTCTCTGTGAGAGCACATGTTGAAAAGGAGCAAAGTTATTTCAGCTTTGAAATGATTGTGAAAAGAAAGAAAAATGTATGTGACTTTCTGGTAGATTTTTCACTGTGTGACCTCAGGAATGATGCAGAAAACTTACTACTGATTTAAGTAAGTTGTTCATCTCTTTGCTGTGTAGAAAATGGATACGAATAGATTTGTGCAATTAAGATTCAGGTATATGGATGGACCAGTAACAAGAGCAGAGGTATCCCAAAACTTATCACACTGCTGATGCTGTAGTGGTTTAAATACTCTTTTTCAAAGCCTTGGCAGAATTTAAACCATGTAGATCATCTTATCTCAACCTTGCAATCCAACTGTTAGACTTTTTTTTTTGGACTGAGACTTTAACTCAGGATCTTGCACTTACCAGGCAGGTGCTGTGCTGCTGAGCTATATCCCTGGCCCAGATACTTATTTTAAAGCAGACAACCCTTCCAAAATGAAAAAGTATACAACCAGTATTCGACAGTATTTATACTTACAAAAATATACAATACCCTAATTTCCAGTGTTAGGGGAATGATTAGTCAAATGATACTGTGTCCAGCTGGGCATGGTGGTACACACCTGTAATCCCAGAACTTGGGAGGCTGAAGCAGGATGATTGCCACAAGTTCACCCCGCCTTCTTACTGGGCTACATAGTAAATTCAAGGCTGGCATGAATTACATAGCAGGACCCTGTCTCAAAACAAACAAACAAAAATGATACTATGTCCATTTAATAAGCTATTGTACAGCCTTTTTAAATTAGTATCAGCATATGTGATGACAAGGAGGGCTTACATCATATTGGAAGACTTCATATACTGTGACTATTTCCTAATAAAAATTGTATCAGATGTGAGAAGAATCATGGGATTAAAAACTGATTTTATATTGATGGACAATATAAGACATTTTTTTCATCATATTTTTATTTACCACTTACAGATACAACATTTAGAACAACTTTTAGAAAGCATCACTGAGCATGAAAACAAAATACAGATCTTGAACAACTGGTTGGAGGCACAGGAAGAGAGGCTAAAGACTTCTGAGAAACCTGCCAGTGTGCTGTCCATTGAGAAGCTGCTCCTGGACTGTCAGGTGAGGCATGGGCAGGGTGCATGGTCCCCACACTCGCCCCTAGAAGAAGGTGAGGTGCTAGCACGTCTGGAGACTGTGTCCCTCTAGCCTGCACCCCAGCTGTGTGTTACTAAGCGACAGGTTTGTACCCTGAGAAAAGCGTCCTTGGATGGTTGTATTACACAGAGAATCCTTCTACACCAGGGCATCCCACACACGAGCCAAGGCTGGGTCAATGACTGCACACCTGGCATTTTGTGAAAGGTATCACTGTACTTGGCTCTTGACCGAAATCAGACCATCATTCTTGTGGTTTGCAGAATTGAAAAGTACTGTTAACTTTTTTCTCTTGGTACCAGGGATTGAACTCATGGCCTTGTACTTACCAGTCAAGTGCTGGAACCACTGGGCTAAATCTCCAGCCCTAAGTACTGTTATCATAATGAAAAGAGTGTATTTTCCTGGTCTTTGCTGCTCTTAAGAGGTATAAATACTACTTCTTCCCAAGTGGGTAAAATGTTCACAGGGAATTTTGATTTAGGTGCTTCCCAGTTTTTGTGTTCTTTATTAGTTTGCCCAGTCCATTTGAACATGAGGTTGTGGTGCATCTACCAGGTCCTGTGGCCCTCGAGACAACCCCTCCTGTCAGGGCCTGGTAGCACTCTGTAAGGTCAATGTAAGGGGCTCATCCCGCACCAGCGCACAGATGGGGCTACCTGCCCAGCAACCCGCACCCTCAGGGCACTCACCTTCTTTCCCCTTGGACCCCCAGTGGGGTTTTAGAAGTGGAATTTCTTTTTTCTTTCTTTCTTTCTTTTTTTTTAAAGCGTTTCATGAGAGAAAACTTGAGCAAAGGGTCATCAGAGGGAAGCCACACATTCACACACGTACATGTGGAGATCTGAGCAAGTGAGGAAGTGAGCACTAAGAGGTGCAAAAAGATGCTAGAGCTGTTCCTGTCCGAACCACCTGTTACCTGTCATTATGTGGCGCTTTATGTCAGGTTTCCAAGCACCTCCTGCTTGTGGTTTCAGTGGGGCTTGAAGCCGCACACAGCCTGGGGGGTCGGCTCCTTTTGCTGGAGGACAGGGATTGGGGGGCGTGACTTAGGCCTGTGTAAACAGCCACCCAGGGTAGATGTGCAGCAAGGACCCCTGTCCTGACCTCTCTACTGTATCACGATGAAAACGATTTGTTGCTTAGGGTCTCCTAAAATAAAAAGCCACAGAATATAAAATGAAATGAGGATTGTATTATGATTCAAGTGTCTTTTCTGTAACACTGTAATTATATACTCCAGCAACATTTTTTTTTCACTTGAAAAGAAGAAACTGTTCTCCTGTATCTTATCATTTTGTAATTTTGTGCATTGAAAATCTTTTCCCCTTCCCATTCCAGGACATAGAAAACCAACTCGCGATTAAATCCAAAGCCCTGGAGGAGTTGAGGCAAAGCCATCTGACTCTGGAGAGTGGGGCCACACCGTGGTTAGAAGATCCGGCATCTGGAGTTGATGGGTTCTTCCAGAAGAGGAGCAGTGTGCTGGATGAGGTAAAGGGCTCGTTTGAGGCCTGCCGTTTTTCTTCATGTAATCTCCTTTTGTTTTATGTGCTGCTGTGACTGTTGTTTCACTGCGGAGACTTGCTGTGTAAAACTGCAAAGTTTCTGAGGGAAATACTGAAGTGGAGAGAAACATTTCAAATCTCATTTTAGGCACTGAAGAATTCAAGGCAGAGCCACCACTGCCACCATCTCCGACAGGCAGGAAAGCTCCGGGGCTGTCTTTGCAGTGTCTGCTGTTCTGCAGACACAGGTGCCCCGTGTCCCCAGGTCAACAATGCCTGGCGCTGTTCTCCAGCCAGATTCACAGAGCAGCTCTGGAGAAGCAGCTCTGAGCCCCCACACTTAGGCAGGTGCCCTGGGTCCTGTGTCACGAAGGCCTCGTGAGGTAGGAGCATGGTGAGCACAGGGACAGCCCCAGAGGCAGGGGACACAACCCAGTGGTGAAGAGGAAGTGCAGAGGGAAAGGGCATGCAGACCAGGGGACAGCACCAAGAGAGGGGCAGGGAGAGAGAGAGAGAGAGAGAGAGAGAGAGAGAGAGAGAGACAGAGAGAGAGAACAGATTTCCACAGTAGGGCGAACACTGCACTGTGTCACGGCTCCTTTTGCAGGAGGACAGGATTGGGGGTGTGACTTAGGCCTGTGTAACAGCCTAAGTTTCCTCCAGCATCCCCGGCGTGCACTGGTCATCATCTGCCAGAGCCTACTTGCCACCATTTGTCCCAAGGCGGGTTGGGAATAAGCTGTATGCATGAAATCCACAGGCAGCAGCCAGTGTCACTTCTCCCCTGGGTCCAGCTTGTTTGGGCACTTGTTGCCCACTTACCAGGACTAAGATAAAGAACAAAACCAATGAGTTCCTCCGCAATGGAAAAAGTGAACAAAACATGAACAACAGTGTCGATGTCGCTCCCGGCCGGCAGGAAGGACACACGACAAAGTCTGGCAGTGGACAACCTTTTCTTTTATTTTCCTTCTCCATACAGCCTGCCCTGGGATCGCTCCCAGCCGAAGCCTCCTTTGGTCCGCTCCCCACGGCTCCTTCTGGGCTTCTACTTCCGGGCTTCTTCTTCCCCCCCAGGGGTGGCACCAGTATATATACGGATACAGTGTCCAATCATGTTAAAGTAAGCAAGGCAAGCTGATTGGCTAACATCATCAGTTGCCAGGCAGACTATATTGTTGAGCGGGTTGCTTACGCGGTAAGCAGGAAACTAACGTGCTCGATGGGAGGGGTAATCTACCTCAGGCTTTACTCTTTACTACAGGCCTCACGTCCGCCAAGTGAGGCGACCGGGCTCGGGGCTGCGGCTCCCAACATCTCCCCCTTTTTTATTTTTTATGAATGTGCGCATCGTAGCCCTTCCTGGACTGGGTGCAGAGGCTTATGCCCTATGCGTAGGCCCACCGTAGGTCCTTGGCTTAGACCCTGGTCGGCCGTCCCATGGTCTGCCAAGGCCCTGAGGCCCTCGTCCTTTTTCTAGGGCCAGGCACAAACTGGACGGAACCTGGATGCACACAAGCTTGCACTCATTTTCTCTCCGTAAAGAAATCCCCTCGGAGAGAAATTTAGACCTGGGCAGCGTCTAACAGTCCAGCAGCTTACGTGCAGGATGGGGTAGGGCCTGGCTTAGGTTGAGTCGCACCGGGGGAGTACGCTCTTACCCGTCATTGACTCTCCTACCCAGCTATGTCATAATTTTTTAGAGGAGGAGTGTGGGAAGCTCACCGTCCCTAGACTCGGTCGTAGGCTAGGCGAGCGAGCCATGCATATGCCTGAGGATCTTCTTGTCCATTTCGGGCTACCGCTATTTCTATTCATCTTGTTGGTTGGTCTGTGATGGATCTCCGGTAGGGCAGGTCTGATCTTCAGTCGAGGGCTTTGTCGCCCGTGTCAGTCTCTCCGGTACCCACAGTGGTTCTCGTCCCGATTCCTGTGGGAAAACACAAACCGCGCCTCGGTTCCAGCTGACCACTGGATCCGGGCCCATCCATTGTCCTGTCAGGACATCTTTCCACTTCACCCACCCTTTATGGTTGGGGGAAGGGTTGCAGTGCTCCACGGCTGGGGAGCAATTATCATTATTTAAATTTAAAAAATTGTGTGTGAATAGTGCCATGGATAATCGTGCCTTTGGGGCCAGGCCTTGGCCTACTCCCCCTTTTTGTTTTTGTAAAATTTCTTTGAGGCTTCTATGAGCCCTCTCAATGATTCCTTGACCTTGGGGATTGTATGGGATACCATGTTTTAATTGAACCTCCATCATTTTGCAGAACTCATTGAAGGCTTTGCCTATATAGGCTGGTCCATTATCAGTTTTTAATATTTTTGGTTTACCCCATGCGGCCCAAGCCGCCAGGCAATGATTGATCACATTAGACACTTTTTCACCTGTTTCTGCTGTTGCAAATATGACGTGAGAACAGGTGTCTGTGGAAACATGAACATATTTAAGAGTCCCAAACTCCTGTATATGTGTGATGTCCATCTGCCAAACATCACCAGGGATCAAACCTCGAGGGTTTACTCCCATCGGTATGGCAGGTTTGTATGTGGCACAGGAGTCACATAGTCGCACGATATCTCGTGCATCTGCTCTGGAAACATGGAAATGGTTTGCTAGTGTCCTGGCATTGACATGAAACTTATCATGGAAGGCACGGGCTCGCTCGATTGGTGTTAGTAAGGTAAAAATCTATAACGGGCGAGTGGCAGTATCAGCAGCCGCATTCCCCTGTGCCATGGGCCCCGGCAGGGATGTATGTGCTCTTATGTGGGTGGTGAAGACCTTATGGTGTCTGTTCTGAAGCAATGTCTGGATAGACAGGAACAGCCCAGCCACTGTGGAAGTGGATCTAATTAAACCGGCAGTCTCAAGCACTTGCATAGCATTGACCACATACCTAGAATCGGAGACAATATTAATGGCTTCTGAGAACCGTTCAAGAATCATTTTAACGATCTGCAGTTCCACCATCTGAGGCTGATCAGGTTCAAATTGTATGGTAACCGGGGGCTTGCCTAGGATCACATAGGCGCCTATCCCCATCTTGGAGCCATCTGTGTATATTGTAGTTGCTGGGACTAATGGCTCAGAGGCAGTAACCTTTGGAAAAATTATAGGGTGCTGAGTGACAAATGACAAGATAGGGTCTCTAGGGTATTGATTGTTTATATCCCCATGGAAAACACATCTCAGAATGGCCCATGTATCTATGCAGGCAGCCAGGGTCTTGATCTGGCTGGCGGTATAGGGTACTCGGATGGCTTGTGGTCCTGAGCCAAAATGTTGGACAGCTCTATCATGCGCTTCAAGGGCCAATGAAGCGACTGCCTCCGGGTAATGCTCTATGACTTTTGCAGGTGAGACCTTAGGGTGTATCCACAGTAATGGTCCTTTCTGCCAAATCACCGCTGTGGGCTGTAGACTAGTCTGTAGCAAACAGACATCAAAGGGTCGCCTTGGTTCAATTCTGTGTAAGGTAGCCCCACCTAAGGCTTTTTCCACTCTCTGTAAGGCAGCTCTTGCCTCAGGAGTGAGCCTCCTGTGGGAGGCTATATCTGGGTCTCCCTTCAGAAGGTCGAACAGGGGTTTGAGATCTGAATTTGGTATATGTAAATATGGCCTAATCCAATTAATGTCTCCCAATAGCTTTTGCATGTCATTTAGGGTCCTAACGCCATCCGTCCTAATGGTGACCTTCTGTGGAGAGACTAGCATAGGGGAGATTTTCGCGCCTAAGTAGGTCACCATTTCTCCTCCCTGAATCTTGTCGGGGGCAACATGCAGATTAGCTTGTCTCAGGGCCTCGACCAACTGGCCGAGCATATTATTTAGCATATCTGGGTCCCTGCCGCTGAGCAAAAGGTCGTCCATGTAATGCACACATCTTATCTTGGGAAAGGATTTCCGTAGGGGGGCCAGTAGGGAATCAAGGTAAATCTGACACATAGTGGGACTGTTGGCCATACCTTGGGGCAGCGTTATCCACTCGTATCTGAGATCAGGGCTTTCTTGGTTAATGGTGGGTAAAGTAAAGGCGAACCTATGAGTGTCCTCTGGATGCAGGGGGATTGAGAAGAAACAGTCTCTAAGATCTATAACATAAACTGGCCAGGACTGAGGGATGGCTGAGAGAGCTGGCAGCCCCCTCTGGACCGCCCCCAGGGACTGCATCTGCGCGTTGACCGCCCTTAGATCATGGAGCAGCCTCCACTTGCCAGACTTTTTCTTAATTATAAAAATGGGGGTGTTCCATGGGGAGGTTGACGGCTTAATGTGTCCTAATCTAAGTTGTGTACTGACTATTTCTGACAAGGCTAATAGCTTCTCCTTAGGCAGGGGCCACTGAGGTACCCAAACCGGATCATTTGACCTCCAGGTGATTTTGATCGAAGTGGGTAGGAGAGCTTCTTCAGCGGCCCCTAAGAAAAACCCAGCCCTTGCCTACCTTTTTTGTTCTCTACTGGTATTGGGGATGTCCGACCCTGTAGGGCATTGCCCAAGCCTTTGCCGGGGGTATATCCCTGGTTCCTGAGTATATCCTTAGCCTGGAGGGAGCAGTTTGACGTAAGCGTGACATCCATCTGAGTGAGGATGTCCCTTCCCCATAGAGACACTGGCAACTGTAACACAAATGGTTGGAAATGGCCCTGATGACCCTCCTCATCGCACCAGAGCAGGGTTGAAGCACTAACCTGAGGAGCTGACACCATCCCCAGGCCCTGCAGCGTGTTATCTGCAGTGTTGGTGGGCCAGTTGGAGGGCCAATCCTTTCTAGAGATAATGGAACGGTCAGCTCCTGTGTCTAGGAGCCCTGTTATATTCTTGCCATTGACCTTAAGTGAGAGCATGGCTCTTTTATCAAGTATTATATGGAGTCCCTCGAAGACTTCCCCTGAGGAACCGAAACCTTGACTTTCTCTAATTTTCTGCTTTGAGGGGAATCTCTTGTGGAGACTGGGGAGCAGCAAGAGCTGCGCTATCTT